CCATAAGCGCAACCCGGATCTACCCCCCGATTTGGTGCCATTAAACCACGCGCTGTCTCAAGTGAAGAATGATATTTCGGAAGAAATTAAACATCGGTCACCAGTGGCGTCGCAGCAATTAATGAAACATCAGAAATCGATTTTCGACCGAACTAGTAGCACGTCCTCAATGCCTGATACGCCAACCAGTGGATCTTCCCGGTTTACTTGGGAGATGGATGTGGACAATGACAAGACCCATTCACCAATTGAATACATCTCTTCCCGGAAACCGCTACAGCACTTTCCATCTACTATTTCGCAGCATTTACCACTACCTGTTGTAGAAGATCAGGGATATGAATCCGATTTGGAGGGCAGCGGGACTGTTCCTGCAATGTCTCCGGTTCCATCCCAGACCACAGAGGTACCTGAATCTTCGGCTATCGCACAAGACGAAGGCGACTGGAAGGTCGTTACCGCAAAGCCGAAGAACCCGAGCTTCTTTGGGATGGTGTCGCGCCGTTTGGGAATAAGAAGAATGCGTGGCCAAAGAAATCTGGGAAGCTACAGACCCGTTCATCCCGTTGTGTCTATTTCTGGTGTCCACGGTCATGGATCACCGAGTCGCCCGCAAAATAACGATGGAGAACAGGAGGTTTCGGCTAAATCCCAAGCCGAAGCATCTCTCGCCGCAGTGCGTCGGGCGAACTCACCCCCAGCTCGTGGTGGGGAAATAGAGAAAACGAACTCCAAACCAGCTCAGAAACAGAATTACCCTACTTATGCAAACGTGCTTGCTGGAAGACGCCCGAGTGCCACTTCATCATCTGGCCGATCCTCTCCACCCATAGGTTGGGGATCAGATAGCAATAAGCTTTCCGAGAACTCGGTCCCAGTACACCCCGGAAGTGCCCCGGCCCAATATGGCTGGTCACCCAGGTCATCATCCGACCACTTGACCAACTCGCATCATAGCGAGGTAGGTACGGGATCGTCATGGAAACGCCCAGAGAATGAACGTGTTCTAACTCCGCCGTCACGCTTTCATTCCCGCCACCCGTCACGTTCGTCAGAAGGATCAAGCGGAAACATTCTAGGTCTTCAAGACACAGTTTCACAATACCAATTGGCAGCGCCTTCCAACCGACCCTTGCCGTACGAAGCAGATATAACAGTAACAAAACCGCGATACTCAAGCGTTGTTGTCCCACCCCAAGACACTCAAGGCCTAGGAGTTGCATCATATCTGAATACCGCGGCCTATGGTCCTTCTATGGGACAGTCAATCCCAGCTGGCTATTCTTCCCAGCCCATGTCGCGAAATGTTTCTGGTCAATCCGACCAATCGCTTCATACCGAGCCAACTAGAGTGCCACCTAGGTTTTCACCTGACCTGGGGAAAAGACTCTCTTCACCCCTTGTTAACGTTTCTCAACCCGGCATGTCCAGACTAGATACTCGCTCTCCCCAGACGTCGTACGGGCGTGGTGGTGGATCCGCTATCAGCTCTAGTCCAGGCACCCCAAATTCACTGGAGCCTACTGCGATGTCCCGTGCATCTTCAGGCCCAGGTATGATAGTTGACTCCGGAGATGGCGTGACCAAAAGCTTTGTAGAGTTCAGCCACCGCCCTTCAACACAGAATATCAGGTTCGGAGAACATGAACCCATAAACATCGTTGATGCACGGATGCGATCAGGGCTTCATGAAAGACAAACTCACCCAGGCCAAGGCAGCGATCATACAGCCTTGAAACATTCAACAAGCCCTCCCTACCCTGACCGTAATCTGATGCCTAGCGCAAGTGACGATAATCAATTGCAATCCATGGCTCGCTTCCCGCTAGAAAACATTGGCAATCTCCCGGTCCATGGTCGATTTAGAAGTGGGAGTTCACCTGCTCGACCGAATATATAGCTATGCCCGACGCCAATAATCTTTTTTGTTAACTACTAATTTGTTGATTTTACTTTGAGTTCGAGTTCACCTCGACATTTTTTATTCTCCCTCGTCTGCATAGTTGGACCTTCATCACACTATTTCCTACTCAGGGGGTTTGCTCATTTATGTGCAAGTTGAATATTAAATAGAGACTAAGTAAGTAAATGTTTTGTTGAAGTGATAGATGGGGTGGGATTCATTATGCATTCCATGGCGTCATATGTATTGCCATGTTGTTTTATGCAACAAAGAGAGGGGTGGATACAATAATGGGATGGGCTGTTGGCAAGGGAGTTTTTGCCCGGCCTGGTAATGATTATTGAAACAAGAAACTGAGTGGGAAATGCGCTGATATTTCTGTCCGGAGTTTGGGCTTTATATTTGACTTTGACGATGGGAGTACATCCGGGTTTGATAGGGCCATGATTTTTTTTTTTTTATTATTATTATTATTATTATATTTTTTTATGTTATTTTTCATATGCTTTTATTTCAACTAGATTTCTCTTTTAGAAAATTAATATGAAAACAGATTAAGATTAATTGTAGCTGGTTCCTCTCGCATTTCAACCTTGGAACTCTGCAGTTTTGGAGGTCACATGACCACGTCTCTACGGCCCGGCTACGATGCCGTCACTCATGAACCTGGTAGAGTGACGTCACAGGTGAATCTCGTCAGGGAAAAGAAGCTCCAACCCGCAGAAATGACGAGAAACAGTATATAAACTGGGGAATGGCTTGCTTTCTCCTCATCTCTATTGTCACTGCTATAAGTACCCCTTTGGTTTCCCATCAGACCAAAGAACTCTGGCTATTTTTTAAATCGTTGACGAAAAACCCTTTTATGCCCCATTTCGATATTGACTTGACAAACATACGGAGTACATCGTACCACAGAGCTAGTTTTTCTGATACCTCGACAGAAGAAGGTAGGTACACGATATAAATACCCCGTCGTACCGTACCCCTGCAGCTTGCTCTTGACACAGATCCAGAAGTTACTTATGTGTGCTGACCATGCCATCCCCCCTTCTCTTAGTATCTCGACCCCTGAAAAAGCAAAATAAGTATCTCAACAAGTTACTACCTCATCATCACCATGTCCTTCCTTGCCCGCGCCACTCTCCTCACGAGGACGGCCGTGATCCCAGCCAGAGCTGCCAGCGTTGCAGTTGTTAGACCGGCGTTCTTCTCCACCTCTGCTCGGAGGGCCGATAGGGGTCCCATCGAAGTAACTAAGGAGACATTGAAAAAGGCAGACCGCGTTGTGTCAAATGCTGCCGTGAAGGGAATTGAGACGGGTGGTATGTAGTGATCCACTGCTACTTTTCGATTTGTCCCCCCCACCTGCTTTTGTTAAGAGTCCTAAGAAAGCGCCGTCTTGCTTTTGGAAAGGAGTTGGTTCTTGGAGTATTGCTGTAGCATAACAAGAGCAAGAAGGCTGACGAAAATCGCACGAGAACAGAGAAGGCAACCCACAAGATCAAAGATACTATTGGTATCAAATCGAAACAGGCTGAGGAGGGGGCGGTGAAGACTGCGAAGGAGGCGGGAGACAAGGCCTCAGAACTTAAGGATGAAACGAAGGCCAGGGCAGAGTATCTTAAGGAGAAAGCTAAGGAGGAAGCCGAGGAGACGACGGGCAAAGCATAATTTGTTAGTGGCCCGTTGTGACGAATATTTTCTGAACGGAAGGAAAAACAGCCCAAGTGTAAAATGTTGGTTAATAACTTGGAACTTGTTCTCGTCTTGAGATGCGAGAGTGGCACATGAATATTTTGACGGTATTTGTATCATAGTTCGTTGTCTTGTTGTTGAGAATAAAACCGTACTGTACATATTTAAGTACTTCCTTGCGTAGGAACAATATTTCAATGGCCTAAATTCATTGGGAGCTCTATGCGGCTCAGGAAAGAGATAGTCAACCAGATGGCGGAAGCATGAGAACATATTCCCTGGTGCTGAACCCAAATTTCAACACATCCTTGTCCATAAGTTCCATGTATCGTCCCTTGGGTGCGGACTCTCCATTAACAGTAGATCCATTAGCGCTTTCCAAATCAATTAAATACGGTCGCACTCGACCATCCCTGTCGCCGTACTCATTCCGTTTCTCGACGAAGCGGAACTGTAACGCAGCGTGTTGTTTGGAGCAGCTTGGATGGTCGACAGGTAAGTCAACGACTAATCTTTCCCGCCCAATAAGCCAGCAGCTCCGTTCTCTCAGTTCTATCGTCTCAAGTAAGGCCTCTCCTTTAAATATGTAGAGGCGCCAAGGGTCCTTTGTAGGCGGCTTTCGAGCTTCAGGGGGCTCATGATATTTAAGGACAATGGAGGTCAAGCCGTCGCTTGATTTTACCGTGTTGGTCTCCGCAGCTAGGCGGCCGGTATTAGCGAAGTTGGGCTTCTCCTTTTCTGGACGTGGAGTGGACGTTTCTGATTTTGAGTCTCCGGGGGTTTTGGAGAATGCATCTTTCTGGGATGGAAGTGGGTTTCTTGAGCGTTTGGAATGTCTAGGAGATGGGCTACGAGATATTCGAAGGGGAGGTGATCTTGTTTTTGAACCTGATACACTTCGTCGTCTATTGGACGGCGTCCCGCGGTCGTCGTCATCGCGGCTTCTATCCCGATATTTTCTATGTGGACTTCTGCTAGAACGGTCGTGTCGTGTTCTGGAAGTGTCTTCATAGCTTCTAGAACGGCTTCTTCGACGGTGGGATCTATGTTCTCTGCGGGATGGCCTGCCCGGGCTTCGGGAGTGTCGCCTGCGGTCTTTCATCCCTGGGCGATCGTCATCGAATTTTCTCCGAAAGCTGTCGTGGTCTTCCTCTTTAGCTGCTTGGGAACGCGCATAATCAATAGGATGTGGAGAAGTTAAACGTTGCCGCCGACTCCGTCCATCATCTCCGTGTCTAGGCATTGTTAATTAACTTGCGGAGTGACAGCTAGGATTGTGAATATCAGATCCAGGGAGAAGTGATGCAACTGGGCGGCGACGATCTACTCGGCCCGACGATTTCCCGTTTCCGAGGGGAAACAGGGAAACTGTGGGATTTCATCGGCAACATCCCCCCCTACCCATCATTCGCGCGGACTACAATGGTTTTCTTCCTGAGGAGTTCGAATAAACGATTCAATGAGGGTACATTTGATGTCTGTTTCTATGGAGAGTGTTTAACTAGCGAGTTATTATGTTGAAAACGCCGGCTCTGTCATGCTACTGTGGCGGCTTGCATCTGTTCAGTCAATTGCAAGTCGCCTCTAGCCTACAGTCGACGCCCACATCCCCCGCCCGTCGAAAGAAGCCTTCCATACCACGATGCGGTAGAAGATTTGCTCATGTCCATAGCTCATATCCATTGGGGTCGGAGGCGGATCTATCCTGGCCAGCAACACCAACCTTTTCCCCTTACGATATATTCAAACAAGCCAGAACCGAACCTTATTCCAAGCGACGATATTATGACCTTGTCAAAATCTACCACCCGGATTTGCAGAATAAAGATCATCCGCTATGCAGAAATGTGCCTGAAGCCATCAGATTACATCGTTACAGACTTATAGTTGCGGCGCATGAGATCCTTTCCGACCCAACCAAGCGGGATGCCTATGATCGGTATGGACATGGGTGGGACCATCGTACTGAGCTATTCGGCGAAAAAAAGACCAAAAACGTGGATACACAATATGAAAGAGGTACGGGCGGCGACGACTCCATATACCGAAACGCTACTTGGGAAGACTGGGAACGGTGGCATCGAAGACATGACCCAAACCAAAGCCAAGCTTCGACTGTTTCGCATGGCACATTTGCGTCATTCCTCATTCTATTGATGATATTTGGAGGTTTGGGTCAGGCAGTATCGATCGGTAATTATTCGAGCTTTGTCGAGGAACGGGCGAGAGACGCCGATGAGAAATGCGCCAAGTTACTGCACGGCAGGAGGCAGCAGACGATTGCTCAGATGAATTCGTTGGATAGTAGGCTTCAGAGCTTCCTCATAAGGCGGGATCCTTATGGTTTCGGATTAAAGGAGGAAGAGGAGGATACATATCGAGCCATTCTAAGCCCTCACAACAAGCCTCACGCGCTTGATGCTATAGACTCACCGTCACCACCGTCGGAGAAACCTCTAGAAGTAAAAGAGGTTGGCGGTTAACGGGGCCTCGTCATTTCATTTGCGGCCCCTTCTATTTTCATACCTTTTGTTTTTTACATTTTTGCTTCACATTCCCTGGCTTTTATGTTATTGCATTGGAGGCGTTCGAAAGCAGATCGAATCTCTTCTCTGGATCATAACCAAGTTTGTAGTTCAGCTACATCAATGGAATTGAATTTTTTTTTTTTTTCTTCTTTCATGAAATGAACCATATTCCCTTTTGGTTTATCTTTACCTTTTCCTTTCCACTTGCTACACTCCATGATTGGTTCAGTTGAACCTCCATGGAAAGCCCCAGTACTCCATGAGATACCAAACAGTTCCATTTCTAATGGGTCCTGAACGCTATTCACTAAGATCAACGCAAAATCTCACAAAATACCCTGATTCAATCCTCCCGGCAATATTCTGCAGCATCAACAACAGGCAAAGATACGATACAACCATAGAAATCCGAATAGAACATACTGTTGCCCGTAGGGTTTGCGAATGACAACATATGACAATGACAATGACAATGACTTGAACAACAAAAGCAGGAACTCTGATCACCGAGAACATGTATATATCATCCCAACCCTTCCCACAGATCCCACTTCGGACCGTTCGATTCTCCTGCTCACACAAGACGTTGACGGAACTCCAATCAACACCCAACTGACGGGCCAATCATCCAGCAAACTTACAGCACGACCCTATTATTCTTTTGCAGCAAGAGTTAGTATGGAATCCAACTTTTCAAAGCGAACATATGAAGGCTACATACACAATTTATGGCGCTACCACTCCGCCCCATATATATAACCGTCCGACTACTCATTAACACCGACAATAGCCTCTCAAGCCATTGCCAGTGGTTAGGCAGCACCTTGGCCTGGCACAGATGGCGGACACTTCCCACAATCCGTGAATGTTGCAAACGAATAACTCATCCGCCGTCCCCTTGCGGTTGAGGCTACATATGTACCGACCAGGTGTGCAATAGGTTCCCAGGGCTTCCAGGAAGAAGAGAGCCGTAGCAAGGATTGACAGCTGCATTTTATATATATATAGGTATATTTCTTATTATTGATTTTGGCTTTTTAGCTGCTCCTGCTTGGTATGTTTCGAGAAAGGGACGGATATGCGGGATGTAGAATGTGGGATTTATGATTCTGGGAGGAAGATAGGTAGGTAGAAAAGGTTGATGAGGTGGGTAGTATTCTACTTCGCTGGAGGAGGAGAGAAGGTGAAGCTTTTATATATCCCTCTGCCTATAGCTCTACATTCCGAATGACAATGGCACACCTTTGGGGCGTATCATTTCTAATAGACCAGGACAGGACGTCATACCATACCTCTCCTGTCCGCTCCTCCCCTGGTAGAGGTTCTCACGAAAGTCTTCCCAATGATCTATACCATTTTCGTCGAACAAAGAAGGAAAATGATGTCAAAAGCCGCCTATATAGGTGGCCGCATAGTTACTGCGACAAGAGCTACCCTAGCTGTTTAATTTGTTTCTTGCTTGGTGTCTGCAGAAAAATTTCGGCAAAATGACCAGGCGATCTCATCTGTTCATAAAAAATTATCAACAGAGAGAGTCTAAGATCGTTAGGATACTAAGTTAGAAAAACATCGTGCCACAGAAAGGATGAAAACCAATCACTTCCTGCATCAAATAGCATTGTGGCAGAGAAGGCATTTCTCTACTCCATGCTCTCGAGAGAGCCAAAGGCCAGGGATTCTGAACCTCATGCTGGGTGTTACGCGCATGCATTCCCTTCTTCAAAAATGTAGATTTTGGTGTCCTTGATGCAAAATTTCTTTCATGCGTGTATCGATGGGCCGTCTCCCAGCACATTCTGAAGTGGTCTCAATAATTTCATAGAACACGACCAATGCATGTACATACTTGGAAGCATTGATACATTGGAAGCTAGATTTTTGGTAAGAGGATGGATGGGCCATTGTACATTTACATGTAACTCTTCTGATCTGTATCGAAATTTCCACGCCAAGCAACAGACACCGAAGAGCCTGCCTCGGACACCCAGATGGATAAAGCCCGAGTCGCAGTCTGATGTCTTCGACATTAGCACGTCGAGAAAGAGCAGAGCGGGAGAAATATGGAGGATTCTTCCTTTTCTCTCGTTGGTGCGGCTTGTGTCCGCAGGAATGGCAGACTAACCTAGTATTCATTTATTAGATGCACCGAACTTGCCCGAACTCTGCATGATGGCGCGATTTCCATAAGCATGAAAAGATACCCCTCTATCAACATCCAGGCTAAGTGCAAAAAGGAGGGGTTATACTAAAATGGACGGCAGGGCCAGATGGCTCCAAGGGATCTAGTGCCAGCACCCTAACGCAGTTAATTTGAGTACAGTACGCTGTTAAGTGAAGACCCTTGAAACGGCTGAAATGCTGTAGCCTAGTAAGTGGGACGTAGTGCGATGACTTGCAAGTTGCAATCCATTCTGATGCTCGCTTATTGGGTTGTAGAAGCATTGGTCTTGATCACGACACTGACAACGTTTGACACAACGGAGCATCCGGGGGGGTTTCACAGCTTCTAGCTGCGAATCCTGCGGCACATCTCAGTGTGTCTCGCCTGTTCCAGCCTTACGCAGTAATCGATTGCAATAATAAGTTACACGGGTGCGGGGTTGATGGTTTTCTAGTCGTAGCCAGGGTGTACGTACGTCGTGCCTAACCACACAACCACCACCTCACCTCCGGTGCCGGGTCAAGGTGGGCAGGGGCGGCTGATGAATAGATTATTTAAATAATAAAGGGAAACAAAGCCATGCACTTCTCTGCTCGATACATGCCATGTTGGTGCAGTGGTACACAACACAACTTCTCACCTTCCTCTGAAATCTGAGGGTTCCCATAAATTCAAGTGGCGGTCAGAATCAGTTATGGCAGAGAGCGATGTAGATATCATCGTTGTAGGCGGTGAGTTCTCAAGCGCGTTCCATTCACGCTCTCAAGAAATCCCCAATTAACTATTTTTGTTTAGGGGGAACAACGGGGTTGATTACTGCGGGTCGTCTGGCTCAAGCCAAACCAGACCTCTCGATCCTGGTGATCGAGGCGGGGATCAATTCTCGGAATAACCCGATGGTGGTCAACCCGGCGATATACCTTTCGAACATCGCGCCAGACTCAACCACCGCGAAGTTCTACAAATCCAAGGCCAGCGATTACCTCGGAGGACGAGAGGCTATTGTCCCGATTGGCAACATTCTTGGGGGAGGCAGCTCCATCAACTTCATGGTCTATACCAGGGCCCAAGAAATAGATTATGATGATTGGAATACAGAAGGTTGGACGGGAAAGGACATGATACCGTTCATCAAGAAAGTAGGTACATTACATGTACATGTACAATGCAATAGTTCGAAATGCTACTCCTGCTATACCTTGAAATCCAATTCTCATGTCTAATACTTATACGCTTGTTCGTCCTTTCAGATCGAGAGATTCCAAGATACAGACCCTGAAATAGATAAATCCATCCATGGTTACAACGGGGAGCTGAGCGTCTCCGCAGGAGGAACCTATGTGCAGGCCTCGTTCCAGAAAGATTTCTTCAAAGCATGCGAGGATATTGGAATCAAGAAGGTCCCAGATGTACAAGATTTCAAAACAGCGAATGCAGTTGGCGTCAGTCCCCCTTCCTTCAGTGGTAGATACGAACTTTTGTTAACCCGTGTAGCGATGGAACATGTGGATCGATGAGAAAACTGGCTTGCGGCAAGACGTGCCTCACAATTTCCTCTTCCCCATCCTAGACGCAGGGAACACGAAGCTCAAGGTCCTCACAGACTCGACGGTAGTAAGGGTCCTGTTTGATGAATCTAACCGGGCCAACGGCGTCGAATACGTACCTACCGGGGCAGATCCTTCCACAGCACCGATTATAGCACACGCGAAGCAGCTTGTTTTAGTTGCAGCCAATGCGCTGGGTACTCCCCAGGTCTTGCAAAGGTCTGGAATCGGGAATAAATCGAAACTTGAGGCGTTAGGTATTCCAGTGGTGTCTGATTTGAATGGAGTTGGGAGCAACTATCAGGATCACCATGGTGTCTTCTACTCATACTCCTCCAAAGCGACAGCGGAGGAAACACTGGATGGCCTACTCACGGGCCGCCTCCCCCTCGAACAAGCATTGTTGCTAAAGGCATCCAACCCCACCCGCCATTTGCTTGGATGGAATGGCCTTGACTGCTTCGGAAAGCTTCGACCCTCAGAAACGGAAGTAAATGAGTTTGGCACAGCGTTACAGGAAGCGTGGGATAAGGATTTCCGTCACAGAGAAACTAGGCCCTTAATGCTTATGTGCGCAATCGCGGCAAATCTAGCACGAAAGGGACCACCAGTCGAGGGGCAATATTTCTCTATGGTTTCATATACCGCATATCCTTACTCACGGGGGTCAATCCACATTACGGGCAAATCCGTCACCGATACTCCAGAGTTTGATGCCGGTTTTCTCAATCATCCCGCAGACATAATGAAGCTAGTATGGGGATATAAGAAACAACGAGAAATCGCGCGCAGGCTACCATATTACAACGGCCCGCACCACGTTGGTCATCCGGCCTTTCCTCCAGGATCAAAGGCAGACCCTGAGGTAGTGGACGCGGCTTCTAAGGCGAAGGGATACCCAGTGCCGATAGAATACTCAGAAGCAGACAATAAAGCCATCGAAGAGTGCATCCGTGAGAATCTCACCACCACATGGCATAGTATGAGCACGTGTGCAATGAAACCACGGGAGGACGGAGGAGTGGTAGACAAAGACTTGAATGTCTATGGTGTTAAAAACCTAAAAGTCGTCGGTAAGTCTTTTAGGCTTTGATTTTCTTGATATAATTTTGTTTTCCCCCTAGTATACAGATTGCTGATGAATGGCTGGCTCCCATAGATCTCTCGATATGCCCAAGCAATGTAGCAGCAAACACCTACTCGACTGCACTTGCTATTGGAGAGAAAGCCGCGAGCATCATTGCGAGAGAGCTAGGTATCCCTTACACCGTCTAATTCGCGTGCTCAAGGTCTACTTTATATGAATTAAGGGTGTAGCCGGTGAAGCGACCAACAATGCATTCGTCAGGAACCATTGAGATGAAATTGAATTACAGTGCTTAGTCCTGGTCAGCCTCAACATTAATTCAGTTAGTTCAATTCACACGTTGAAACTTTAAATATGCTTAAGTTACTCGGTAACTACTCGGGAAGTCTATAAATATTCAAAAGCTTCGATGATACAACATGGTTGATAGGCGTCAACCCAGGGCTATCTCCACGCGGCCAAGAGCCACTATTAATTATTCTTTTAGGAAGAGAATACTCCGTACATCTCTTGATGTGCAAAAGCTTCACGAACTCAGAGCCGCCAACAGCGAACTACTGCGTAAGGCGATCTTCTACCACCTCTGATTAGTAATTCTGGTTTGCTCGTAAAAGCGGGGATGGTTAAGTTAACCTGGTTAGTTACTTTACCTTGGTAACTAAAGTTAAAGAAACCAGTATATATGCTGCCAACGCACCCAAACTAACCCAGAGCAAGAAAATCAATATCTTCCAGAGATAGATGTGCATTTTCCATTCTTGGTGAACCCCTAGGTCTTTCTCCATAAACCATGGATGCGAAACTCAATTTCAGCACCCTCAAGGCGCTGGCGGCACGCGTCCCGCTTCTGCTAAAGGTAACCGTTTTGCATGTTTTGAAGCGCTCTCCCGCTGCTGGCAAGCAGGACTTGCAGGTGGAGCTCACAGTCAACTTGATCCGGTCATTTATCTCGTTTGATTACCCATTGGGCAAAACGCAGAGGAGCACCTTGAAGGATCCCGGCATCAAAGGCCCAATGTGGGTGTCGAAAATTAAAATGCCTAAGCCCGCTGAATCCTCTGTTCTGCAGTCTTTGATCAAGGCTATTGAACATCATAAGGAGGGCCATGAAACGTATGATGTACCCCAGCTGGCCGATGTCGAGGCGGAGTGGACGGGGCACCGGAGCGGAGTGAATGCCAAGGCTCCGCAGCCAGATGTCTCCGAAGCGGAGAAGTATAAATCTATGATGGCGGAGGTTAAGGAGGATGTTACGATTCTCTATTTTCATGGCGGCGCATATTAGTAGGCCCAATTTTCTGTTTTGATTGTAATCCTTCATGGGCAAGATGAACTTAACGGTTAACCCATATGCACAGTTTGATGGACCCATGCTCGCATCGTCCAACAACGGCCAGACTGGCTAAGGAAACGGGCGGGCGCTGTCTCTCTGTCCGCTACAGACTGGCTCCCCAGAACCCGTTCCCAGCAGCCCTCCTTGATGCGCTGGTAGCCTATCTATATCTCCTCTCCCCGCCTGAAGGATCTCTGCACACACCCGTCCCTGCGAACAAAATTGTATTCGCCGGCGATTCAGCCGGCGGCGGACTCTCTCTCGCACTTCTACAGACCATCCTTACAATCCGCCATATGTCCCCTAACCCAACAATCCAGTTTCACGGGAAGGACGTACCCCTCGAGCTTCCCGCAGGCGTCGCGACATCAAGCCCGTTCGGCGACATTACACTCTCCCTGCCATCGACCAGCAAGAACCTCCATCTAGACTACCTTATCCCAATCCACGACCCGAATCGAGAATTCAAACCAATGCCTTTCCCCGATGACGCTTTCTGGCCCACATCCCCACCACGCGCCGAACTATACGCCAACGCAGACATCCTAACCCACCCCTTCGTCTCACCCCTAAGCGGGCCGAAGGAGATATGGAAAGACGCCCCACCGATATTCATCACCATCGGCGAAGAGCTGATCGAAGACGACGGCACGTACCTGGCGAAAAAAGTGCATGAGGCCGGCGGCACGGCCGTCCTCGAACGATTCGACGGCATGCCGCATTGCTTCGCGCTCATCTTTGGCGATTCTGCGGCTGGGAAGCGGTGCTATCGCGGCTGGGCGGATTTTTGTCTTGATGCTGTGCATGGTCGTGTGAAGCGGACGGGGCAGGCGCTGTATATTCATCGCGATGGCCGGGGGACGGTAACGAAGGAGCTGGGCGAGATTGGGTCGTTGAGTTTGGAGGAGGTGCAGCGGATGATAGATGCGGGGAGGGATTGGAGGGTTAAGGGGGAGGCCGCCCTTGTGAAGGCGTGGGAGCAGAGTCAGAATAAGGCGAAGTTGTAGGTTGGCCATGATAGATGGATGGGGCAGTTTATTGCTTTCTCACTTGCTCTTGTTGGACTAGTTGTACTGTACATACTTTAGATGAAGATGTATATATCAGGTCGGTCAGATGGTAATCTCGGCTCAACAGGGACTTCTGTAATTTTTAATAATATATATGTATATAGATATATTCTCCCTATATTCCTTCTGTTCAAGGAATGTCATCTTTGCTCTAGGGAAACTTATTTATGCGTTAGATTCAACAAACAGGTATCATTTCCACTAACTAGGCCGAAGACCCATTTTCATACTTCGTGTGGGAGCCATCTCAAATCAGATTTGATTGGAAGGCAATAGTAACAAGCAGGTAAACTTTCACGCATGGCGAATCAAAGTGTCTATTTAATGCTTTTGATAAAGGATTGAATCTTGTATCCCACACACCAACTAATGTCGCTGAAAGAGCAAAACAATACCTAGGTAGGTCTGAACATGGGCATCAGTGAAACGTCGTAGAGTTGGATATGAAGTCAAGTCCTAACCAGCCGAGTTCTGCCCTTGTTGATAGGAGATGTTGGATACATTGAAGTATAGCATAAAATCTCAGAGAGAAAAAAACCGGGTATATCCAATTAGGAGTTTTAGACACCTCTGAGATGAATAGATTGAGTTTTTTTTAATGTTCCAACCTCACTTTGAAAACGCGGGACCCCCCAATAGACCTTAGATACAAGTATATGTACATGTACAAAAGTAGATGCAATATTTTAGCAACAAAAAATTATAAATCCCAGTGCAATGTTAACAATATGAAAACAATTAAATGTTAAAAGAAAAGCAGACGGGGGAATCTCGGACGTAATACAATATAAAAGGAGTGAGGTTGAATGAAACCGAAATAATGAGAGCAATGCATTCGCAAGAAGGTTCGAGGTGAGGTTGTGCTTTGCAAAGCTATCGGAAAGAGAAAATATATGCGTAGGATATCAAAGAGCTCCGTCCGCATCGAGTCTCATATATGCAGTTTGTGGATTCCGGTTTCTCCCTTCTAAATTGCAATGGCAGGAAACTTTTCAAAAAACAGAAAATTCAAATCCCAAAAAACACAGAACTCATTTCCTCGAACCCTGGGAATAATACCCATCGAGCTCGGGCAATGGGGGATTATTAGGAGCTGGCAATTCGACTGGTACATCACCCGTCTTTCTTGTTTGGCCGTAGGTCGGGTAAGCCGCTGGGTTCATTTGTAATCGGTTCTTTTGCTGTCGCTTGCGCCAGGCAAAAAATGCAATCAAAAAGAGGAAGACTACTCCGAACGCAACGCCGAATCCTACACCAAATTTGGCTGGTTGGGACAATCCAGACGATGCTGGTTGCGGATTATCGGCAGATGAGGTCGCCGCCGGTGGGCTGGTGGTTATTGAGCCGGTTATTGACCCGTCGGTAGGTACGGCGGTGGTGATGATGGCTGATGGTTCTGTGCTAGAGCTTGTTGGCTCGGGCATGGTTTCGTTCGCGCGAGATTTAATTGTTCCATCGTCGTTCAGGAAAAAGCCACGCTTGTCGACGCAGCAGGTTGCATCTTTGACGCAGCAGTAACTACCGTCTGCACATATATTGACTCGTGGAAGGAATCCAGACGAATCCTCTGTTGATTTTGGGGCATTTTAGCAAACGAAACTCTCATGTGCAGGTAAAGAGGAGATATATTTCTATATAAATATATCTTGGTGCTTCCATTTTCTCATAGATCGCTACGGTCGACTCACCCTCTATACAGACTTTGGCACAGTTGCCGTTCCAAGGGTAGACACTGCATGGCGCGCGGATGAGAGTATCTGGGTCGTTGTTGGAGGAGCACAACCGATCCGGTCGGCATTGCTCAGTAGTCTGACAGCAAGAATCGGAATCTGGGCATTTCGTATTGTTGCCAAACTGATTACCCGCAGAACCGAAGCATACTATCTTCCGTTGGCGGCTCATTTTTTATGTGTCAACTGAGGAGGATGTGTGGGAAGTGTTTCGTGTGAGGAACAGCTAACTATTATTCTTCTGAACGAAGAAAAGTCCTTGAACGAGGACCATATCAAGCAGCCACCCATTATTCAATGATTAACTAAGAAAACAACGCTTTTGGGGTCCAAATATCACATTATTGCCAAATTTGATTTGCAGGGGTTTCGGACTCGTCATGGTTGGACTGCAGGGAACGAAAAACAGTTGGCCCGACCCCAACCTCTCTTATTAGTACGGAGTACTCTGTACTCTGTATAAAGCCCGTAGACAGGCCATCAGCCCATGCCAATTGCCAAACTAACCAGTCGTGTTGGCTTCTGGGGAACCCGGAAGCCCCAAGCGGCGCCAATGGTTCAAGAGACCCATGCTGGGCAGCTGGCTGGCGGGGTCTGGCGCAGCGGATACCTTCTTCAGGCTTAGCACAAGTCGTCGTGCGCGAGTATTTATTTCTTCACAACGGAGCGGGGCTGTATTATAATAACTAGAGGTTATTCAAATACACAGAATGTCCCTTTCTGTTGCAAATGTGGAGCAGATGTTGAGAGTCTGTTATGTTTGTTGTTGGATGCTGTAGCACAGTACTCCGTAGTACGGAGTAGCATGAACCGTCAACTTCAACAACGCAACCCTCGATTTCCAGCCTTATCAGGGCATGAGAAGCGACAAGGGTTTTTTTGGATCTAGCCAGCCTTGAAGCGCGTCTGGAAGAGCTGGCTGGTTTGCTCGGAGTGAGCGGACGAGCCTTGGAGACGTAGGGCTGCATCGCTCCAGCCTGTCTTCATTAAACCCTTCAATTCGGCGTTCGCTAACTAACTACCAGTTAGCGCTTATAACGGCTGACGACGTGGTAGCAATTATCCCCCTCACCCTCCCTGATCCGCCCTTCAATGGCACAGTACTCCGTAGAGTGTCAATAATCGCGATCAGTGTGCTCCTCGCGGTTCGGAAGACTGTTTAGCCACATTTACATACGCTGTAGTAAAAAAGTCAGAGGTGAGGGTTTCTTTACGTGGGGCCGATCCAGGATCCAGTACAGTACTCACTCCGTAGCATCCTTCCAAATCTCAATGCGCGATGGGGGAAGAATTGTCCCCCCCAGCGCTTACAGCTCTTGGAGGCTTCCGTGGCGGGAATCGGAGGGGAACATGCGAATTATATAAAGTTTTTAAGTATAACTAGTCATATTCAGTATTCACCAGTATACTGGTATTGGTATCTCGAGCTACTCTTTAATATATATAGTAAGGCATGAATTGCCCTTTGCAAATCAAAGGGATGTGGCAAAAAAAGGAAAAAGAGCTCCGGGTCCAGAGCATTGCGTGTGCTCTAAAACTGCTGACTCCCGCTTCGTATAAGAAAACGCCAATGCCCGTAAAACTCGCGTGAGGCCAAAAATAAAAATAGAGAACCCCCGAAAACCAACAAGGGTCTTCAAAGAATACGGCTTGCCCCCCCCACCACCCAAGCCTCCACGGGACAGAACAAATATCTTAAAACTCAAATTTCAGAACTATTAAATGACTATACAAATTCATCCTGCATCATCCCCATATCGGATTCAAACAATTCAAAATTCGGAGCATGTGCGGGTATGTTAGTGTGCTGGTAATCTACAACCGGCCACTCGCCACCAGGAGGGCTGTCGAAAAATCCGTCCCAGAGACCCAGGAGCTGTGCTATGAATCGGAATCCCGCAACCAGGATTGTCCACACAGGGTTCAATATAACTGAGAGGTGCGACCAGCGCCAGAGCATGGTTGGTATAACCAGAGGCATCCGCGGCGCGTTAGGATCGAGACAATTCCGCTCGCACGTCGCGGCATATAGTGGATGGCAGTAATAGTCACACATAACCAGTTCCGCCAAGTACCAGGTGAAAAATCCGAGCACGATCCAGCTAAGGCGTGTGGGGCGAAGGCGATTGGTGTCTGGGTGACGATACCAGAGTCGAGGTAAGGGAAACGTGACGTAGTGACGGCCATCGCTATGGAGGTCACAGATGTCACAGGAGGAATCTGTATGGCGGTGGTGTGGTTTCTTGCTTTGCTTGGTAGTCCGCGATAATAAAATGCTGGCGTCCTTGGCGATTTGGCGTTCGAGGCTTGTTAGTCCTGTCTGGGTTGCATTGATACTCCGAACAAGAGATTGGAGTTTTTTATTCAACCGTTCAACGACGGCGTCGTCTGTCTGATCAGAGGCTTTGTCCTTGGCCTCATCCTCCTTCTCATCCTCCTCCCCCTCTTCCTCGTTGCTTTCAGACTTGATAAAGGGCTTAGAATCTAATATAGTTGAGTTCTCGTCAAGCAACTCTTGTAGCGAGTCAATGGTGCTTTCCCCAAGCAATAGGCCAGGATTTTCGGATTTCGCGTCCTCAATCACCGCCTCCAACGCACTCCGCGGTAATTTGGGCTTCTTTAATGGTTTTGAAGAAGCTCGCTTCGTCTTCGGTTTGGGCCTTGCATCTTCCTGCGGTTCTGGCGGCGGTTTTTCCGGCGGTGGGTTTTCTTCCGGCGGCTTTTCTGGCCGGCGCTTTGCTGTCGCTGCTAAACGTCTGTTTCTGGGATGGTTAGGAGCCGCCACGGCACTCGGGGAATTAATTTCAAGAGAAGGATCTTGTGGGGGTTCAGCGGTACGATCCGGTGCCGGAGTATCTATCCATGCACCAGTCACCACTGGTGTTTTAACGTTGAGGAGAGTGGTATCAGCTGGGGTCTGCTCTGGCGTGCTGGCTACACTTGGACTTTCTCTTCTCGAAAGTGTTCGTAAAAGTTCCTGTGGGTCGTTTTTAGATAAATGTCTCTGCCTTTCGCGATCTGTCTCTCGATATATAGTAACGGGAGAATTCGGTATAGGGTCTCCCTCTATTGAAAATCGGACCTGCTCCTGCGGCGCCCTCCTTTCGGTGCCCCCTAACCTATTTTCCACCACCGGTTTGTTTATGAAATTTTCAATCTCGTTCCTTGCCGGTGGATTGTTTCGCACAGGCGGACTACTAGAAATCTGTAACGACCTAGCAGTAAAATCGATATCATGCTCTAGTGCTTGGTCCGTTGACTGCGCAGTCCCCTCATCAACGTGATTATTCCCATTGGGTCGACTAGCTTTGTTCAGCCAATCCTTGGACACCCGCCCGCGCAAACCCCATGTCTTTGGAACGTTGGGTGAAGGTTCTACATCTTCGCGAAGCGCTTCCTCTTCATTCCGACGTTGTAGATTTTCAAACGACAGGGCAGCTTTGAGCCCGACCTTAGCTTTGCTGAAAACCGGGGATTCTCGCTGTGTTACACGCTTCAGCCGGGCTTGATCCATAGCATGTTGAGCAGGTTTTTGCCGCAGCGACTCGTCTGAAATATCGTTGAAATTAAGACTGGAGTCATTGGTATCACCGGTGCTAGCATAATCGTCTTCACGTCGCGTCGCGTTAGGGCTCGGGGACGGGCTTCGTGTCCGATCCAGTCTTCCAAGATCGTAGGAAGGGTCGTAATTGTCCTGAGCGACATATTCAGCCAGGTCGTCCGCGTCGTGAATCTGCTGATAAGTTTCGATCAGTTCGTCCGGAGGGGGACTTGAAACCTCCGCCATTAGCGACGGTCCGGAGATTTTCCTCTCCCTCCCGATCAGCCGTCTTGGAGGGGTTTTCACTTCATGGTCATTGTTGGCGGGCGCGGGTGGGCTGTCAGCAGCAGCAGCCTGGAATGCGCCTTTCAGCGTCCTGGTATTGCTAAACGTGATATGGGATTGAGCGCCATTCCTGGGACTTAAAGTAGGAATTCGCGACTGGTAGGCCATGTTCTGCGCCTGGCCATTTCGCTGCGGTCGTCGAAATCGAAGGTCGTCATTGTCGCGATCTTGCGAGTCGGGAGGATGGGCGGTGTGGTCGCCGGTAGACATAGCTTGTGTTGGACTAGTCCCGATATTCCATCATATGTAGCGCCTGCATAGCGCCAGATGGCTATAGCATTTGACGCATTCCTTTTTTGTATATCTCGAGTTCGGAGGTGGAAGGCTGGTGGGGGTGTGTTGTTCGGATTCCAAGATCGCGTCTGCTTGAAGGCGGAATGACATGGGAGTCCCAAAACGGACTAGCTCTGGATCTCGGCCTCCGCCATTTGAGTTTCGAGATAGAAACATCTTGGAAGCTTTTTTGAGAGCTGAAAGCCGGACTTGATTGACAGCAGCCAGCTAGTTGTTCATTCTTTATCTATTGTCTTTTCAATTGGCCTCCATTGTAGAAATATATCTTCGGGATGTATTAATAACTGCCAGTGGGCTTTGTCTATATCCGCATATTACTCTGCTCTATTCTTCTATGTGAGTGTCAACTTAGGCTTGCTCTAGCTCGCCAAACTTACAATTTTCTAGGATAAATCCCACGGCATCTGGGTATCGGGATGACGCTTTACCCGTTCACAGGACTTAAATTTTGAACCCAATCGTAACCCCTGAGAAGGGGTTGAAAAAAATCCGTCCCGGAACTAGCAACGCTGAAGGAGAGTTATTTAACGTACTCCGTACTTAAAAGGACGGAACGAAAAGTGGAAAACAAAATATGGCCAAACCCGCGAAAGCTGCCTCAAATAATAAAAGACAAGGAGCATATACTGCTAAATCCTCGACCTCATATTCAAAAACAACAAAACCCTCAACCCCGCTGGCCCCTTTCACTAAAGCACCGTCGTCACTCAGTCAATTCCTAGCACCCCTCTCCCCAAAACATGTCTACCTCATCCACCTAGACAACCACCCACAAAAACACAAGCGCCAAATCTTCCTCCTACCCCTCTTCCTAAACATCGCCATCCTAGCCCTAATCCTCTTAAGAGTCTACACAGGCTACCCAACCTACATCGACCTCCTCGCCTTGATTCTCGGGTACGAAAGCCCCGCCCGAGTCAACACCTCATCCGCAAGCTGGACCTATCTCCTCACAACCCTCCTCCGCCGAACCCTGACATTCCTCCTCGATTACCTCCTCCTCGCCATCCTCCTCCCCTGGCCCGTCCGCTTCGTTCTCGGCCCCGCGCACTGGCGGCGCAAGCTCGGCTTCCAGGGCTGCGAAGTCATCGTGCGGAAGAGCAGGGCGTCATGGAGCGATGAGCTGAAACCTCTCTCCTGGATCCGGGAAGACGACGAGACCATCAAGACCAGGGTTATTCCCGCCGTGACGCCGCAGCGGCTGCTGAAGACGGGATATTTGCTCATCGATGCGGACTGGGACCTGGATTTCGCGGCCATGGTCAAGGCGCATGAGCTTGTTGCGGAGGGGGCGCTGGCGGTTGACGACTTTAAGACTGCGGTGCTTGTTCATGGGGGCGGGGCGGAAGGAAATGATGGTTTGCAGTGGTTGATATGGAGGGTGGACGAGGAGAAACGGGGCGGCGCGCCGGGGAAACAACCAGACGGAGGAAGACTCTCTAATACCCAGCGGGACAAGATTATCATGTTCCAGGAGAAGCTGGCGTCGATGGGGAAGGAGGATTTGTTCTTCCGTTGGGTGGAGTTGATTCAGTATGAGAGTACCCAACCTGGCGGGTTCACGCCGGAAAGACAACAGAAGACCATGAAAGAGACGCAGCAGTTGTTTGAGGACCAAGGGGTTGATTTTGAGAAATTCTGGGCGGATGTTGGAGGGATGGAGGGGATAGATATGTAAATAGCTTTTGGGTGAGGTGTACTGTGGGGTACAATGTTCCTCGTTCTTCTTTTCCCCCCTTTACAATACACAACTTGCATTAAGGGCCGGTCATGGAAAACGTGCTTCCATTTATAATCCCGAAAAGTTTTACATAACGTAAACTGAGACAGATATTTCAATTGCAATCTCATCATTAGCCATCCAACATTGCGTCACATGGGGAAACTGCTGTAGCTACTACTATGGGTATGGTATGTATGTTCAAAGCGCACGCAACAGATAAAATATGCAAAATTTGACAGGTAGCAGAAAATTGCAGAAATGATAATAAACACGTCAAACCCGCCCCCAAAGCTACGTAAGTCGGGATAGAGAGGAATGCAATTAATTGCAGAAAGAATCATGAAGAAATGATGAATAAGCTGAAAAAAAGACCAACAAGAATTTAAAACCTCGTCAGCAGGCAGACAGCTCCACGGTGATAAAATAATAATGAAAATTCCAGTATTATATTAATAAATAGTACCAAAAGAGATTTTTTTTTTCCCCTATCCCCCCCCTTTCTCCGTGTCACGATCACGCTGTGCAAAAAATATGAGAAAAATCACAATCAATCATCACTCATGTGGTTTCGTTGTTTCGCCGCTGTTGGGCCGCTTAAATAGAGCACAGAAAAAAAAAAAATTTCGTCATGTCATATCTTCATAAGATAAAAAAGGAATTGCATGTTTGGGGACATATCACGCTTTAGCTTAAGCAGAGAGATAGGTCGTGGGCATCGTTGGGCTCGTGAGGGTATATTTTTTTCTTTCTTCCCGTTTTTGGTTTTCTCCCTTTTTTCGCATTCATGGGAAAGGTCGACCGGCATATCGGAAAGAGGTTTGGTTTTATGTCGTGGAAAGTTTTGGAGTAAGTTGTTGGAGTAGAGAAGCAGTAATTAGTGTGCAACTAACGACCACTTAAAATAATCGTAGCGTGGGGAATGAGAAAAACCGGCCGTCAGAAGTTATCTGTATATTTTGTGCCGCTCGCTTACGGTGCGGAGTATGCGTAGAAATTAATAGTTGAAAGGGTACGTTGGCTGTATGTAAGCACGCATTTGGCGTGAGCAGGCCGAATCATGTCAATAATAGCGCCTCATTGATACCGAGACTGGTGCCGAAGGATAGTAATCTCAGACTCAAAGGCTTCCGCATCTAGCAAACCGGGATGAAAAAAAATAGTAAGTAAACCTGCAACTCTACAATGCAAGGCTTGGATAAAGGCACGGGATAGAGAAAAATATATCAATGCAAAGTCATCATCTAAGAACGACTCAAAACTTAAACCCCACAAGAGATGAAGATTCGGCGTCGACACACTGACGACCACGATGGGGAAGATACATAAAAATAAAAATAAAATAAACCAAATACAGATAAAATATTCAGGGCACTCACCAATTTCATGCGCAAACGTAAGCACATGCTCCTGATGCCGCGTCATACGAGGCCTATATTTATCCCGCTGGATGAAAATTGCACGGTCGAGATTGGAGAGGATGATTGTTTTACGGTCCACACGTCGCATCCACGACTTTGACCGTACATAATGGTGTATAAAAGCCGTCCATACGGGAACGCTGCCGTTTCGGAAAATTGATTTAGCCCGCTGATATTTCGCATCTTCTTCAATCCAGTGCATGGGATTTTGGGTTTGGGGGGGGGGGGGTAGGGTGGGTTTAGAGGAGGTTTGGCGCATTGCAGCTCAGAATATATGAAAATGTGCCGATCTATCTAGATGGATAGGGCACAAAAGAAGTTGACTTACTCCGCCATTTCACCAGAGTGGATCGATGCCTGTAAACGGATGGCACCGGAAGGGTGATCCTGGAAAATACGAAGTGCGTGGAGGTAACTATCGTCGAGAATCCGGCTGTGCGCGTATTATATGAGTACGTACCAGGCCGCTTACAGGAGAGTACTAGTTTTGATGGGAAATATGTACATACCCGCCGTAGATTTCCCTTTCCTCGAGAGAAAAGGGGTCTGGAATCCTGCTTATTGGGCAACCGGAGTCTTGCCCTCGGAGTGCAATAAATGCACAATGAAACAACACCATTTCTAGAAGGTTGGGTTAGACGCTGGAAAATAATATAACAACAGACGATGGCAGTAGAAATTTGGGGTGCCTCGCTTGCTTACTCTCGATGGTTTCAAATTCAAGACTCAACCAGGCCCGCAAACCTTGCCCGTCGGATGATTTTGTACACAGTAAGAGATAAGAGTCTTGACGCGAGAGAATAAGTACGTTCAATGGTAGTGTCGCATAAATTATCTTTGATGATGAACGGTGAACTTGACATAGGATCCGTGCACGATGATCACGATCTCGCAGGTAGAAGATGGCTGTCAAATTTGGCTTGAAATTCCTAGAAAGGTGTTGAGTAAGACAACTAAACTGGGAGGAAAATGTATAGCTTTCGTCCATTTTTAAAAAAAAAGGGAAAGAAGAAAAGGAAAGAAAAGAAAAGAAAAGAAAAGAAAAATTATTCATACTTACAGTCTAAACAACTCATCATAGTCCTTCTCAATCTGCGCCAGTGCATCTGGCATATCGAAATCGCCATGACATTTCGACCTGTGTAGGGGAAATCTTTAGTTCTGTAGGCTATCACCAATCTCCAAGGAAGGAATCAAAAACAAACTAACCCTTTGTTAGAAAAAGGCAACGGGGTCGCAGTTGTAGGGCGGCTAAACAACCCCACAGCCCAGTGATCAAATGGGTCAAGAAGCGAGAACGAATCGGTGCTGGTGGAATCCGTCGTGGATGGAGAATCTGGGGCTGCAAACGAAGAAATCGGGCTTTCAACCTCAAACCAACCAGGGGCATGTGGAGACGCCGTGCGGCCACCAGCTGGTCTTCGTCGTTCATATGATCGTTTCTGTGTTGGGGTTGTGGGCACAGGTGTTGGCTTGCGGAGTGCACTCTTCAATGGAGGAGTATTCGAACGGGGTCGCAATCCGAAAGGCGGGGGAGGGGGCGCGGGAGGGACTGGCGGTGCAATAGGTGCGGCGGGCATGGCGGATGCAAGAGTCGCGGATGGTCCAAGGGGAGTAGTGGACGGAGGGGGTCCAAAGGTACGACCGCCATGTGTGAAATTCGTCTGACGCCGCTGCTGAGTATCAACAGCGAATTGTCGATCCTGGGCCATACGAAGTGCGGTTATGGTTTGGCGGAGTTCAACGAGGGCGGCATGATCTCCACGTTCACTAGAATTGCAGATTGGGGGTAGGTAAATATATTATTTTCTGGTTCTTTGGTGGGAGTATATAATTGATTAATAGACCAAAAAAAGGACAAAAACTTACTTTTTAACAACCAGCATGATTTCTCCCAGCATCTGCTTATAGTATTGAAGCCGGGTCACGAGCGGGTACCCAGCTTCACGGTGGAAGTAATCGCGCAAATGGAACCATGTATGGCGAATATTTTGTTGCGTAGCCTGTGCCCGCCCACCATCGTCCATTGCAATAAACGCTTCATTGATCACCCCGGTGGTGTGACAAAGGCTCGCCTTGACAACCAACTCTATATCGTTGGCGACGTAGGCAAAGTTGGGTTTGAGCGGGGATTTTTGTAAAGTTTCCAGAGAGCGGAGGTTGGCGCTGATAGTAAAGAGCTCTGTGACTACGGAGGTGATATTGCCCGCGTCCTCCGGCACATGCACGACAAATTTGTCGAAGATGGTTGCGGCATTCTCCGCGTCCAGAGCGGGTTGGAGGAAATCCATACTGGCGCAGTCGAATAACGATCAATGTCAACGGCAGGCACCCATCACAGGCAAAGTATCATGGGAAGGGTGTATATACATCCGAACTTTTTGCGGTAGGACGCAAGTCAAAAAAGAAAACAAAATCTATGGGGAGAGTTTTAGTAGTTACAGGGTAAACAGGGACATAAAAAAAACAAGGCACTGTTTATTTCCGGACCACAACACCCTCTTCTTCTTCTTCTTCTTCTTCTTCTTCTTCTTCTTCTTTTTCGGCAGCAGTACGGAGTACAGATTCAATAGATATATAAACAAGAGAAAAAGAAATGGTGGAGAAGATAAATAGACGCGGCTCCGGCAGATCCCAGCGTGCGTGTGAGTTGGCATTCGAAGCCGCATTTGGACACTAGGCCTAATGTAGCCTAGCACTGCGCCTCACCGCAGAGCCCGCATTAGTCATCAGGACATTGCCCGGCTCGACTGACCCTCTCTATCAAGGTTACTCCAATCCATTCCACCACCACTGCATCTCCTTGCTCTGTTGCTTCTTGAGTGCTTGTTTGTTGGCCACTTCAAAAAGCTGCAAGATCCCTCTTTTCATCCAATAGAATTTTCATCTCTCCTTCCTCTTCAAGGCATCTGCTGAGAGAAAACAAATGATCCACAGACCAAACAAGACAGGCAGACAGACAGACATAGAAGCCTGTAACCATCCATATCTGATATCTGCCCAATACACCACAACAAAAAGCACAGCACAGAGCTTAGCTGAGGGTGGAAGGAATAGCCAAATCCCAAACAGATGAATAGATATATATATATAACTGACAAATATACTCTTTGCTTGCCTTTTTGGAGCAGTCGCCCTGCCTGATGTCTTTTGAAAACCACACGAAGATGCAAGATGCAGCCTCATCTTTTTGTTTTGCTCAGAAGTGCAACAAGTACCCAGCAGGCATGTTATGATACTGCTATAACTAGATAGATACCGGAACCAATTGAAGGGCGATGAATGTCAATTCTCTGCCAACATCATACCTATATCATATCTATATCTATGCACATATATATATCTAGTGTGTTTTGTGTTTTGCAAGGTATTATTATGAGGAGGAAAATAGAAGGAATAGAAGTGCATGCATCCGGCGTAATATTTAAATCAAAGCATCAAAGAAAAAAAAATACCCCTACCCCTTCTCACTTCTCCCTCTCTCTCTCCCCTCCCTCTTGTCCCACAACGATAATAGAAACAACCTACCTTTTCTCGACTAGCACATTCTAGAAGGTATTTCTATTATTGTTAACCAGATAACATTTATAAATAAAACTTTTTTATTTTTTATATAGTTATCGGGAAAATTTAAACTTTCCCCTCCATCCAAACCCCCACCCTTCCGCCCTGGCCCCTGGGCGCCGCGTGCTAGTGGGTGGTGGCAAAAGGCCCAAGGGCGAAATAGGCTCACCCCGTCCCCCGGATCCAGAGGACTATAGCATCATGCCCCTCTTCTACCATCCCATGGTGTTTTCGTTTTCGTTTCGGCGCCTCTCAGGGGGTGCTGGATGATAGATTATATATAGGCACTTTTGAGCTCAATTTATTAATCAATTAATTAGACAAGCGACGAGCAAGTGCACACACATCAGAACTTAAAAAAATCGTAGATGGTAGATGGTAGAGGTCTGAGAGGGAAGGAGATGGTGCGGAATCGAAAGACTAAGGGTAAGAAAAGAAAAAAAAAAAAAAAAAAAAAAAAAAAAAAAAAAAAAAAGAGAGAGAGAGAGGGATGGAATGAGATGAGATGACAAGAGAACTGTTCTCAACAGAGCTGCGGTGGTAACAGACAGGGAAGCCTTGCCTCCTTTCTTTATCCCTATATTCTACTATCCACATTCTACTATCCACACACATACCCTTCCGTTTCTATGTCGCTGATGTGTGCTCGAGAGAGATTAAGCAACACATACAGCATTCAAGAAAAAAAAGAGGAAAAAGGAAACCAGGGAAACCATATTTGTATTTCAAGCGGAGTGGAGGGAAATAGAAGTAGAGGTAAAAAAGAAGTATCAAGAAACACGAGTTGTGGTTGTGGAGGGAGAACAAAAAAAGGGAAGACAAAGTAATAAAATAAAATTAAGAACCCGATAAACCCCCCTTCATTAGAGTACCACAGAATAATAAACAGGAAAAACGGAAAGAAGAAAAAAAATCGAAGAACCATAAAATGGAATATAGGGAAGTGAAGTGAAACAAGGGAAAGAGAGAAAAAAAACAAAGAAAGAACAAAGCCACAATTGACAGACCACCCGTCATTCCCATTTCCGATTCCCAGACAAGAAGAAGACGAAGAAGGAGCACAATATAGGAAGAAGCAGAGCCATTGGAAAACCGATTTAAAACATCAAGAGAACGTCAAAAAACAAATTAGTCCAGCAACGAGGCGTATCAAATAGAGAGCACACAGCCCGACAGAGCGAGCACACACAAGGCAGGAGTTAAGAAAAAGAAGTTCCCAAAGACGACAGACAACTACGATATAAAAACATATCAATCGCGTTCATATCGTGCCGGGGCCGTCCCTGCCTCGTTCACCTAGGAAGACTCGTCGTCGTCATCTTGCGCCTTGCGCCGGGCCTGTCAGCACATTCGGGGATTGGTATAAGGAGGGGGGAGGGGGGGGGGATGGAGAAAGAAACAAAGATGGAGGGCATACATTATAGCTCGCCTTCTCGTCTTCGTAGCGTTTCTTGTCAGCGGCAGCTTTGGCTTCATAAGGGGCGCGCTGCTTCTCGTTCAAGGCCTTCCATCTCTCTCCGAGGACTTTGCCCACTTGGCCTGTGATAGGGAAATCATATTAGATACATAGTGCTTGCGATGCGACGCTTATTTATTGAATAGTGATTATAAATTTTGAAATTTTTTCGCTTCGATTGACACATACCGAAAGAGATGCCAGGGTTTTCCTCGCGGACGTTGTCGCGCTGCTCGTTGGCGAAGAACATGTAGGCGGATAGACCACGCTTAGGAGCATTGGGATCTGTGAAGAAAATAAAGGGGGGAGGGTTGGTGCGTTAGAAATTGAAACAGTCCTAGAAGATCTGTGGGAGGGGGGCGTCCCGCAACGCGATGTTGGATGAATTTGCATACCCTTCTTCTTCTTCTCACCGCGAACCTTGGTTTTGCGGGTGGTCTTTTCCTTAGGCATGTTGGTGGTTGGTGTGTATGTGTGTGTTTTTAAGGGTGCTGCGCCGGTGCGACGTGATGTTAGTCAATTTCTTGCAGGCTTGAACTCTTGTTGCTAGAAGCACGACTCAAACCATGTCGCCACCATCAGAATCGAAGAAAAAACAGCGAATGGCGCGTAACCAGTGTGAAATTTTTAGGTAAACAGGTCTGTTGTGGGCATGAACCAGATATTGAAGGGGGTTGTTTGTGCTTGGGAGTATAGTCTGGGCCTTGCGCAGACTTGAGATGCGCGCGTGTCGTGTCGTGACAAAACACCAGCTGCGACGAGGACAGTGATGAACTTGAGAGATGAAGCTCATTTGACCCGTTTAGAGACGCGACTGCGCTCAATGGATGCAGGGTTTTCCATCCTTTTGCACCATGTTGGGTTCCGGAGCATAGCTAGCTCACAGGCAGCATTGCGATGGTGATGAACAAGGCATGATAGAAATAACAACAGGACAGCGACAATGGCTTATGAAAACAAAACAGGCGCGTGTAAACAGGACGATGAGAGGCATTGTGTTGAGAGAAATGAGTGTGTGGATAGAAGTATTGTTCGAGTGTTGAGGAAATAAATAAAAGAAGGAGGAAAACCAAAATTTATTGTTAGGGGGGGACCTTTGACTTACTGCGAGTGTAGTACTTTTTTTTTTGTATGGGGGGGGAAATTTGCCGTTGCGTGGAGGGGGAAGAAATGGCAGCGAAAAGTTGTATGGGAGGAAATTTGGTGAGGGAGAACAGCAGCAGAGAGAGAGAAGAGACTGAGCTGAGGGAGAGCGAGAGTGAGAGCGAGAGCAGCGGCGAGGGAAAAAGCAGCTGAGAGGGCAGGACAAGGGCAGGGCAGGACAAGGGCAGGGCAGGGCAGGGCAGGGCAGACAAGAGCGGCTGGCAGGACGGACACGACCAACCACCATTACCACCTGTTCTGGCTGTGAGGCAAAAAAACCCGGGCGAGACCAAAGCACCAAGGAAACGCAGGGGAAAAAATGGGAGGGGGGCCCGCATCATCTGTCATTTACCCTCATTTTACCGCCGGATACCAGTCATACCACCAAATACCGCGATCCTACCTCCCTTCCCTTTACCGCTGTTTACCACCCATACACTGCCTTACCACGGCACCGCCAGCAGAATCAGGCAAGGGCTGCTTCTGTATTTCCCACTGAAATAACGTGTGCTCAGGTTGCCCAGGTGCGCGGTCGTGGTAATAGGCCCTGAAAGTGCGTGTCTGTTTGAAATCTCCTTCCAATTCCGGTTGATCACCCTAATAAACGCACCAGTTAAGTGCGTGCTGATTATCCTTACTACAGGTAGTTGATCAGGTTGAATCACATTGTTTTTCCTGCTTTTTTTCTCAGGTGAGCAATATTTAAAATTTCTTACACCCTTGAAAGAGAATTATCATCATGTTATTGTAAATAATACATCTATCAGATACAATAATAAAATCACTAAGTATAAACACTCCTGTGGGCACGCCAGCCCAGAAGGTGGATTTTTATTCAAAGTGATGTACTCCGTACAGTCCACAGTCCACTCTGTACTTTGTTAAGCAACAACAGTGAGGAATAAATAAATACGACAGAGTAACCTACCTGTCCAGTACAAGAGTAATCCAGGCAGAAACATGTGCGCCTTGAGCTGTATGTGCGTGTGCACAATCAGCCAGCCCACCCCAGCCAGCCCACCCAAAAAAATCAGATAGCCAGTTACTTGGTATCTTCTTATAATGTATTCGGGGTAATATCCTGTCTCATTCCTGAGCTGTATGATTCAAGGATTGCACAGTATCAAAGAAAAAAAAAAACCTTCTTTAGTGTATGACCGACCAGACCATCCATCAACCACAACCGCACCCCATACAGAACCATGAGCATATGATACTCGTAACATCTCTCCTCTCTCTCTGCAGCAGCAGGTACCCCTCCAGCAGTGTCCTGGACGACATAATCTCAATAAATTGAGCTTGCGTTGCTGGAAAATCATATTCCTATACCGCGCTCTCCGGGCTTTTGAAGGGTTCTTTTCTAGATACTCAAGACGCTCATATGAAGCTGATATCGGCGCTGGATGTTGGTAAGCAAACCGCCAGAGTACATGCAGGGACCGCAGAGAGGGCGTGGGTTAAAGAGGGGGGTTACAATACCATACCGATACAGGGTCGAGGTTGGTCTTACTATTGTGGGTTGCTGTTGAGGTTGATGAGGGGGAAAGAGTTGGTTGACCCGTATGGTAATACCGATATATGTTCCAGTTCGGATTTAAGCTGTGTGGATTTTTTTTTTTACATGTAACTATACCATACGCAAGGCAGGCGGGCCCAGGAAGCTACATAGACGGCCAGCCAACATAGCGTGATCGCTGCAACACACCCCCCTTCCACTCTCAGCACAACAACACAATGGTATTTTACACCCTTACGGTATGTATGTATGTATGTATGTATGTGTGTACAGAGTATGTATGGTATGGATGCACTCGGTCATCTTCCGCAGCCCAACCAACCTCACTGCGCTTGCCCTCGTCCCTCTGCATTCCTGTTCGATGCATACCAAAGCGGTTTACACGGGGAGGGACCACAAGGGGCATGGTGGAGGAGGGGGGGGTGCTTTATTAATTAATAATATACGGGGGTTTTTTGCAATGGGAACTTCCATTGACCACCAACCTTCCCTGCGCAGCAACGGAAGCTGGAGGTGTCGTGTACTTGAAACAAAGCACTCCTGACACAATAACCAAAGGTACCAGGTACATGTTGTACCTCCAAGGTACCCATTTTTTATTTACGGATCTCGTTGAAAATATCACTCAGTAGCCGCCTCCTTGTAAAAACGAGACATCTTATTAGTATTATAATGATAATGCCAAAAAAAAAAAAAAAAAAAAAAAAAAAAAAAAAAAAAAAAAAAAAAAAAAAAAAAAAAAATAGTTAAATAGTTAAATAGCAATCAGAAAAAAAAAATTCTCAAATGTGAATTTATTTATTTAGTTTTGCACCACGGCCACTCCTCTCCTTACGCAGCCTAGGAGCGGCATGCGAATACACCATTGCTACACGATCTGATCTGAAGGGACTGCTCCAGGGTAGAGTTCACTTGGCAGACAGATATGGATAAGAAACCATGTCTCCCTCCGTTCGCGGGTATTGTGTGAAATGGGAAGGCGATCCATATACGGAAAAACCAGCAAAATAATGGCTTTGCTTCCCTGGACCGACCAGCTTACGGGTTTTAAAATAAAAAGAGTGACGTAGCCTAGCCTTTACTTGAACAAACAAATTCATATCCCGGATAGAAAATGAACTATAGCTCGTATTAATATTTGGGGCCTTGTTCTCTGTTTGTCGAGAGGTGTGAGGGCGATTGATGGTAACTCTATTATTGTCGTTCCAACTAATACCCCCAATCCATTTATCTTCATCCGTCCAATGCAAGCGGCTCTATGGCTTTCTCGCAACCTAATTATAATAACTAAGCGAACGAACCGATCTCCCTGCTTTCTTTCCCCTCTTGAATCGCCGCCCGGGGGAGGTTTTGTAAATCATCACGTGACCTATATCAGAGGAGCACCCCTTGGAAGGGAAGACACGGGTAGTAGTGGGAGCTGATGAGCGAGGACGATATATCTCGTTAACTGAACTCGGATATGAGAGGGAACTAATCACATGCAATGTACTCCATTTTGGGGTCGCATAGTGGCGTATTAAGGGTAGAGTGTTCTGCCCCGGGATGTGAGTTCTCTCCTTCACATAGCATAGGAGACAAATTCAAACTACCAATCGTTGTTTTCTTGTAACGGTTTGACAATAGCTATCCTCCAGGGGTGGATATGTGGTGTCAGAAAAAGGGAAGGAAAAAAAAAGGGGAAATTGCTGCATGATTACTCAGGTATCATCCAAGACATCGTCATCATCATCATCGTCGACCACCAGGTCGTGCAGCTGTTCATCCGCCGCCCAGTCAACGCCGCTCGCGACAATAGCAGCGCTGACGATGCGTTTGATAGTTACCCAGTTCGCTTTCTCGGCCTTAGTCTCCTTCTCCAGCGTTTCCAATTGAGATCTAAGCTTCTGGTCCGTTATCCCTTCTCTCCAGGACGTCTGCGCACTCGTGAGCCCGAGAAGGGTTTGCACTAGTTTCTGGTTCTTTGCGGTGCTGTGTAAACTGTCCACTTTTGCGGTGGAGAGCGACTGTGTGCATGACGCGTGGGCACGGGAGAGGTTCGTGTAGATGAGTGATAGGAGATCACGGCGGTTGATCAGGTGTAGAAGGGCTCTGTATAATAAATATAGGAAGGGAGAGTTGAGAAGCCATATCACATAGAGAGCCAAATAAAATATACTTGGGAAGGTATATGGAGAGAGAGGCGCATACCTCTCCGCGGGAGAGCCGGATACGGCGTGGACTGATTGGATGCTTGGGTCCGCCATCAGAACTGCCTCAATAGCTTTCCTCTTGACGGAGTATGTGGATCGAGCCTCGAGCAACTCGCGTTCTGCTGTTGCCAGCTGTTCCTCAATATCAATATCGTCATCGTTTAATGCTGGTTCAGTATAGTCTATAGGGTTTTATATGTCAATATACCGTTTGATCGGATGATAAAGAGCTCCTTGGGTTTAAGTATAAAAACAAATACCTTGTGATAATAGGGCCGTCTCTAGCTCCTGTTCCTGGATGCGGTCATATAATTCTAAGACTTGCAATTCCTTGCGGGACAGCGATACGATATCCCGTGCACTCGTAGTTCCAGCGAGTTCCAGCAATGTCGCTTCGTGAGGTTCTAGCTGGGTGTGTGACCTAGCGGGCACCTCGTTTCCCGGTGCCATTGCGGGCGGAGCAGAGTCAGTTGTCAGTTGTGCAAGTGGTGCATCTTGTGATGGGACAGAAGAATGCGCGAAACTGGCTATTTTAACCAGTTAATAGTTTTATTCTGCGAGAATCACAGGCCCCTTTTTCCACCAAGTCCTGTCAGGCGTCGTCGTTCAAGCGATCAACTGACACCTGACAGACGCGCCGGCGGGTTTTTTGGCTCTTGTGGTTTAAAAATTTACGGCGGTTGCCGGGGCGGGTTCCAAGTTGTTGGTCCAAGAGCCGAAAACGGCTAGACCGTGGTCCACACCTTTGCCGGCGACTGAAGAACCACTTCCAGAAAACTAAGGATGTGATGTGATCTAGATGGAGACCTCAGGTAGCGTTCAAAAATAGCAATTTGGATACCTGAACTCCCAAACTGCTCAATATCTCAGCTCTCCCTTCGTCGATGATCTCCCTTTATCCCGCCTACTGACTGCTATCCCTCTGAGGGCTGTTTCAGTGGCTTTGGAAGGGGGAATGTCGTTGCACATCTACATCGCTCATACGGGCGAGCAGCTGCTGGCTGATCCTGTTTCATTTGCCTCGTATGGTTTTATCCCTCTGCTATTGACTGATATATAATCAATATTTGGGAAATAGGTCCAGGAACTAATACCATTCTCAATAGACCGGATGCCTTGCGAACATGGATCTCCCGAAAGGTTTCAATACCGGCTCAGCGGCAGATATTGATGACTGCTCGTGGGAGGAATGTTCGGCCTCAGACGCTCGCGACGGAGGTAAGTAAAACCGCAATCCTCTATAGACAACCTGACAAATACGCTTTTAGCTAACTGCAATAGAACGAAATATTTGTTTACGATCGGCTCTATATAAGTGATGGAACTGTTAGAGATCTCCGCGAGATCGCGCCACCCGAACGTTTTATCCCGGAAAACCCTCCCGATACGCTCGCGGACCAGAATAACTTACAAGCATGGAGGAATCTCTACATGGCTCGAAGGGCATGGGCTCTAAATCTGGCGGCACAATGCGCTCCAATCAGCAGAGCTACAGATAACCAGATCGAACACACCCACGTTATCAACCGAGCAGTCGACGTTGCCTTGGAGAACCTGAAATCGCATGTTGGAAACCTAGAGCACAAGTTCCAGGAAGCCCAGTCATGGGCGAATGATCTATTGAAGGAACAACAGTTGGCTCTGGATAGCTGGCGGAGTGTACTGACGAATATCGAAGCTACCCCTGCGAATAAAGACTTCACGTTCCTACGACGGCCATCAACCCCGAAGAAAGCGAAAGAGCGTCAAACCGGCACTTTGCAAGACTATATCGATGTGGATCGGGTCAAAAGTGCTGCATCCCAAGTGTCGACTGTTTCTCAGCGTTTTGCCTGCCGCATGGATGAGATTGAGAAAGCCGTCCATGAGGTGGCTTCGGAAACGGAGTCGCTTGTTGAGGCGTCCCATCCATCACCTCAAGAAAATGCAAGTAGCCTACTTGAGGAGATCGAGACAATCGCCAAGAAAATAAGTTCTGATTACGAACATGTTCTGGCTCTTCCAAACACCCAGAAGACGTTATCGAGTGTATCACGGATGGCGTTGAATCATACAAAAGATCTCCTACCCTCTATGTTGGAGATGGGGTTGGAAATACAGACTGCCTTAGAGCACTCCATAAAACAACGGAACTTGGCGATGAAGGCTGCTGTTAGTCGTATGCAGAAAATATCCAAAATAGAATCTCGATTAGCTGGCATCCAAACAGAGCTATCTAATTTGGATGTTGAAGGAGATGCCTTCGAAACCCTATACAAGGCTTCCCAATTGCCTCTCCTTTATGGGTCGGTTCTCATTGAGGCTGTCCGCCGCCGTGAATGGAGTGACAAAATGAAAAATGATTCTCTTAGTATCGCTGAAGAATTAGCAGTCTTTCGAGATGAAGAGCAACGTCGACGGAAAAAATGGATTAAAAATATAGGCTCCTTTGTCTCATTGCCCGAAGACGCCACCCCTGGTATAGAGATCAACTTGCAGGGCGGTCAGCAGCCTGAATGGCCTGAAGTTTCTCGCAAGGAAGTCGAAGCTTACATCGAAGAGCTAAAAACAAAGCCTGATACCAACTCTGCCGTTCAGGAGTTAACACAGCTATTGAAAGATTTGGACGCACCTACCCGACAGCAGAGACGAAAAGCAAAGGCATTTAAACATGGAAGCGTTTTTGATATCGGCAGAAGTTCGTTTCTTAACCGCGGGGATGATATGGTTCGGAGCTTGAAGGATGAAAAGACAAAGCTCGAGGACAGGCTAAAAGGTTCGGAGAGTCGTATTCGAAAATTAGAAGACCTTCTCCATCGACAAAGCCAGATGAGCCGACCTGTCAGCGCAAATTTTGGTTCTGATATCCCTATTTCCCCAGCCTCCCCTCGCCCAGATACACTCTCAAGAAGGTCATCTGTATCCTCCCGGCGTATGTCGTCAAACCAGACTCCGGAAGACAAGGCTTTGGTGCAACGTATTGTTAGTCTGGAGGCCGAACTGGTTGCAGAGAAAGAAAATGTGTCCAGACTCCAGAAGGAAGCACATTTGGACCGCCAGTCCAGTAGTGATAAAATACAAGAGGCCCAATCTACCAAGAAAGATTTAATGGAAAACTTGGAGGCGCAGCAGCGGGAATTTGAAGATGAAAGGAGGTTCCTAGAATCGGAGGCGAAATCGATCAAAATCAAGCTTGAAGAAACTGAAGAGGAGCTGGATAGAGTGATGGATGCCCGGGAGCACGAGAAGCTTGTTGCTGATGAACAAATAACCGCTCTACAGACAGAACTCGATAACCTGCGAAACGATACCTCCAAGGAGATAGCCACTCTCACGACTCAGGTCCAGGCTTTCCGGGAGGCTAGCGAAAAGGCCAACGCCCAGAATACATCGCTAAAAGCGAAACTTGAAGAGGTTGATCGAACTCAACGAGACTACGTAAACGCTCTACAAACCACTCACGCGCATTTATCTCCAGGTGGTTCTGCCCCTGGCGGTTTATCTTCTCTTATTAGAGCAATTGAAGTCCTGTCGGAAGGACTGGCTATCCACTCCAAAGGCGCTGATGAAGCATTTGCTAAAGCCAGTGAAGAAAACAAGTGCTTGTTGGAGAAAGTAGAACGAATGGAAGCTGAAACTGACGGGCTGAGGGCAAGACTCGCGGCTGAAGAATCGGAACGATCCAAACTGCGAAAGATGCTGAGCGAGGAAACGATAAAACTCTCAGCGGTCAGAACGGAACTGGAGGATGAGCGTAAGCAGCTCAGCACACTGAGGTCTAAATTCTCCGCTGGGGAGACCGGTTCAGAGGCCCTGAAAGAACGAGTTGCGGAGGAGGAGCGCAAAGTTGCTACCTTGACCGAAAAGCTCGCCGTTGAGGAATCTCGTGCGCAAGGTTTCGAAGATGATATTCGTACGTGGCAAAAGAAGGTCGAAATGCTGGAAACCACCGGAGAGCGTAACGATTCACTGCTTAGCATAAAGGAAAGCTGGGTTAAAGAGCTCTCCGAAAAACTATTCTCCCATGTTGAGCAGCTCAACCGGATACTTCAACAGCTTGGTTTCACAGTCATTCGCCAAGATAACAGCATGGTCATCCATCGAGCGTCTAAGGTCAACAACAATAGTTCATTGCTCGGAGAAAGCGTCAAGTCTCCATTGGCTACTCCAATGATTCATGACCCGAAACTGTTAGAGAGGGTTAATACGAACGATCGGGAGGAGGAACAGTCAAATTACACCGCGTTCATCACCGCAATAAATGAATTTAGCGTGGAGTTATTCGGCGAAGCGGTAGTCAAGCGCGTGAAGGATATCGAAACCTTAGCACGTAAATGGCAAAAGGAAGCTCGTGGGTATCGGGAAAAGTCACACCGTTTCCAGAGTGAATCTCACGAAAAGATTGCATATCGATCGTTCAAGGAAGGGGATCTAGCGCTGTTCTTGCCAACTCGCAACCAGGCCATCCGATCGTGGGCCGCATTCAATGTTGGCGCTCCCCACTACTTCCTTCGAGAGCAAGAAGTGCATAAATTACATACTCGTGACTGGCTACTTGCGCGGATCTCAAAGATCGAAGAGAAAGTGGTGGATCTTTCCAAGTCTATGAATGGCACAAATCCGGACCGTCGTTCCATCGGGGAAGCAAGCGATGGTGCCTCAATTGATGATGATAATCCTTTCGAGCTCTCGGACGGTCTGAGATGGTATCTACTTGATGCGTCAGAAGAGAAACCTGGGGCTCCAAGCACGCCGGGGCTAGCTAAAAGCACCGTTGCATCAGCGCATGTGGATGCTAAAGGGAGTATCCGTTTAAAACGACCAACTAACGGTGGAGGAGCAACGAAAACATTGACGAAGAGCCTCGATAGCCGACGGAACAGCTCAGCATCGAAGATAGGCACGCCGGTGCCTACACTGCAAGCCGCAGAGCCTGCGGGAGATAATGTGTTGCCAGCAGCGGGGGATTCAGGTGCGCAGGAACGGAGGGCGGAGGCACCTATTTTCGACGAGGTTCGCAGAGATCTTTTATTGGGTCCTTCAAACGGAGAATGAAAATATAAAATATTTATGAGCCTTATATATAAATTTTTATTTTATGGAAATGATGAAAAACATGTTTGTTTGTCGGCTGATGATTTTTTTGTTTTATCTTCTCCTTTTATCCCGAAAAATAGGGTACATCGCGGGACAGAGCTGGCTCTCAATCTCGAACTCCCAATACACACCGCAACGGTGGTGCTAACGTCGCACCCTCTTCTCCTCTTTCGTCACCGAGCAAGCGCACATCAAAGCCGAGACCGTGGGAAAAGCTATGGTCTTTGGATTATCGATCCGAGAGCCTAGGCCGTCACAGGTAAAACAATCATATGTGTCCTTTCTACCCGAAGAAGACAACCCGAACATAGCGACGTCGTGAATCCTGTCTAGCAGACGTGATTGAGAAGACAAGAAAGGAGCGACGACGTTTGTTCCCGTTAGTCATCCCTTTATACGTTCCATTGTTTTTTTATTTGCAAAAACACTGATCCGCTGATACTCCATAGAGCTATCTAGCGCCCTGGCAAGAAGGCTACGGTGAATGCCTCTTCCGCCACACTTCCTGTTCCTCTGGGAAAGGAATGACGAGAAGTGAAATATATATATAGGATTAATGTCTGCATTTAACTCATCTGCATTTCCATATTGACATATCTCCTCATTTCAGGACTTACTTATGCCCGCTAGTTATTGCACCTGCTGATCTACTCCGCCCGGAAAGAGATGCGGCGTCAGGCGAAATGACCACAGCGAGGTACGATTCCTATTCGTTATTTATTGGTTTTGGGCGCTGTTTTCATTTGCTTTTTAGCGGCATGAAGTCACTGTCCATTTTCCTTTGTTCTGTTTCATACATTTATTGGTATATAGAAGGTGGATGATATCGATTATGTTATGGGAGAGCAATCATATATTTGAAATATGTTTATTCTTATATTGACCTAATCCAATTTGGCTATGCATGGCTGCTTCAGTAATTAATTTTTTTCAATAATTTCCCATTAAAAAGTGCTTTCAAACGCCCGCAAACCGTATCCTTGGGGTATATCCAACTCAAACAGAAACAGGTGCAAGAACATAACTATGAATAGATGAGCCCTAAGCATGCACAACATATCGTTTATCTTTCACCCTTCCCGATATCACCGCCTATACCTTCTAAATCACCCAGCCCATTCAAAAACTCTTCAGCCCTCCTCTTCGACCTAAGCTCCTCGATCTTCCTCCGTCTCTCATCCTTTGCCTTCTCCCTAGCACTCTCCTTCTTCGTAGCCGCATCCCGCTCGCCCAAAGTTTCCTTCCTCGCTTTTAACAACTCCTCCATCTCCTCTTTGCGTGCCGCCTGATCTTTAGAAAATGCATAGAACCCCGTGCCCCGCGTGCGGACTTCTGCTGCTGCATCGTAGTGAGTTTCTGGGGGAGGGGTCGGGGTGCGATCCCGCTTTTTTGCAATATGCTCCATGCGCGCGGCAATGTTTGCGTCCGGATTGAAAGCTGCAGATTGGACCGTGGAGCCGTAGATGAGGTTCGTAGGGCGCTTTGGTTTGGCTGATGGGAGGATGTTGTAGTTGGTGGGGTGTGTAATGTCGCTGTCCAGCCCACCACCATCTTCATCAGCTGCAGTCCGCGGCAGTGGCGCACTGCGTCGTTGTAGAGCTGCCTCCGCGGCTTCTGCGCGGGTACCTCGACGCGAGCGACCAAATTCATCAACGTAGTCGACAAGTAAAACATCCTCCTTCTCGCGGTCGTCGTTGTCGGCGTCCCTATCCGAACCAGATGGGGAAGCTGAGCCTCGTGCCCTCCGTGCCCTTATCGCCTCCTCCTCCGCCCACTTGCGATCAAAATCGACTAGACTGTTGCTTTCAGCCCGCCTCGTTGCATGCACTGCTGGGTTTCTCAAGGCAGTTTGATCTTCCTCCTCATCGCTGCTATCCACCAGATGCTCGCCTTTCTTCAAATCCTCGTATAGTTTAGCCTTTTCGGCCAGTCTTCGTTTAGAGCGTTGGAGTGTCGCATCGTCAATATTACCAATGTCTGCTCCTCGTTTGTGGACTTGGTGAATGACATGTGGTGAGTCCCCGGAGACATCTGCTGCGGCGCGTTTGTGTGCGTTCTTGTTGTGGATGGTGAAGATATCTGGTTTTGAGCGGGACGGTCGGGGGCGACCTTTGGTGGGTTGCGTAGCGGAAGACGATGTAGAGGGGTTTGATTCTTTCGATATTAGGGCGGAGAGATGAGTGGTGAAGGCTAGAGTGGAGGAGGATGTGAGGTCTTTTTGCGACGCGGTGGATTTGGGGCGGCGAATGCCGTACAGCGATTGAGAATCTGTCGGCATAACTCTAGTAAAGGCGGGTTATCGCTCAGTTGAGCTGTTCTCGACAGGAAAGAATATGTAGACGGGCCATAGGCCGCACCCACGAGCTATAGTTGAGCTGTAGGGGTGAGCTGAATATGAAGGTGTGGCTATGAATAGAAGCTTAGTTGATAGATAGCTCGGCGGCGGCTGACGTGATTGCTGCGGGCGAAGTCTTTTTGCCCCGCAACCTCCCACTTCAACATCAACAATTTACACCACAGCTACATAAAAGGGAGTAAATTCCAGATAACTAGACACTATTTTAGAATCCCAGGTTTGGATATTTCAATTGCTACTAATAACTGGTTTATGAACTATACTCCAATTGAATCCATCATGACAAGCAAAGCTATCTATCTCGGAGTCATCGGTAAGCTCATCTGAAAACATAAAATGCAATCCATCCATACCGAAAAAAAAAAAAAAAAAAAAAAAAAAAAAAAAAAAAAAAAAAAAAAAAAAAAAAAAACCTTAACTAACTAACAAATCTTACACAGGGGTTGGCGGCGTCGGATCCCATTTCCTCACTCAATTATCCCGTCTCCCCAATGCGCCACCTCTGATCCTGCTTGCCCGCTCTTCAGTGACAGCCACTTCGCCCGCCACATGTTACTCCCCCGCGATTGATCCCGACAATTGGCAATCTGCTTTCTCAGCTTCCTCTCCCTTTACCAAATCTGGAGCCTGGGAGCCAGAGCAGATAGCTGATTACATGTCCCAGGCTCCCGGTCGCGCCGTGCTGGTCGATAACACTTCAGATCCCACCATCGCGGAAGCCTACCCCCTCTTCCTCAGCAAAGGCATTAGCATCGTAACCCCAAACAAGAAAGCATTCTCCTCTTCCTTCGATACGTGGAAAAGCATATTCGACACAGCCGCTGGCACCTCCTCACTCGTCTACCACGAAAGCACAGTCGGCGCCGGCTTGCCGGTGATCTCTACCTTGCGCGATCTCGTTAGCACTGGTGACCGAGTCACCCGCATTGAGGGTGTATTTTCAGGAACTCTCTCTTTCCTATTCAATAACTTCGCCCCCGTGACGGCTCCATCTGGCAGCACTGTGCAGAAATGGAGCCAGGTTGTCTCCCAGGCCAAGGAACTCGGTTATACAGAGCCAGACCCCCGAGATGATCTGAATGGCATGGATGTCGCGAGGAAACTAACCATCCTAGCCCGGATTGCCGGCTTAGAGGTTCAGAGCCCCGAATCTTTCCCGATTGAGAGCTTGATTCCCGCAGAACTTGAGGGGGTCTCTAGTGCTGAGGAATTTATGCAGCGTCTTCCTGAATTCGATGATCGGATGGAGGCGATCAAGGAGAAAGCGGAGGTCGAAGGGAAAGTTGTGAGATATGTTGGCAGCGTGGATGTTGCGGGCAACGCTGTTAAGGTTGGGCTGGAAAAGTTTGACAAGGACAGTGCCATTGCGGGCCTGAAGGGGAGTGACAATATTATTAGTTTCTATACGGAAAGATATGGGAAGAACCCGTTGATTATCCAGGGTGCTGGAGCTGGTGGTGCTGTTACTGCCATGGGAGTTTCGGCGGATCTCATTAAGGTATTAGAACGACTACGTTAGAAAAGCGAACTGGGTGCTGCTGCTGGGAATTTTGATTATCAAAGGGGAAAATGAGGGAAAATGATGACATTATAAAACAAAATCATGCATATTTAACATGAAAAGTTTGACTTAGCTGGCCGGTGCTAATAAAAAGTGCACCTATGCATTCAAAGCACCATGCCATGCACACCCCATTGGTATTTGACATCAAAAGTTCACCCAAATTCTAGAGAAAGCAAATAGTCGTCTAGTTAGTACCTTCTTCAACTTCTTAGAAACTTCTTGATCGCTTCTCCCCATGCTGGTATCCGCTTATAAACCGCCATCTCCGGAATACTGCCTTCGCTAACACCGTCGATTGCCGCTGCCAGGTCTTCAGCTGACCCCTCATCTTTGATTTCTTGAATGGGATATCGATACGTGTGGAATGAAAATACCATCGCCCCTGACTGCGGCAGGCGGAAGAGAGTCTGACGCTCGCATCGCAAGAAGGTCTATCGTGATGGTTTCGGAGTTAGTTCAATGCTCCCTGAAACATGACATTTCAATAAAAAGTCACATCGTTCGTGAGCTTGAAAGAGGGTATTTTAAAAATTAAAGGAACACTCACATTGTCAAGATCCACTTCTTTCAATTTAAGTTGAGTGATTTCTTCCCCATTGTGCGCGTGAATGCCCCCAAAAGGCGAAAACAGCTCTGCATCCACCGTAACACTCCAATTGACGCGCTTGACATATTTTCCAGCTGGGAGTTTATGGAAAAACCGATCCATGCTCTTCTCAAGCTTTAGTCTATATCCAGGTATCGGCTCATGGATCTGAGCCAAGGGTTTGCCAAGCTTTTCCCGCGTGTCGAAACCGGACGGGAAACATGTTGCATACGCCTCGAGGATATACTTGACTTCATCTGATGGATCGCTGGGTGAGTCGTCACTGTTCTTTTCGCTTGTCTCTTCGTTTTTCTCTTGTTGAGCTCTCTTCTGTCCGTTTTTTTTGCCATTGTCATCACCACTATTCTGGTCGGGGAGCAGGATCAATATATCCTCGTCCACTGATTTGATTAGTGTTTCAAGAATGCTTCTTGTCGTGCGGGTTGAGCTGATCTGTATTGGGAAAAGTTCCATCGTGGTCAGATTGCGGACCATTAGAGCGGGCCCAGTTTCGAAATCGGTCTGGACAAGTTTGAACATCTGTGGGTATCTATTGGGGAGATATATACCCATAATGTATCTGTAAAGCTCATGAACGGCGGGACGGATCCGCGGGTCTTCCTCATCGTCCTTGTTCACTCGACAGACGACATCAGGGTACTTCTTAAGCAGTTCGCGGCGGAGGGTTATTCTCTCTTTGTATGTTTTGTCCATCAGGATGAGTTCACTGGGGTCGAGATTTTCGAGACCTGTTAACAGAGTAAGTTGAATATACGTTTACGATTTTTCCTGCTTGTTGACTTCGTGTTATCCGCTCAAAACAGTGGTGGTGAGGGACTACATACCCATTGTAAGATGGTATTTAGGCTTATACGGCCGCAGTTTGAGTGGCTCAGTTTTTTCCCAGTCGAACTTCTGTAATGGCTCAACGAGGGGGAAATCTGAAGTACACAAGATAGCATCGAATTTTTTCTGACGCTCTATTTCCGCTCTCTGTTATTTTATATTCAAGTATCAGCCATGCTCGATAATCCCGATCATAAATGCGGCTTAAAATCGCCTATCGCCAAAGATAGATTCGCAGCGAAACAAACAAATAAGTTCATTGAGACGAGAGACGAATACGCAGTGATCAAGACAAAACTTGATCTCAGAAAACAGAATATAAAATTCAACAGGCTTGTGTAGGCCATATTGCAGCTCGATATTTTGGAGATGACTCTCACACACATTTTTATCTCAACCGTGCGAATCGTCTTGCACCATTTTGCATACATGTCAATAGAAGTGGAAATGTAGACAACGGGGATGATACAATACATCAGACCACAATATAGAAAAAAATCACACACCTTATTAGATCTATGTCTCTGCACAACCATCACAAGGAGCGAGAACAACACGACCTTTGTCATGGTGTTCATCAGCGAGAAATACTGGACCAGGAGGTCCATCGCCTTGGCCATCTCAGCCCGGAAGGGGAGACCATCGAGCAAAAAAGCTGCCTGGTCCATGATGCTTGACTGCTTTATTCCTTCTCTTCTTCTTCTTCAAGGTGCGCTAGCGGAGGGGTGTTCAGGTTGCGATAATTATATCATCACTACAATCTCACAAAGCAGAATGAAAAAAGAGGGAACGGCGCGACTGAGATATTTGTAGTCCACAGCCCAGCCTCCAAGAAGGCGGCAAACGTCGGTGGGTTGCGGAGTTGAAGCTTACTCGTCCGACCCCCGGTGTCGGTATCCACCAAGTTGGGGTAGTTTAGTTAAACTACGCAGTACGTGCAGGGCCGATGTATTAGGGATCATCCGCTTGGGGGGGGGGGGGTTGGCGCCAACTCTATCAGCCCTAGCGTCAACTAAAAATAAGCCATCTTTCTTAAATGGCGCATACTTACGCTGTAGTTCTTGTGCTCCGGTACCTCGGTCTACACTCTTATAGAGCTTTAACTAATTCAAGACATACGGCACGTTTATGAGCTTACGCGCTTGAGAATCTCCGCTGAAACGGAGCAGCTTGAACTTCGTAGAGGATTAGATATGCATTTATTTAACTTGATTTCAAAACGAACAAAGAACATACACTGCATAAAGGATTAAACTAGATACATTTGATCGCAAACGAGCGTTGAATAACGAAACAACCAGGCTTCACAACTATAATGTGCAGCGGACCTGAACGCCTTCAATTCAACGAAGCGCTTCTCGGCACTCGGGACATCCAACTCTGATAACTTTGCGGGGGTAAGAAACATCTTACGTAGAAGATCTTCGATCAATTCCAACACAGGAGCAAGCGAAGCAGAACGTCCCTCCACCAAATATATACTGCCTAACCGGTGGTGCGCCACACAATACTGGTGGATTCTTGCCATCTTCAACAATCGCGATACTCACGGTACCCCCCCCGTTACTCAGTAGGTGTTGTTTTCTCCATTTTCAAGGCGCTGATGTTGAGATCTCTGTTGTCAACCATTTTAAGCATCTCCAAAAAAGCATTAGCGTCGGTGTTGGTCGTCGAACATTGCTTAATGCCGTCCCTGTTTCCTGCGCCGCGAAAGGAGGCGGTAATGATGGAATTCTGGATACCCACGCCAGCGAGGTTTGCCATGAATGGCCCTTGCAGAAATCCCCAAGAGTTTGGCCCATATGTGTCCCTAATCTTTCTGAGAAGCAACTTACCACCTTTGCCTCCTGAGATGACGGCTTTCTCTGCATTCCTGTACGCACATCTCACCCCAACATCGCACTGGTCCATTAAGTCCTGCTGTAAAAGGAGATTCTCTACTTCCATCTTGGAGTTCGAGACCGGAGATCATGCACCTCAGGAGGAAGGACACCCCTTTTGTGAACTTTAATGGCTCTCTCGATTAGCAGTTGCCAGGATATACAGGGCTTTCTAGAAATGAACTTTGACCATACTTGAATTGTTCCACTCGTCCGGTTTTACCCCAACAAAAAGCTCAACTAATCTTCTGATACCTCCAAATCTCATCTTCAAAGTTACCGTAGTTGCCGTGTCCAACTGGGTCGGTTTTGGCTTGCTCCTGAATGGTACGGGTCACAAGGGCGTCAACAATACCGGTAGCATAGACTAGTGAGAGAACAAGGGTGGGAAAATTGATAGCCTTCATGATGGTAGCAATGACAGAGTGTTCTGATTATCTTAAGGCAAATTTATGTCGATTTTGAATCTTGAATGAAGGATATTTAGGGGAGTTGGATGGCTTTTTGATTCTTCTTGCCCTCATTTCTCACGGAAGCCACAGCCCCATAAATATTAAAGCAGTTCTGGAGATTCTCGAGATGATTACTTCATAAAGTCTCTCGAAGTTCCTCAAAATAGAAAGAAGTTGCCATTGCAAGGCATCTTGTTTGCGGACCCTCGCCCCAACCCCCTATCTTCTGGTCCACAGTGCGTTTTTACTCCTTGCGTATTTTGAGCGAACCCCAAAATCCCACTGTAGCACAGTATTGACGAAGTTTCTCCATGAGGAAATGAGGCACTTTCCAACTGGAGAACCACCCCGAGAACTTCCAATAATGGATATCACAGTGCCTGGAGCGATCAACGTCTATCAGTTCAGTCCAGTACCTGGTAATTGGGATGATTAACATAGGAATTTGGGGCCTGGCAAGGGAATCCACATTATGTAAACCGATGAAGCGGCTTAAGTTGTGAGTTCTTTTCTATAAGGTATATTTTGGCGAGCCGTAGTGATGATGGTGGTGTTAGTGCAGATGATGTTGAGACTAAGCAGAAATCCCGCTGCGGAGCCGCCCCCATACGCCAAGCCCGCTAGCCTCAAGGATCTCCCACTGGTTGACTAGGCGATATAAGCGATATAAGCGGGATACCCGCCGCCAAAGTTTGGAAGGTTTTCTAGGCTACTACTGGGGCAAAAGAGCTCAATCACCACCAGCGCACTGCTGGTAGAAGGGCCGAATCAACCCGGGACCCTCAACAGGTTTCGGCCCCTAGTCACGGGTCGCTTCTCAATGCTGAAACGCCCGCTAGCTTCAACCTGTCCGACGTCATGTAGCTCCCAACGCCGCAGAGGTGGCCCGCTGTGGGGTTGGTGGACGTACTGTGTGGCATGAAAAGCCTCACATTAGCCTCTAGCTACCTTGTTCACTTTATAACCAACCTTATTTTGGTGTTGATTTATGCAGGCTCTCTTTCAATGGAGTCCATTGGCACTGAAAAGTGAAAGAGTGTGCCTCTAAATAGAAAGATCATGGGTTTGTTTAGCCCTCGATGTCCTCTCAGGAGTAATGACCTCCTTTCAACTCACAGTCGTGCCTGTGCGAGATTTGCAAGGCTACTGCTCAGCCCTCTAACCATTGCGCCAGGACCCCACAATCGGTTAACAGGATCCCTCCAATTGAGTTTGGGAAACCCATCCTCAAGTGAACCATTTTATCGATGTAAAATTTGGCAGTCAAAACACATTTCCATTGCTAAAGCCCTTCAAGCAACTAATGTTATGGGGCTGTTATGGGAGTCAATACCCATTGAGAATAGAGAGGGGGGTTTCACTCAATCGCATCGGATTCGGGGCGAAAAGCACCTTCAAAATTTCCAAATTAAGAATTGATAGTTCTCAGGAGCCTGCCCTTCAAGTTATAAAAGGCAACGTCTTCCTCTATTCAATATCCCTTTCATCATCATCATCATCATCATCGCCAGCAGCAGCATCATCCGCAACAAGAAGAACAAAAAGAACAACAATATCGGCACCTACATTCAAATCTTTACTTCACCACATTCCCGCAATTCCAAACTTGCAAACGTCTCTCAAATCACAATGCATCCCCCTACCCTCCTCTTCCCCGTCACATTTCTCGCCATGGTTGGCACTTCGATTGCTGAAAACTGTTGAGCCTTCCCTATCTAAAAAACGAAAAACCAAGGTCTTGAACCAATAGCTAAATGAATGGTATTGTCATCTAGGCAAACCCGGCCTAAAATATTGCGATGCCTCTCTTCTCCAAAGAGGCATGTCATGTCTTCAAAAACGCCGGAAAATTCCCAAAAGCTGCCTCACCGGCACAGACTTGGCTAACGCCAAAACCCTTTTTCTCTATCTATTCCTAGGCAACTATGAGCGAACCATCCAAAACGCCCTGCTCGCTTCCGGCCTACAATTCGACGATAGAAGGAGGGTTCTATTCCAATGCTTGGACCACGGCGCAATTGAGCTCTACGTTAGATGCCCACATGCCTGCCAGCGTCTGCCTGAGGATACCCCCGGCTACGACTGGGGTGATGATTACTGCTAGGCACTGTCATTCACTTTAAGGTAAGATTTGTCCTATCAAATCACGCCGGCAATTCTTTCACAGGAATGGGGGCTTAATGGACTAACTTTCCCTGGATCAGCGGTAAGACTGGCGAGGACAGCTAGGAAGGACCGAAACCACGGCCCTCTACAAACGCTTGGTTGTGATCATATCTTGAAAGACGAATCGCTAGGCACATGTTTTGCCATTTCTACATGGTTTCCCTTTGTTTAAATCTTTGGGCAATTTATCTCTCATTTGAACTATATTTGCATGGTTTGCAGACGCCTACACTATTTATTTAAATAGCTAGAAAAGAAAACCTATTTCAGACCTATATATCATTGTGCACTTTCCCTAAACAAACTATTTCGCATTGGGATATCAATCATACCGGATGATTCACCTTTTAGACGAAAAATTTCTCCAGATATTGAACTTGGAAAATCTAGGAGAAATACAGAACTTCTGAACGAACCTAGCGATTGTATTTTTTTATTTTTTTTATTTTATTTTTTTATTTTTATTTTTATTTTTTTTATTTTTTGAAAACTATGTCAAAATTTATCCTTCTCAGGCTGGAATTCCCTATGCGCATGAGGCCAACCTTAATAAGTTGAAATGCGAACTCCCCACTCGATGAGATACGAGATGATGACCATTAATAATATTGAAAGGCTTGGTGCGTGATAACTAACTTTATTACAATGCCTGAAACAAACCCAATGATAGCATCTGGATGAATCCATTCCAAGGACGAAAAAAGAAAAGGAAAAGTTGGTGAATCTGTAACTACCGAAACTCTTCAACTTCAACGGACTCGAACAAAGAGAAAAACAAGGGAAAAAAATTCAAAGAAGGCTTAGTTTGAGGCATTTAACTGCTTCTCGAAAGTTTCTTTGATTGCTATAGTTTTTCTACACACTGCTTGCTCACTGGGAGAAAAAAATAAATAAGTACGTAAAAAAAAACAAACAAACAAACAAACATCTGGGGACATAGCATCGTATAGGCATAAAACACAAAACATAATCCGAAAGGTCCAGAGGAGAGAGAGAGAGAAATATATAGCCCATCTCCAACATCAGAACCCAGCTCTATTCGATCTATCCTCCACAATCCTCACAGCCCCCAAATACTCAAGGAGAATATGCAATTTGGCCTTGTCGGAAGCGCGACGACGAACACCTGGCGTTCACTAGCGTACTTCTATGACGTGGTGGTAGGGTAAGGAGCAGGGAGCGGGCGTCAGTGTAGAGTTTGTAGTCTTGGAGGATACGGTCGAGTTGGGTATCTTTATAACATGGACATGCACGGTTGTTATGTGTGTGGTTTTTTGGCTAAAATCTAAGGAAAAGGAAAAGCAGGGGGGCAAAGCCGGAGGGAGGGGAGGTTAGGGTTATAATGGATGTCCGATGTATTATATATATATATATATATAGTATATTAATTCTTTTTGTTAATACATACTATCAAGCAAGAGAACCCCCTCAACAGTCCTCGGAACCTGAAAATCCGCCGGGAACCTGCCATCCGCACACATCATCGGATGAAGCTGCATGTGGCTCGCACGCGGGCTAACGATGCCATTTGCAAGTGCGGCGGCAAGGTTGGTTCTGCGAACCTGCTCTTGTGTGCTCATGTTCGGCCCGTTAGGCACGAGGTGGTGGGGATGGTTGCTGCTGCTGTTGCTGTTGCTGTTGCTGCTGAGGGCGGTGCTAGCGATGTTGAAGGGGCTACTTATGCTATCCGCTGCAACACTGAAGGGGGGGGAGTAGAGGGGCTGCAGTGGGTACGATTGCGATTGATACGGTATGCCAGGAAAACGCGGTTGATGTTGATGTTGTTGTGGTGGTGGTGGCTGAATGGCTTGTTGCGCGTGCTGGAGGGCGATGTCAATTTCTTGGGAGGAGAGAGGGGGTGGTTGGAAGGTGAACATCCCGGGATAGTGATGCGGACGATGTCGTCGTGGTTGTGGTTGTTGCTCTTCCTGCGAACTCGGTCCTCGTCGTTGCCGATATATTTTATCCTTAGTAAAATACATTCGTCTATTCCGCAGATTGCGTATCCTTCCTTACGCTTATTTTTGCTTCTTGCGTTTTCCCCGCTGCCTACAGACGGGAAGGCCTGGTGGTGATAATAAAGGCGAGTGTCAAACGGTATCTTGAAGAGGAGCAGGGCTTGAAGCGGACGGACGGAAACCACACACACACAACATCTTCCAAACGGCTAGGACGATCTCCCCTATCTATCCAACGATGTGATGTAAAACATAGTATATATTCTGGAATATAAACAGCACAGGTACCCTGTAGTACAACCACGCCCGGACACTATAAGGGAAGGGCGGTTGGTTGTTCGAAAGTCGAGTAATTCGACACTGTCATTGTCTTGAGGAAGTTGTGCTGCAGTGCACAGTACTAAATTGTTCGTTGACTGTTGGTTGACAGGTGGGTGTGGGTGCACGAAGAAGAAACGCCCGACAAACACCCACAGATAAGCGGCCTAAGTTTGATCTTTCATACGTAGAGAGAGAGACAAGCCTGCTCTTGCTCTTCAGACATCTGCAGGCGTGCAGTCGAAACCCGTATCACGGATCGTTGCGACTGGTATTCAGAGAAATACTATCATGATAAATAAACATTGGAACACGTATAGAAGTTTCATGCAGTAGCAAAACACAATGGGCAAACAAGACTCACGCTATGGAATCAGCAACTTTCTTCCCATTGGATAGGATCAGCCACCTAGGCCATCTTTTTCTCCGAGCGTTACACCGCTTCAAGATGGCAGGGCAATAAGGTAACATTCCAAAAAAGGTTCTAGAAACATCGAGGGCATGACATACTAAACACAAGTAGACGCCTACGCTCAGAATCCGAAAACAGAGTGAAAACTGTACATCACAGGAGAGAGACACCGAGGCAAACACAAAGCCAGAAAAGACGGGTATCTTGCAGCAAACAAACAGCAAACAAAACAATGACAACCGGATATAGGTCACAAATACGCAGTTTGCATAATAGCGAGCAGAGAGTAAAAAAAGAGAAACGCGCAGCACGGCATCAATATCAATGTATCGTAACCCGCTTAATATGGATGGAGAAAACGAAGGAAAACAGTCAGTTCAGTTGTAGTCTGTGGTAAGTGAGCACACGGCCGCGTGGAATGGTGTCTCATAGTTGTTGCCAGATATGTATATCGCAACGCCAAACAAATGTCGGACTTTCAGGAGCAAGCTTCGCCCCGCGGCGGCCCTGTCTTGTGTTTAACAGGGGGGATTGTCGGTCCCAGGCATTTGCATCTCGGGAAAATCTCACAATAAAATTGGAGTATCCATATCCTCATCAACAAGATTGTTTAACGGTTGGACAATCCATAATCGGCCCGAGCTGGTCCCGGCCTTACATTCAGGTCACAGGGAGCTTTTCCAACCGCAGTAGGAAATTTGCACAGAATTGTCGTTTGGGAGTAGGAGAGTTGCATCGGGGGGAGGCGGATCAAAAAAGCATAGTGGAAACGACGGGAGAATTAAAAAGTCCCGTGCGGTATATTCACACCAGCTTACCCTCCCACATCGCCCCCGATAACATCAGGTTCCGCATACACCTTCCTATAGCTAACCCCATCCGCATCCCTGTCCATCCCATATTTTCTACCGTCCGCAAACGCATCGGATTCACCTTCACTCCCATCACTATTATCATTCGAAGAAGAACTATTATCCTCAACTCCCCCATCATCATCACCATCATACAGCGATGTCGTCAAACTAAACGTCCTCCTCCTCCCGTCAGGTCTCTCGCTTAAGCTAGGAGCTTGGGGCCGTTGTCGGCCCCTCGCCCGGCCTCCAATGATGGGAATCTCATAGGTGGACGCGCGCCAGATGTAAAGTAGAAGATCGTAGAGGATCATGAATGCCCAGGGGGCGATGATGATTGTTCCTAGGATGAGCTAGATGACAAAGCGGAATGATAAGGACGTGTGAGACATGAAACAAATGAGGTATTTCCAATGGGATGGGTGAGAAAGATAAGGAAGAGGAGGAGAGAGTAGTAGGAAGGGGTTAGACATACAAAGACTCGAACCAGCCATGCTTCGAACGCCGTAAGTCCCGGCGGAAGGAGAGAGTACCACGTCATGATTTGTACCGTATTTCTGCTTTTCCTTGCCCCTGTAGTAGCTCGAGCTAGAGGGAACCAACCAGGACCTCCCGAAACCGGTGATAGAAATGGGATAGTATCACTAACTCCTTTCTCCCTCTCTCCCCCTCAATCAATATAGGCGCTATAGCACCTTATATCCCGCCACTTATACCACAGCCCCAAAACCTTCCCGATCTTATTTATCTTCGTCTTCGTCCCCACCCCCCACTTTACCGTGCTTGGAACCTTATACGTGTATGCTGCCCGTTTGTTCTCCAAAACAGCCAGCTATGTAATGTAACTCTACCACACCTTCTACTCTCTGACCTTCCAGAAGGCATGAGAAGCAGAAGAGGAGGAGGATTTTATTTTATGTGCCATAGACCGGTTTCATGGGGCCATCGGGACTGGGGCCACGGACATGGTGGTTTTGGTGGTTTTTCTGAATTTTAGGCAGGATGCGGAGGCTGACCGGATCGAAGTCGGAGGATTGTTTTGTACAGTGTTTTTCAGAGTAGAGCTGGTGGAGAGATACTGTGTCCAAAAGCCCGTAGGGAGGAAGACGAGGAGGAGGAGGAGGAAGAGAGGAAGAGGGAACATGTCCTATCGATGTTGCTCGGGCTACTGCGTAAGTTCGGGTTGCGGGGAAAGTAAGTGAGCCCGGATGGGTGCAGAGTCACGTGAGACAGCGGATTTCCCGCGGATTTTGATGATGACATTGATGAGCCCATGTATATTTATAGAAATTATATGAATCGTAAAGCTCAAACGGAGAATGATTGAGAAAATTATGCTTTATGTAGTTGTATGCGTATATCTAGTAACACCATGGAGCATGTGTATATATATACGCACATTCCTCCGCTTTCTCCAGCCCACCATTCCAATACACCGGAGGGATGAAACTGTCTATCATTCATTTCGCGGCAATCTACCGCAAAATGAGGAAAAACGCCCATATGACATTTGTCTAAATGGCAGGAAAAAAAACCAAAAACAAAATGGCACCAGCATCACCTTCCAGAAGCCACCAGCCAAATAAGAACAACCATTTATAAAACAGACGCCCCCAATCCATAAGCCTCCCAGGTATCATTCAACATTAGTACCCAAAAAGCAATTAAGTTATATATAAGAAGAAAAAGAACCTCTCCTTCAATATTAACATAAATGCAACCAAAAAAAAAGAAGAAAAAGAAAACATGACTATTTGCCCTTCAACGGTAAATATAGAGACAAAAACGAAAAAGTGAAGCGGCGGGAATCAGTTCAATATCGCATACCCTACATACGCCTCATAAGACGTAGCTCCTTAACCCCGCGGCGCCCGCGGTGGCAGTCACCCATGCGGACCCGTCGACGGACTCCGCTCCCGACCATCATACGACGCAATATCAGCAGAATGCCGCACAGGTGGGTCTTGCACGTTACTCAGCAGCGCCCTCTCGCTCTCACTATCCGTCGTCATCGTCCGGTAGAATGCTTTGTGACTAGTATTAATATTATTATTAATACTAATGTCATCCGTCGTCGCCACCGACGACGATCGATATGTAGCGTACTCTGGGATGTTCGGTACTGGAGGAATAACGGATTGGCTATCGAATGGCTGGGTGTGCAGGTGGTGGCCGGGCGGAACGACTGGCCCTCTTCCTCCGGGTGCCATTGCGTGTCGCACAGGCGACGAAGCGCGCGAGGAGCCAGGGGAATCAAACCCGGCGAGGAAGCTGCGGGGCGTGTGCGAGCGCTCACTGATCAGGTCCTCCGGGCGACCGTAGATGCCGCCGCCGAACTCGCCGCGGAAGTCGGCCCGGTCCTTGAAATATGCGAAGTCAAGTTGGTTTTCCTGGACGACTTCGAAGGGGGCCGGGGCCGCATCGTGGGGATGGCTGGATGTTCGCCCGGGTTCGTTCGAGGACATCTTCTGTAGCGCTATGTCTGAGTACTCGTTGGCGACCTGTGCGCCACCGCCTTGTGCTTGGAAGATCTTCTCCAGCGCGCCGGCGGCTTTGGCGTGGACCATTGGCGTCATCAGGGGCTTGTAGAGTGCTGGGTGGCCGAATTTGGAGGCGATTCTTTCAGAGTTTTTCTTCCTGCCTTTCCCGGGGGCGAGGGACTCTGCGTCGGCGGGGATCATGCGGCGGTAGTATGTTAAGCCATCGTCGAAGGTTCTTCTACAGTACCATTTGAACGCGAGCATTAGGAAGGGGAGGGGAATTAGACAGGAGACCATTGTCCAGCTTCCCTTGGCTTTGATGACAACTGCAGTTACGAAGTTGGCGAGGATCATTGCGAATACTATACGATTGAAGAGGACACGCCAGTATTGGCCACCGGATTCGGTCTTGGTGACAAAAACGTAGAGAAGGAGGTATTTCTTAAGCCAGGAATCGAGGGCGAAATAAATGGCCGTCACAGGAAGGATAATTGGCTGCAGAGTCGCGAAACAGAGGGCTATCGTCGCATAAAATAGGAAGTAGTTGTAATAACTTGCATAGGGAAATGGAGCCGGAGCAGTCCATTCGATAATCTGCCTAGGAGTCGTCGCCATAAACTGTTTGGTAAACCAGATCCAAGCCAATTTCACGACCTGGAGAAGATCGATGGCAGCGCCAATGTTTCTCTGCAAAACCCAGGTGACCCAAAAGGGGGAGATGTGGCACAGGGCTGACATAACATGGTAATGGATCCGTCCCTTGATGATCGCATCCCAAACGTTGTTGTTGTCATTTTTGGCTTCGATCACTGCGGTCACAAATGCCCAAATCGCCGAGAATATTGAAAATACCACCAGGTTGTTGAAAACGAAGAAAGCATATAAACTATGAATGACATGGCGCTCCCGCGATGTTTTCGTGATGTCGCCAGCCCGGACTGAGAGGCGCCGGAATATAATGGGTAAGACGAGATAGACCAGGGATGTCAACGCTGGAGCTGCAATACCTTGCACCGCGGCCCAGGTCTTGGGATTTGCATGAAGCTCATCTTGAAATCCTTTCCAGACCTTACCCAGATTGGACAGATCAGCTAAGAAGATGGCAATCATGGCGTTAGGTGCGATCCACAACAAGGTCAACACGGTAGACCAGAAAAAATTGATTATACGTTTCCTTTTCCGAATCTTTCTCGTAAGGGCCAGATTTTCCCAGATAATATCATAAGGTCGCGGGGCAAGAGTAATCGATATGCCTTGCGGGTGCTTATTTCGAGCAGCATAGGCCGCTACATGGGCGTCGTCAATCGATTCCCAGCTAACGAAGCCGTAGGGCATAGCGTTCAGGGTATCGATTGACTCCCGAACATACTTGATCTCGTCCTCGAGGTCGCGAATTCGGCCTGTAAGGTAGTCGATGGCGTCGACTTTCTCAGAGCCATGCTCCGCCTGATATTCTTTTGAAGGACGGCAGGTAGGACGTTTGGAGGGGAGTCGATCCGGATTTTTGAAGTATTTGGCAAGTACTTCTTCAAGTTGTCGAACCATCTTGTCATGCTCTGCGATAAGTTTTGGTAGACCCTTCATGTTGCGGCCAATCGAAGCGCGGGGTACTGATGGGGTAGGATTGATCTCGTCCGTCAAGCGTAGGAGGCCTTCATCTGTTCTGAAATCGGGCGGTATATGTCTAACCTGTATTCCAAAATAAATTAGTTCATAAACTCTTTAGAGAGGTCACATCAATGGGGCAGGCTTACCAAAAGGGTTCTAGCATGTAGACTCTTCTGGTACTCAGGACTTTCAAAATAATGTCTTCTCAAAGTGGAGACAGCTTTATAATTGCGCCATAGAAAATAGGCGACGATGGCATTGAAAAGCCAGAGACAAACGACATGACTCCAAATTGCACTGTATGATACATACTCTGGGGTCATAGTTGCGAACGCATTGATACCCACTGGCGGGGTGCTCTTAGCGATGTTTATGGGGATCATAACGAAACAGCCGATGACGCTCGAGGCCAAAAACATATCGCGGCACATTCTGGTGAAGCGCAAGAACACTGTAGCATCAAGACCAATACAATCGATGAGCTCGCTCTCCTTGGTGTTTCTAAGCGGGGTAATCCAAGCGAATAGGCCCTTCCCCACGGGAGGAGGGGTGTGCTTCTGGTCCGCATGCTTTATTTTAGGGGCGTAAACCAGCGAGTTGCGGGGACGGAAGAGGGAGAAGAGTAAGCCAAGGGAAAGCGTCAGTCCGACTGATGTACCAAACGAAGCCCAGAAGGCATTGAGTTGGAACTGAAGGAAAAAGAGTAAAAGTTAGCTTTTGGGGAAAAGAGAAAGACACAATTGCTACTACATACAGCAGCGCTGAATGGATTCCGGATCAGCTCCAGGAGCTGGTCTGCGGGGGTCTTTCCCCCGTCCTGGCGAGCTAATATAGCGCCTTGCATAAGGATCGGCAGCGATATGATAACGATGGGATACGCTAATCAAGCGGTTGTATATGTAGTAAGGTCCCTGGTTTCCCCCCAAAATGACTGACACAGGAACATAGGCAAACGAGCAGACACTCTCATCTAAGCGGTAGAGGGGAATGTCATTCCCGGACCCGAGGATCCCCCGTGGTAAAATATAGACAACGGATGCCCAGACGTATTATGGGAGGAGCGTGACAAACAAGAGGACGGTTTCGCGGACTCGAGGATTCGAACAACGAATGTGATGTGTATAAGGCCAACAAGGGGAGTGTGGCGTTTACGAGCTGGGAGAAAAGAAAGACGTAATAAGAACAAAATAAGGCAAGAAGAAGAAGAAGAAGAAGAAGCAGAAGAAGAAGCAGAAAGTCCTCAATCAACGAATGGTAGGAGAACCTTATTAAAAATGGGATAATGCGGGACGATATCAGGGAAATGCGAATGACATGGACAAAAAGAGCGCCGGGGGAGAACCAGACAAAGACCGAACACCTATCTCTTCACTTCTTTTTACATAGGGCGGGTAGGGCAGACAGGTCGAAATATCGGAGAACCAGAAACAGATTTGAAAAAAATTAACCCTAAAAGTTTAAGCAAGAAATTTAGTAATATCATCGCATTAACATCCACGGTTCTGCACCGTACCCCCAACCAGACAACGTTGTCGGATGGAGAACCAGCCCGATTATGGGCGAAGGCAATAATTAATTCATAGTTCGGCCCATACTAAACGGTAGCGCTGCCCAATGTCTCAAGTGCCTGAGGTTTTGTCTCCGTGAGTCCGTGTCTTGTGTGAAGTTTTGAAGTTGTTGGACGTTGTTGGTTGAAAGTTTAGAAGTCTCTCAAGCCACTCTAAATAAATAACGCCTCAACGCCTCACGCCTGGCCCATGAGTCTATGACAGGAATCTTCAGGACACTACTGAGGACAGTCAGGACAGTCAAAAAGTCCCAGACCCAGACCGCGGTCCTTGATCCACCGCAGTGGACCTGTTCTCTGGCATCAGCTCACTCTAGCCTCTACCCATTGCTCAAAGAAAGGCGAAGAGAGAACAGATACATAATCAACTGGGAGAGGTATTCGTCAGCGGGGACAGAATCCACTGGAAACAAGGAACATCAAGGAACATTCCCTGGAATCAAGTTTCATGGTTCAACGTTATAGAGTTCTCTTACATGTAGCAGACACAACCGCACAGCTTGGAAATGTTACCGTGTGCCGTGCTTTGCAACCATCTTCCGGTCCACGGGTTATCATTATTATTGTAATTTCGAAAAAAGAGAAAAAGTGAGGATTGAAACGGGCAGCCTGAAAACCCCGAGACTCAAGCTTTGCTGAGTTGTTGTTGTGCCTGGTGCCTGAACCTGGCCGACGTTGAGGTTGACAATATATCTCTTCTTCTGAGACATCGGAAGAAGCACAGCCAACTCAACTCTCCCCCTAACTACGGAGTTACTCGTTGAGCACAAAGAAAGCAGAAAAGACAGACAGAGCTGGTCCATCCTACTTTCATCTCTGTCCAAACATACAATTGTCAGTTCAAGTTATCAAACAGTGTTTGAATCATGGTTTCAGAACACTTAGCCGACCCAGTAATTTTTTTTTCTATTGTTTAAAGTTTTACCTTCTTGTATTTTGCCAATGCATAAAACTACGGCAGCCTATACAGCTCTGGACAGGGCTACCAAACAGGCTCTTAAGTAGTTGGGTAGGTGACCACCAGCGAATCCGGGGCTCTCGTATGTTTTTATGTTTTTATTTTTTTGTAGTTGTTTTGTATATTTAATTACGGACAAGGAGGAATCTATAAACCGGGGTATCATACAGAACAAAATAGAGAGAGATAATCTAAGCAGGCATTATTTATATCATACACGGACTACACCTACCTCCATATATAAAATCATTCCACCCCCCTAACCATCTATCTCCGCCGGCACAAGCTCCCTCAACATCACCTCCAACCTCTATCCCTGCAGGATCATCCCGATGGGGTGAATTCGCATCCGCCGTCCCATGCCATTTCAGCACTTCAGGAAATTGTACGTCCTCGAAGCGGAAATCCCAGTCATCAGCTAAGCTGTCAGCCGTTGCGTTTCCTGCGCTGCCGTGGGCAAACGCTTCAAAGATGAGTTGGAGGAATTGCTCACAGCGTTCTTTATATCGGTACTCGGTTTGACGTCATCATCGTTGTCGTCGTTTGTCGGTGACGGCGCGGTCGCTGCCAGACCAGTCTTACTCTTGCCCTCTTGCAACCTCTCTACTCCCCCCGGACCCTCTAACACCCTTGACCGCATCAAGCCTACCCAACCACCGCTCAACTAACCCCGCCTAACCAGAAAATCACTCACCCCTTCTAACCACACCGGCCACCTCCAAAACCCGTCTGGGCATTGAAATACCCCTATTACCATCAACATCAGCATCACCACCACCACCACCACTACTAACATTCTCAACAGCAGCAGCAGCATCAGCAGCATCAGCAGCAAGAGGAGCACCCCACCACAGCCCCGCCCCCCTCACTATCCTCCTCACCACCCCCTTCCCCCCGCCTCCCTCAGCCTCGCACAAGCAAGCACATACAGCCCACCCCCCAACCCTCCCAGAACCGCACACCTCTCCAGACCAGATGATCCACCAGCGCACGCACATCGGCCGGCCAGTCCATGATGCAGCAGTTGGGGAGGTAAGTGGAACGGCCGAAGCCGGGGCGGTCGGGGGCGATGATGCTCAAGTGCAGGCAGTGAGCGAGCGGAGTGAGGGACGCGGACTTCGAGGCGGGAGGAAGGGTAGCCGTGGAAGTAGAGGAGGGGGAAGCCGGATTTGGGGCCGTATTCGGCGAAGCTGAGGGTGGGGGAGGGGGGGGAAAGGGGGGGAAAGGGGTGTGCGGAGACCGGGAAGAGGCCCTATATGAGGTTCTCATTGTTTGTAGTTTGGATATCTGATTGATCGATGGCGGGCCGACAGGTGGTAAGTGTGTCGGCGCCATACACTGACTGAAAGGAGGCATTCCCGCGCATACTGAATATAAGGCTCTCGTAGGATGTCAGTCGAAGTAAAGTGGGCGATTGATAATAAATAAAATAACGAGGTAAGTCCGTAGATATACCAAGTCGTAGGCGCGTCCACCTCTCATCGAGGTTCCACCTCCCTTAACCACGTCGATGGATGCCTCAACTGTGCGTTAACTTAGCAATCGGGCGCCATAGCTAAAGCTGCTGGCGGTATCATTTCACCCTTTCCGACAGAATCAGGGGTACGTAGTGGATTGCCTGATATCTAAATATCTAGGTATTATAAGCATCAACACCGTTCTGCGGCAGTTGCAACGTCCATACCGAGCACATCGCGGGTTTTGTTACCTAGGTAGTTAGGTAGGGGACCGTTCGATACGCGTATTCAACGAGAGAACTTAACTAAATAAGGGGATCAGGTTAGTTAGTTAATGTTCTAGTTAAATATGTGCATCCTGGGGGTGTTGAACAGTCGCGCCATCCCAATCGCATCCCATCCCCAGCACACATTTTCAGCTGGTCTGGTCTGGTCTGGTCTGGTGTAAATAAATAGTTAAAATAAAACAGATATTTAAACAAACTTGCAAAATATCCCAGCTGTCTTCACAAACAGACAGACCAGTCCCCCATAAACTAAATACCCTCCCTCACTCCCTACCACCACTACCACCCTACCAACTTCCCGTCCAACGTTGGTCACCATTGGCCGGCACCGAACTTGATTAAATAATCTGCTTTGAATTCGATTTTCATCACCAGTGTCAGTGACCTGACTGCTTCAAATCCCTTTTCTTTTTGTTATTTAACAGATCGCCGGCCCGAGTGGTAATCGTCACCAGCTGTCTCAGTTCGTGCTTCGTCCCGCGAGGAACAATACATATTTAACTAAATAGTTATTAGTTCTTTCAATTTATCCATGTTATGAGATTTGGTCCTCAGACTCAATTAAATAAATAGCTGAAGAGTACGGAATACATCCGTACAGATGTATGAGGTAATCTGATTTTCGTATATTTCAAATGAATATTTATCTCCTTTCTGAAGCTACAACTTATATATATATTAACTATTTACCCCAAAGCACACCCCACGCATGCGGAGATGTGAGAAAAATGAGAAAGGTTTAAAAAAAAAAAAAAAAAAAATAACAATTGACCACTTTGACTCAAATCCCGCCCTTCTGTTCAAAACAAGTCGAGTCAGAGGAGGAGGGCGCACAACTATCATCCCCCCGGACGGCGATCGCGCGTATATAAAACTGAATATCAATATTATTTATGTATTTATCCTCTTTTCTTCATACAAAAGGTTTTTTTCTTATAATTATTTTTTTCGTTTTCAAAAAAAGAAGAAAAAAAGAAAAAGGAAAAAGGAAAAAAGGAAAAAAGAAAAAAAAAGGAAAAAAAACTCTCTTCCTCCACCCCCCCCCTCCCTCCTTTTTCATTCACTCATTTCATAATTCTTTTACAGCTGGTTCGAAGTATTAAAATCATCAAGCCCCTCCTGTACCCGGACGCTCATGGCCTTCTCGCCTTCCCGAATCCAGACACGGGGGTCAAAGTACTTCTTGTTCGGCTTATCATCTCCATCCGGGTTACCCACCGCAGTCAGCAGGTAATCCTTCTTGCCGAGGACGAAATCGCGCACGCCGCTCAGGTACGCGAACTGCAGGTCCGTGTCGAGGTTGACCTTGACAACGCCGTAGCTGATGGCTTCCTTGAACTCGTCCTTGGAGGAGCCGGAGCCGCCGTGGAAGACGAGGAAGACGAGCTTGTCCTTGTCGGAGCCGGTCTTCTCCTTGACGTAGGCCTGGTGCTTGGAGAGGAGTTCTGGGTGCAGGCGGACGTTGCCGGGCTTGTAGACGCCGTGCACGTTGCCGAAGCCGGCGGCGATGGAGAAGTAGGGGCTGATGGCTGAGAGGGTCTTGTAGATGGCGTAGATGTCCTCGGGCTGGGTGTAGAGGGAGGCGTTGTCGACGGATTCGTTGTTGACGCCGTCTTCTTCACCGCCGGTGATGCCGATTTCCTGTTTTTTTTTTTTACATGATCAATGAATGGATCTAGGTAGTTTATGTGGGATGTGTAACTCACCATCTCGAGCCATTGCTTCATGGGCGTAGCGCGCTTGAGGTACTTGGCAGTGGTCTCAATGTTCCACTCGACGGTCTCCTCGGAAAGATCAATCATGTGGCTGGAGAAGAGAGGCTCGCCATGGATCTTGAAGTAACGTTCATCCTCGTCGAGCATGCCGTCCAACCAAGGGAGCAGCTTCTTGGCGCAGTGATCGGTGTGAAGGACGACGGGAATGCCGTAGGAGGGAGCAATGCTTCTGATGTAGTGAGCCCCGGCGATGGCACCAGCAATGGAAGCTTCTTGGTTGCCATTAGGAATACCCTATATTCATAATACTCATGTTAGATACCGTAATTTCGGACACGCAATACCGGGTTTTGGGGCCGTTTTAATTTACCTTTCCGGCAAAGAAGGCAGCACCACCCTGGGACATCTGCAGGATGATGGGGCTTTTCTTGTCACGAGCAGCCTCGAGAGCGGCCACGGCAGTAGAAGAGGAGGTTACATTCTGTAAGAGAAACACGAATTGAATTAGTTTTTTGCCGATTTTTTTATGTGGCTGGCATTTGCCGAAGATAGGGCGGGGTACATACAATGGCAGGAATAGCAAAGACTTTCTCCTGGGCATACTGGAAGAGACGAAGGACATCGTCACCGACAATGACGCCGGCTTTGCGGGAGAGAACGTCTAGTACACCCATGATGACTGTGTATTATAGATTTATGGGTGTGTTGTGGTTGTTTGTTTTCCGCGAGGGTTATGGCGGGGTTCGGGAATCTGATGAAATGCGAGAGGGGAAGCGAATTGGCAAGATTAGCGTGTGTAATATGAGATTGAAGCCCACGAGAGTATCCAATGGCAATTAATTAGATGGGGAGATATAGATAGATATATTGACAAAGAGCAGTAAGACAAAGATGAGATGTGAAAGAGGAGAGAAGAGAGTAGAGAGGGAGGGGAGTGCAGTGGTTTAAATTCGCCCATGATGAAAGCGATGGCGCCGATGGAGGGGCAAAAGACGGGCAAGCTATGTATGTCATCGCAGAGTAATACAAGAACAACAACAAGGAAAAGTCATTTTAAATAGAGAACGGGGACAAACAAACCTGTTGAGGGATATAGTTATAGTGGGGAAATACGATGGAGCAAATAACAGGAGAATGTATTCAGTATATTTGAACAACGATGAAGGATGAGAGGAGGAAGAGGAAGAAGAAGAAGAAGAAGAAGAAGAAGAAGAAAGAGAAGAAGACGGAAGAAATCTCTGTTCCCTTTTTTTTTTTTTTTTTTTTTCCACCCGCTTCGACAGTGGGGTAAGAAAAAAAAAAAAAGCGGCTATTCTCTGTCTTTTTCTATCCTTGATATCTATCACCATGTTCCATGCTCTCAGCCATATTTAATAATAATCCTGCTAATCCTGCTAATCCTCGCTGTCTTGCGCCTGGCTTCGTCCGCGTTTCTTGATGGTTTTCCCAATTCTGTCCGCGCTCATCATCTTACAATTGTCAATCATACCGATGGGGGTGCAAGTTTGCTGCAATATGAGAAATAGTCATTCACACGCAATATCAGCGAAACACATATCATCTCATCTGCCAGTCAATCTGCACCGTACAGACCTAGCAATGTGTTTCGACAGTTTCCTGTTCCTCGATTGCCATAGTATTACCATTACATCATTGTCATCATATTATTGTGCCACCATCATCACTGTTACGATTGAATTCAAAGTCATCTTTCTCCCTCCACTTTATTCCCACGAATCTTGGCTATATCGATTACTACTCAACAGCAAAAAAAAACCCCCAAAAAAAAGCCAATAGAAACCCGGAGAATACAAAGGACTTCAACTAGCCTCGCCCCAGTGTTTGTTTTTCCCCCTCCGACTTTTTCACTACTACATACAATAGCCCCCCCCTCCATCCGTCATTGGCAGCAAAACCGGCGAACCAGTCGGAGACACGGAAATGTTCCTTAGAGACTGTCTACTACGTACTTAAAATATATATATATATACGTAGTATATATATCTCTCTCTCTCTATATATATATATATGATTATTCTCTATACATGTAGTTGTTCTTCATTCCAGGAGTAAAAAGCTAATCCCCACAATGTTGTTGTCATGTTCCGCCATGCTTCATGCTTCATTCGGCGTCCCGGTGTGGTGTAGTTGATCGCCTGTTGGGTGGTTGCTCTCGGTGTGAGTCCTCTCGGCGTGATTCGCCTTCACGCGGTGGGTGGCACTAAAAGTCACAATCCCGTTGAATTTGGGGGGGAGGCGGGAGGCGGGGGCGGGAATGGGCAGGTTGTGCTGCGGAAAGAAAATCTCCGTAGCCACAGCTATTATAAATATTTCAAGTTTGGTCACTGCAGTGCCAGCCATACCATACCAAGCTAAACTTATATGTATTATCATTTGCCTTTATCGATCGCATGGAGAGGCGAGGCTGCAAGACAGGCGAGGCGGGGAGGTTGAAGACCAGCGACAGCTGTATCCTTCATCTATGTTGGAAACGAATACTAATGATTCAATTTTTTTTTTTTTTTTTTCTGTTTCATATGTGCAGTCTCCCCCTCTACCCTACTCCGTATTCATCTTCAAAAACAAGGGAAACACCGTCCAGAAACACCAACACTTGAACCGTTGCCCTGCTGGTTGTCGCAGAGATTTGTTGGTCCCATGCCTAGGTAGTATCCCGAAAACAGACGGGTTTTGTATCATCGTCAGGGAAGTAGACCACTAGTGATGGATGGTAGTTAACGCATCTCTTAGCGGAAAAAAAAAGGTTGTGAGAGGTCTAGTTTTCTGAGCGATTTGCGCCTGAGTAGGTTAGGTAGTAACCGTGCCATGCTTACTCACTCTCTGTAGTGAGTGCGCCACAGCGTACGGAAAACCACACCATAAAGAAAATATTTTCAATATCTTCATTCTTCATCTTCAAATAATCATCATTAATTATAACCATGCCTAAATCTTCTAATTACACTGAGGAGCAGTTGCAAAGAGCTGTTGACGCGTACAAAAGCAATTCAAAATTAAAAATCACATCTCTGTCACGAGAATTCAAAGTCCCATATGCCACCTTGTATGGGAGGATCAACGGGAAGAAATCAAGGACTATGAGGGTTCCACTGAATCGAGCATTGAATGACAGCCAGGAAGAGGCAATTAAGATATGGATTCATCAATTGGACATTAATTTTTGCCCATCCACCATCAAGCATATCGAAGCTGCCGCGAACAATTCCTTGCTAATCTGGAGAGCATCTGACTGCAAGCATTCAAACCTGGCACTGTGAGAGCTGGCTTTGCTGACTGTGAAATGTATCCAGTTAATCGCGATATAATTCTCAATCAATTGAGACCTCTTACCATTGATGATGCCCCGGATCTCAACATATACGATGGTGATGGTGATGTATGTGATCACTTTACCCCGCCACCTGCAGATCGACTGTCAACTGCCTCCTTGCAATTAACCTCCCCAGAGATGGTTGCAAAACTACGTCACCAAATCAATGCAGCAGCCAAGGCCTTAGAAGATGTGAAGGATACCCTTACACCTGGTTTGACAAGGTGGTTGAACAAGATCTTCAAGGGTAGCATGGTCCAGGCGGAATTGAACGCGCACCGTGAGGGTGAACTTGCAGATCATTATTGAGCAAATAGACATCAGGTCGTCAAATCCTCCCGCAGGCAGGTGCAAGTAGGTGGAGTCCTCACTATTAAGAATGCCAATCGCAAGATCGCGACCTGTAGAGCAGATGAGATGAAAAAGACATTCAATAAGACTCTTCAATCAATTGGAATCAAACCTACAAAATCTACAGCCACTCAACCACAACAAGATAATTCTATAGAATCTCAACTTACAGTGGATTCTACACCTTCTAATGAGTATATAGATAATCTTTATATTATAGATAGATGTGGTGGTGGTTATTAATTAATTTTTGAAGATTACTATATTCAAAATATTTTCTTTACGGTGTGGTTTTCTGTACGCTGTGGCGCACTCACTACAGAGAGTGAGTAAGCATGGCACGGTTAACTAGCACTCTCCTTTATCCGTGGACCCTGTCGGATGAGGGCAGCCGCCTGGGAAGAAGGCAGCCAAAGACAACTCCCTCGTAGAAGTAGGAGTTAATTTTATTCATTCCTAGCACAGATTTGATTGAGAGAGCCGAAAAAAGGAAAAAAAAAAGAAAAAAATTTCATCGACCACGGTGCGATTCGAACGCACAAATCTTTGGTGCCGAAAACCAACGCCTTAACCATTAGGCCACGCGGCCTGCACTGAGTACTGTTTCCAAGAATAGCGTCTTGTGGTTAGTGTGTTTGGTATGTGAGTTATAGTGAGTTTTGCCGGAAACGGCCATACCATACCCTACGTAGTCTTGAGGAATAGATAGATGACAGGGGTGCAATTCGGGAGAGACAGTCTTTCAGAGATGTCAGGATAAAATAGTATTATTATCAAACAGTTGTGACTGGTGGGTATTTTTATTCGTGAGGGTGTATATCTGTTCCACCCCTCTTGGAAACAAAATAATAATAACTACTTACTGATCGCCAGTAAATGCGGGGAAAAGACATCTCAAAGGAAAAAAAATGTAAGGGTGACGAAAAGTACCAGACGGTTTAAAAAAAAAAAAAAAAAAAAAAAAAAAAAAAAAAAAAAAAACTTGCGGGACGATATACATCATATATCATATATGTTCGTCAGATTAGGTCGTCATCAGTGCAATGCAAGAAAAAGATGATGGTAGTAGTAAAGAATAATGGCCAAAAAATTGCAAACGGAAGCAGAACAATGTAAAACGAAAAACTGCCCATCAACAACCCCGTCTAACCTCCCCACTTCTTGACTTAATATTGTATCCGAATGGGATCTTCCCATACAAAAGAATGGTAGCTAGGTATGCCTAGGAAGTGGCGGCATCTTCAGGCTTCCTGCCATATGTGAAATGTACCCAGCCGTACATATGGATCTCTCGGTTTTTGATATCCTTGCGGACCCCGGAGAGAAGCACCTGGGTCTCCTCGGCACTCCACCCCAGAATCTTCGTGAAGAGGAAGAGCGAGTACGGCTCCAGCGCCTGCAATACCTGCAGCTGCTGGAAGCGCCCGATTTCTTTCAACTTCTTGTCCTTGGGCCAGGTACCGATGGGGAGCTATTTTTTTTTTTAATTTTTTTTATCACGCACATTAGATAAGGTTTTAATTAACTTATGTTGAGACGAGGGGAAGATAATAACAAGAAGAGGAGGGGAAGAGAGAGGCCGTGGGCAGACGCGGGTAGGTATATAGGATCTCTCACCTTCTTAAGCGTGGTCTTAACATCCACGAACCCAGCCTGCTTCAACTTCTCCGGAAACGTCTTCACGATCTCCAATGGCTTTCCAAACTTGGCACTTGCTTCGTATTCCATATGCATCCATTCCAACGCATGTTTTGCTTTCTCGAGCGTCCCGTCATCGCTAAGGAAACACGGCTCGATGGATTGAATCTCAAAGTATCCGCCCGGCACCAGGTTCTTGTAAGCCTGCTCGAAGAGCTTGTCGAAGTCGCCGATTGATCCGGCTAGTTCGCGCGCATGGATGAAGTCGAATGGTCGGGTATATGGCCATGTTGCCTCGAGGTCGTCGATCTCAAAGACACAGTTCGTGGGGACCCTGCAGGTAGAAGATGGTGGGTCGGTTGCTTGCTCCAACAACCAAAAAAGGGGCACAAAAGGGAAATGAGGGGGGAGGAGATTGTGTGCGCGTGGGTGCTGTCAAAGAATGTTTCAATTCTTACCATGATGGTTGGATGGGACTCAGATCATTCCCTATAAGATGACTATTAAATAATAATTCTTCAGAATACTTGGGCAGCATTCTAAAATAGGCGATAATGCTTACCCACAACATGCGACTCGGGGTGTGCGCTGCAATTGATACACTAAGTTAGAGCTAATTCACAGACAAAGAAACCAGAATTATAGATAGCAGTACTCACTCTGCAAAGTCAATCGCCCATATTCCTGTTTCGAAGGGATGGTCAGAGAGGGCCAGGGCAAACAAGATATCGATAGGTAAAGGGCCGAAACCGCGCCATACCAGTGCCTGTTCCAATATCAAGAACTCGCTGTGGATTCGCTTTTATCGGGGAAACATATATATCTCCACCTAAGAGCAGTTTGTAGATGTGGTGGGTCTGTGTTCCGAGGGGCGGTCAGATGAATTTCTTCAAAAGGTAATTGCGCAATTACCAGTATAGTATATGACGTCGGAGAGGATTATGGCTAAGCTTCGGATATCCTTACCAAGTCCATGCGATCCTGCTCGTCTTCATCATTTGGCTGACGGGAAGGAGCGAGAATATGTTAGTCCCAGATTTTCCAAACGTAATCACATATGGCGAGGAGATTATGGACCCACCAAAATATATTCCCCAGCGCGGAACGAATTGTAACGTCTTCCGTTCTAAGTCCCCAGAAGTCGCAAGTAGGCGATCGTTGTATCAGCATTCGTAGCTCTCAAGCCGGCCCTTCAGGATTGGAAATGACAACGGCCTCGGTAGACGTTGTGTTGTATCTGTGAGAACATTTCCACGTACCGCATATCTAGCAGGTTGTCAGAGCTCCTCAAATTCAGAGAAGAATAAATATATACATATATATATATATATATGTATAAGAAGGCGCTGATTGATATAGGAATGTGATTCCTTACACATAGTTTTTTATGCTGGAGGCAAGCGTCGTTGCATAACTGGCACTTCCCACGCTGTGATATTACCGAGAACCATAAATCAGCAAGAATACTCACTAGATCCTGTTACGGATCAAGTATATAGAAAGCATGTTCCCAAGCTAGAATAGGAGGAAGCACTGGGAAACTCACGAGCCCTCGAATGCAGAGTCGGTATCGTCATTAGGCTACACATAAATATCAAGGTTAATTCCGAAGGTTGGTATTTGGTGAAAACCAAAGGTAAGTAAAAAGAAGACGGAACAGACATCTGCTTCGATATTTGGCACCGCATTATGAGCGTCGTTGGCCATAGTGAAAAAATATCTGGAAGAGTAAAGGTGGGAAAATGCGCTTTGGTATAACAGTTTCCAGAGACCTGACTGAATGCGGAAGATAACTACCTAAGCGGTGGTGATTGTTTATAGCAGAACTAGAATTCTTCGGTCAAGCTTCTGGCCTTTGGAGGGGTTGAAATTGGGGGAGAAGGATGATCTTGTCGAGACGGACAAAGGAGATTTTTGAAGGGCAGCCATAAATAAATAAACAGGAGGGAAACCAAAAGGGGAGGGGGACGGCAGATGTTCCGGGCGGATATTATCCTTCGCCGTCACAAACGAGCTAAAGGTCATCCGGCTGGGCATCCAGTAACTAACTTATCATTGTCAATAACCACCAATCATGGCCCTCTAAGCCTGCGGGCGAATGCCCATTGTTGCTCGATTTCCCTTCTGCTCGCGCCGCCGGGCGCCATGACCCGCGTGGGCGACGAGGATTGTCGACTTTGGTGGTGATTCTGTGAATCTGTGAAGGGTAACTAAGGGAATGCTAGCGGAGATCAAGACATGTTATGTTCCAATTAACCGGCCTTAAAACGGGCGACTGTGGACTAGGTCTCCTCCTCCACCCTAGGAACTTCCTCCTCCCCGTCCGCGTTCTGGAATGGTTCCTCATCCCGGCTCCCCGTGCGCAATGATTCGAGGAGGAGTGTCGCGCTTGGATCCAGCTTACTCCAGAGGAGGGAAGTCAATTGGCCTGCAGGACAATAGGACGCTTGGGGCCATGGATGGGCCGGAGGCGGACAGCGCTCGTCGTGGCACCAAGGGATATACAGCGTATACCTACCCGCTATCCGGCTCATCCCATCCGGCCGCTATTTTAGACGAATAATGAGGTGAGGTTGTTTTTTCTGCAAATCCAAATTATTCACCTCAACTGTCAAGCCTTCTTACGGATTATCAGCAAGAGTCTGATTTGCGACATGAGCAACTACGCTTGGTTATCTGGTGATATTCCTCATTTGATATAAAACAAAACAACCAGTGCCCTGTCTACGGATTAACAGGGAATCAAGGACTTGAGATGTGTTTCTGCAATAATCCAAGTCCTTCAGGACCATGCCTGTATGTCAGACCAGTTATTTTTGAAGCTCTGTTGGACAATGTCCCTCTTGGCCCCGAAAGCACGAACGTGGCTCATACGGATCCCTTCTCCAGCCACCTAGCCCGTCCAGTTCAGCAGCTGATTGACGGGTCAAGAAGGGTTCTGCTCTTCATATTGTTCTTCCGTTGACCCCCATAAACGGGCATCCATATTCTTCTACTGGCTGGAATCCAAATTGCGGGGTACATTCACCTCGATTTATGTTTCCCCCCTTTTAGGGATATTTTATTATTTGTGCTTTGGGCTGTCGTGAGTGCAAGTGGATAAGGCAAGCTCGCCGGTTCATTCTCCGTGCATTCCATTACCATTCCATTACCCTTATTAACTACCATTCTGGTCCGGTTTCCAGCGTTTGGCTCAGACCAGAGCAGGGACGGACGAGGGTTAGGAACATTGCTGGAAGCCTGAAACCAAAATTCCGAGAATGGTTTCTTGACTGGTTATCACACCCCTCCTTACAAACACAACCAGTGCGACTTCTCAGCCCTCTGAAGCTCCATTGCTCTGGAATTTATCACGGTGGACTGCACTTTACTGCGTCCCACGTCTGTCGGGTAGCGACAGAACACAATCAATTTCGAACAATAGTATTATTGTAGATCCAAGAGATGATTGAGAGCAAGCATGCCCTTCAGACAAATTCCCTAGGAGCATCCATGCTCCTTTATATCCCTATGTTATGACATTCCGTTGGAAGTGTGACACCAAGCGCGAAGCCGAATTCTGCCATCGATATCTATCCGGACGGCTGGAGAGTTTTGGCCTCCCGGTTTAAATCGTTTTTAAGTCGCGGGGCAAGGCATACCGCAAATACTTCGCAGGGGAGTGCAACCTATAATTTTTAGTGACGATTGTGTATGATGTTTTTTGGACATCTCTCATGTGGAACGCGGAATACGAAAAATTCAAGGAGAGCGGCAATCTTGCCATGCTAGCGGCCACTTCGTAATGTACCGAACGACTCACGAAGTGTTCTTGCCGAGGACAAACGACACATCCATCCGCAACGAGGTGATCAGTGGCAGACACATCGTTTGGGGCAGGGCGATTAGAGAACAAGTTAAATTACGAGTTTGCAGGCGCTCTAATCCTGGATGTACTGTCCTCATCCGACCCTTCTTGCCCAGCAGAGCAGGAAGGCACAATATGTACATATACAGTAACTACATGTTACCCCTTGGCGTCGTACCCTAATCCATGGTTAGAAGCCATGAAAATCAAGAAAGTAGGGCTTACCATCCACGGCTAAAACTGCCGGGTTATATATCATTCCCACTACACCGGGTAATAATGATGAGGCATGTTTGAAAGAACAAAGTTCTGAAGAACATGAAAGTGTATAAGTGAATAGTTTACTAAACTCTATATATATCAATATATGTAACTTATATATAACTCGAACATAGAGTGAAGGGCGGTAAAATCTTCTGAAGATACATACATATGAGTCAGTATGCTAAAAAGATGACTATTTAACTAGTGATAACTTGCTAAACATTAAAATGAGATAAAAATGAGATAAAAATGAATAAAGGAAATAACCGAAGGGATAGCGTTGCTTCCCTCTAACCCAGTGCAAAAAGAAAGAAAAGAAAAATAAAGCACCAACGGGGAGAATGGTGAAAGTGAAAAGCAAATCATTTCGCGCCAACCGAAGGGGAAAATAAGTTGATATCTTTGATGATATTGTCTGTTGATTCCATCCGAGACCCCTTCCCTTCTTCCCCTCCATGCTTCAGTATTTTTTTTCTCTGCAGGTTTCCTCTATTTCCTCATTTGCTTCGTGTTCAATTTTTTTTAAAATTTCTCCAACCTCCCCCCCCCCCCCCCCCGGGGGGGGCCCTACCATTCATCCCCTTCTATTTTCATTTTGTTTTCCTAGCCTTGAGGTAGAAAGATCTATTCTTGTTCATCATCACCCGGCCTCTCCATTTCGTAGAAAAGCAAATAAACCTCCCTCTGCATCCCCAGCACATCGCTAGTTTTGCATTCTTTAACCTTATCATCGCTGATCCGCCACCAGCGGTCATTCGCCCGTTTTTTCCGCCGGATACGAGACTGGAGCCCGGCGCCCGGTACTGGAATTTTTGCACTCTTCGTGCTCGACTGGCGCCTTAGGCTAGCGGAAGTAGATGCAGCGGCATCCGACGAGGGGGATAGAGTCAATCGTGGCGTAGCAGGTGATGATATGGAGGGGTCTTGATTCTCTTCTTGTTCTTGTTGCTGTTGTAGCGGGGGAGTTGATTGTTGGGACACCGGAGCTAGAGGGCCCACTGTTCCTCCGCTTATGCCGGTTGAGGGCCGGGAAGGGGACGCGGACAATGAAGGGATAGGAAGGGAAGCGCTAGACGCTGATGGAGATGGAGAGTTATCGGAAATGCTGAGAGGACTAGCATCAGAATCCTGGCCGGCAGGAGTCTTCTGTTTCGGGTGAATTTGGGGGCTCGGGGCAGTCGATGGGTTCTGACTTGTTGAGCGACTTTGCGAGTAAGAGCGGAAAACGTCTGGGGTAGAAAAGGGCGCGTAAAGATGGTTGCGCCGGAAGGATTCGTAATGGCCGCTGTGATGGCTGCCCTTGTGGCAGACTATGCCCAGCAGCTTGTACCACTTCTGATCGAGGATGCCGCCAATAGGCAGTCGTTCGGGAAACGATACCTTGGCGGCGTTTTTTGTAGAGCTATTCTGATCGAATATTGAACGGGATAGATGTATGGCTATCAATTTGGGGAAGGAAGTGATTCGCATATGTCTTGCGATGTTGCGCTTTGGGACGTCGTGGGCATTTGGCATACTGACGCCCTTGGGGACGGTTTCCGGGTCACTTTCAAGGGCGTCTCGGATGAGAGAAAGTTCGCGGTCCAGGTGTTTGAATTCCCGCGCCGACTTAGTCTTCTCCATTTCTGCTTTCTTCATTTGATGTGCTTGCAGAAGGACGCAGTTATCGCATCGGAAGTCGTCGATATATTCCGTTTTTAGCAGGCCGTCGAAGCACGAACTTAGAGTAGTAGAGCTCTGCTGGGGCACCTGAAGTGTAAGGTTGACGAACGAGGTCTGGTTTGGCTTGTATCTATAGTGGCACGATTGGCATTCTATTTGAGACTCCATCATCCCTTCAAATGGGAAAGGAAACTCGGTATCCAGAGTCTCCGCCTTCACATCCGTGGATGGTGATCCGTTCTCTAACTCCGAGTCACTGTTCCCAACATTGTATCCAATTACAGACTTCACATCCACCATCGAACCCACCACATCGACGCTGAGAGAGGACCTAGCCGCCCTTTCCCGTGCCTTAACACCGGCGTGGTATTCGTCACAGAGGCGTTCTGCAACAATTTGTAAAAATTCTTGCGCGTCCTGCTGATTCCGGCTGATCCGCGTTCGGAACGCCCTCTCCAAAGCCAATATAAACCCTCGCGCGGAGATCGTCTTCCTATATATAGGCCGCTCGTTTAAGCTGTCAAGCATCTCCTTCAGGGCTTTGGTAACGGGTGCCTGCTGCAGGTCGCGAACCTTCTCAGGCGTCGCTCCACGTGGGACGCTTTCGATATCCGGCAAGGCATCGTATATTTCGGGGCCCTCCAGCTCACGTCGATAGAGTTCTCGTATCAGGTATAAGCGGAGGTCACCCAGGCCGGCCAGGGCTTGGAGGACGGAATTGATAAAGCAGTCATTGGACGGGTTCAACAGGCCGACAATGCCCTTTTTCCTGCTGCTGCCATTCGATTCCTCGCCGTCGATCGTAAAGTTGGGGCCGAAAACGTAGAAGAGGGTAATAGCGGCTAGGGAAGCGCCAGCAGCATAGGCTGCAACGGTTGCAGGTTTGTCGGGCATGAGACAGGTTTACCCGTCCATGCTATGCAGCAAAACTTGGGCTAGTCGAAGGTGGGCTGAAACGGCCTTTCGTTTTTGGGGGCCTTGAAGAGGTATTGGAGGGAATCTTTATAGGTATTGTGAAGGCGCAAGCGGCAGTATGCAGCGCTGGTGGAGGTTAGTTACAGCGCAGCCGCAGCCGAAGTCGTGGGGCGATTGGGAGACAAGTCGCCTGTCCTTATGACGCACATTGAAGAGGGCAATAGTTGTGCAGAATATCGCCCTGAAATATCAGCGTGAATATGTTCCGCGTAAAGTAAAAAATATGCCGTGAAACACTTGACACCGGCACATCAACAAATATGATCTCTGGTTGAGTAGCCGCCTCAGGGTTGTTTCCCAGGGCCATGAGAAATCCTGTCACTACTTAACTAACAAAGTAAAAGATGTGATTTATGCCTTTCAATTTGTGGATATATTATCTAGATATTTAACACATTGCTCTAGTAGGCAGCATTCCTGTTTCGTTTCATCGCGTAAGTACGCTTCGTTTCTTATTCCAACTTCTATTAAAACAGGGTATGTATGAAAAGGGCATAAATCGTTTACATATACTGAACGGTCCTCCAACAAAGCTGTTTGGTAGGTTACTTGTGCGAAAATATTTAAAGCTTCCAAACAGAGCTATGTCTGCGGGATGCAGAGTTGTGCAACTGATAATAGAAAAGGATTCTGCTTGCGAAACATTCAATCTTTTCAGTCATTTAATTTTTGTAATGTTTGTTGTCCCACAACGACAAGAAGCCTTGCGTTGTCCTTTGTCCATTTGCCTCCTGTCCCTCAGTTCCTGAAGTGCGCCTTAGTATGTCCATCAAGCCGAAATCAGATAAAGAGAAAATGAAAGAGATCACGTAAGGAAAATAAGTTAAAAGGCACATGAAAAAACAAGAAATTGAGCTAGTACTAGAAACCTTATTCAGAGAGATTGAAGAAAATAAAAACACATGAAGAAAACATGGGCAAGAAAGAATCAGAGCTTCAAACAACTAAACACACGATCACGAGGATTTGGGCTCGGGAGCATGAGAATTGAAGGCGTGCACTGAAACCCGCAGTAGCTGAGAAGTTCTAGTGATACTGCCCATAGGGAGGACGTGACAATCATCTTTTCTATGCCTTGACACGACTCCGAGTTCGGCTTCCAATTCCCTCAGTGGCGCGAGGCTTGGGGGTTTTCTTTTCAGTTTTCGTGCTTCCCTCGCTCTTCTTGGGTCTGCCTGGGCCCCTCTTCTTCTCGCCATTTGTCGCAGTGTTGGCTTGGGTTCCATTTGTTCCCTTGAAGGGTTCGGTATCGGATTTCTGTTTTTTGTTGGCAGGTTCATCTTTTGGCGCCTGGGCGGCTTTGTCGGCTGCATCGTCGCGTTCGTGCTTGTCTCCCGCGCTCTTTGAAGAGCTGTCAGCATCTTTATCCACGCTAGGAGATGTAGCAGTTCCCGCCTGGGGTGCGCTGACCGCTTTATGCGCGTCCTCATTCAGCGCGGCTGGCTTTCCAACATCCACGGTGGCGGTGTTGCTATTATCTTCTTTCTGAACTTCACCTGTTACGGGAGCTATGGGTTGAAGATGATTAGTTAATTTTCAAAGTAATAAACATTACTCATGTGGTGAGAGGGAGCTCCGTGGTAGTAATTCAGCTGGGCACATCCAACAAGCTTGAAAATAGGGGGGAAATGTAAGTAGCAGAAAGTGCGAAACTGCAGAATGTAATAAGCAGGACTGGAGTCGCAACTCCAGAGTTATCCACCAGTCTCAGACATACCTCCATTGGTTGTTTCAGTGGCCATGGTTGGTATTTATTGAGCGACTGTCACGTATTGAGACGCTTAAGCGGAGAGCGGAAGCGCGCAATTGTGCGATTGGATTGGCTATTCCGTCAAAACGACGTCTTTGATGAATGCAGATGACAGAGATGGTTAAAATGAACTGGATACTGGGTGGGAAAGTGATGATGCAGAGGATGGCGATGATGGCAACACAGCAGTGTTTAGGAGATGAGGTTGGAGGCTGACTGGGATGGGATGTGTGGTTGCAACCGTGACTTGAAGTAGCTAGTCAGCTCTTCGACCCAGATCGCGTGCGGCGGTGACGCTGGGGAGGTTTCCTGCTTTGCGGGACAAAACTCTGCCCGGAAAGAAGCTAATAGAAAGCGGTTAGAAAACCATGAGACTGCTATTTTTAGCCTGCAAATATCTCCAGGTACGGTAACAAGAGTACTCTGTACATACCTATAGGTAGGTCTCTACCTTGCTCAGATTCTTACTAAATTGGTGGAAAGGTACATGCAAAGCGCCCCCTTCGTTTGTTTTTCAGCTGGCCACTCTCTATCTACATTAATCCAAGTCCTGACAGGCTCACACTCCACTAGTTGAATCGTCAAAATCTAGTTAGTACCTTTCAAAGCCGGCCCTTTCTCCTTTTTCCGAAAGCCCGCCTGTTTTAGTCTGCACGTGTGTCACTTTCGTGGCAGCGGGATGTCTCTTGCTATTCTACCAGTCGAGATCGTCCTTGAAATCGCGAGTCATCTAAAGTCAGAATGTGACATCAACTCATTTGCGCAGACAGGCTGCCATCTCTACATGATTCTAAATCCGTATCTCCTCAAATATCACATAACCCAGAACGGGGGTTGGAGCAGCTTTGCTATGGGCCGCTCAGATAGGAGATGGAAGCACTAGCTAGACTGTTGCTTAGCTACAATGATGCAGAGAATCGCAGAGTAGACCCTAATTGCGCCGATGCTATGTACCGGCTGAGCCCCCTAACCATCGCAGCAATAAAGGGACATACCAATATCGTCAAACTTCTGCATGGAACTCTAGGAACTCTATTTGTTGACGTAACTAATATAGGACGCACGCCTCTCTCATTTGCAGTCGAGAATGGGCATGTGGAAATAGTAAAGCTTCTGATAGACAACGATGAATTATTCTCTGTGCAAGACTGGGTGCGATGGAGACCCTTGCTATTATGAGCTACGACTCCTAGACCCATTTTTGGCGATGGCGGTGAACTGTATTGGAAAGAACATGGTCAAACCAAAATGACAAGTCGAGCCGATTGAGGGCTCACAATGACCATCAGCGGCCGGGGTTTCGCCCAAGACACTGGTCCTATTACAGCCGCCTACTGCCACCAGATTTACCACCCTTACAATGGATGCCGATGCCTGCGTATGAAGCAATTGTGGATCTGTTACTTAAGGGTAGGGGTGCACTTGAAGCCACCGACCGGGATGGCAGGACCGCTCTCTGTTTGGCCGCAGAATGTGGCTACGAAGAGGGAGTAGAGATTCTCCTTAAGAAAGGGGCTGCGTTGCAACCTCCAGACCGATCTCCATTATTGTTCGCCCTGGCAAACGAACATACCTCAATTGTACGCATACTGCTAGAGGGAGATACAGCTCAGACATTACACGCGGTCTCAGATGGACGAATGACACCGCTAAATTTAGCGGCATCGCGAGGAAATGAAGAAATGGTGAAGCTCTTCCTTCAGAAGACAGTTCATCAGGAGCATGCCTGTTTCAGCTCTAGTTGGCGGCCGCTTATAGAGGCGTCAAGAGAGGGCCATACCGGGGTGGTCGAGTTCTTAGTCGAGTTCTTGCTAGCCGAGCAAGCCCGAAGATGGCCAGGATATTCTAGTCTTTGGCAGCCGCTTTTCTGGGCTGCCTACGGCGGATATGTCACATGGTGGGATTGTTACTCTCAGCCGGGCGAGCACCTGATGTGGGCCAGTTCGTTGTTAATGGCGGGAGTACGGATCGCTTTTTGCTTTTTGACGGCTCGACACCGTTGTCAGCTGCTGCAATGCATGGCCACACGCTTGTCGCGGAACTGCTGCTTGAAACAGGGAAATGCGACGTGAATGCCCGAGACCAGCATGGGTGGGCACCGCTGACATGGGCTTCAAGGAGTAGCGATGAAGAGATGGTATACCCATTGCTGGAAAATGGAGCTGATAGTGAATACATCGATGCTCCAAGTCCCCCTCCTGTCTTTCGCTACGGTGATATTCCCCTGGGACATGTTGCATCTCTGCTGTCAAGCGTGGATGGGGATGAGGCCCCTTTACTGTTACCCAGTGTCTTTTACTTAGAAACTTGCCATAAAATATACCTGATGACATACTTACTAGAACTTTATCGAAGGGACCTTCCTTTTCTGAAAGATTTCAGATGGGGAAAGAAAGGTATATAGATGATTATCAACCCTGAGACAGTAGCTGGAGGCGAATTAGCCCTAATTAACTAGGCCTAGAACCTTTCAAACCAAGCGCATTGGCTTGGCAAAAGCTTAGATTCTTCCGCTGTGATGTCCGGGATATGGCTCAATTTGAATTCACGAATGGGGTAAATAAATATGAACGCATAGTAAGTTAACTACTGCATAGGCGAAAGATGAGGATAGAAATTTATTCAGTTAAATAAACCAAAGCTCAGATAAACATTCCTACAATGCCCATCCTCAGGAGCTAGCTAGATATACAATATCTCTATCTGGCGTTGCCCCCTTTCTCTTGTATGCATCTAAACAGCAGCATTCAATCCCTACAGGCTTCTTGGAACAATGAAGAGCTTGCAGCCAGGGGCTCCCTGGAGGGGAGAATGAGCACTTACCAACCTATCTGTTAGTCGATTCTGCAAGAGGATAGATGTCACAAAAAAAAAAAAAACTCCCTTGATTAAAACATCTCTAACATACTTGATAGATAGCCTCAGAAAATAAATGGGAGGGCTATCGCGAATATACCAATATGTTACATACACCCAATACTACTGGTAAGGTAAATAAACAACATGTGGGACTATTTGTAGAAAGAGGGTCAAAATGCAGGTACTTATGCAGGAGATGTCTACACAAGGAGTGAGAGGTTGGCCTAAAACGCTTTCTTGCAGTTAGCGCTATTCCGTCCAGGCTTGTGGTCGTCTAGTGAAGCAGTCATGTTCATTTGACTTGCTGGTTATGACTTTGGATAGGAACCACGGTGAGGTTTGCGACGCCATCTCCCACCCTTGAAAATAGTCGGCTATCACCTGACTTATCGGCCGGCTGTCACTTCATTTAGGAAGTCAGTATCGCGCTTGAAATAGGCGATATATTTTATAGTTCTCCAGTTTGATGGTTGGTCAAATGATTGACGGGCAGGCGCGGGATGGTTTGCTAGTTGCTGGTGTCTCCGTAATACCTATATCCCTGACAACTGCTTCTGGTATAGTGAGGTAGCTCCATCCGTAAAGTATGGTGGTGGTCGAGGTCGCAATTTGGGTTGTAATCATCCATTTGCCCAAACGTCTCCGCGTTGTTTGCTAGACACTAATGGGTTGTCTAACCCGCCATAGAAAGCTGGACCTCGACAGTGGAGAAAGGGAGGTAAGTTTCTATCTTTACGCAGTGTCTTTCGAAATGGACCTGTAGTCAAGATAGTTTGGAACCCGGCCTTGTTCCCATCTTCCTACTAGAATCGTGCTTTGCAGACAGAGGCGAAAAGGAGATGCTCCAATAAAAATTATGAGTTGCGAGTGGCCGATTTCTCAGCGTTACTTTCCAATTGCAAAACTCCTCCCATGCACGTATAGTATAGAAGGGACAGAAAAATTTCATACAACCAATGTTGCCATAGCTCATTCCAGACAGATCCCACCCAATAATGGACTAGATCCAAGGGTCGTTTGTGGGTTGGACCTTTCTGAGGATTGTTCGGAAGTAGGTTCTTCTTCGCCTGCGATAAATTGTTTAGCATGGCTCAGCAGCCAAGACGCTTCTGAGTACAATTTCTGTTCAAGGCACAGCTGTGCCGCGTCCAATGATAATCGTAACAAGTGTTTCCGCATGGTTGGTTGGATTCGTATGCCGCGGCTCGCGGGCCTGTGCTTCATATAAGTTAAAGCTGGGTTAACATCCGGATTGGTCGGGTGGTACAAGGGTAAACACGCTCCCCAGAAGTACCTGCTACTGGATAACTGATCAGAGAGCATACGGAATTCATCGAACAGAGCGACAGGAATCTCCTGGACTTCGGGGCTTCTGCAATGGGTTGAAATCCACGAAGCCAATTCAGATCCTGTGGTACGCAATGAGGCACGGAAGGGATCGTGCTTCGAACCAATGAACTTGTCGCCAGGAGGTAATATTCTGCAAAGGCGGATATAGTACCTCAAAGAGGATTGAATCCCTTCACCATACTTTATCTCAGCGGTAACGAATTCACGTAACATGTTCATCAGGCAAAGACGCTGCGTGGGCAGGAGAGAGTTTGTAAGCCCGCCACTAGAAGGGCCGTTAGATACCATCTTCACCCACTCGATAACTGTGTTTTGAAGTCGGTCAACAACCATGTATGGCATGACTACACCCATAGTGGGCCGGCTACCGAAAAAGAGCATTCTTGACTCGATGTCTGTGGCAGAATACCATGCAACGATTCTCGAGCCCACACTAGAAGGCCCGATGGCATTGGGCGGCTTCGAAGACGGAGATGGGAGCCCATGCGCCCGCAGACAACAGTGTAGGGCATTATGATCAGCTCGTCCGGATGCTATCAGTTCGTCTAGCAGTCCAAGAGGATCCTCCGCTAATTTCTTCCTCACATTGGGTGCACCTTGAGCGTTACTGTCATTTCGATCTCTCCGGGGCAATGGCTTAGCTGGGACTATTCGGAAAAGAGGGTGGTCGAGGATGGAACTCAAGTGTTCGTCGGTATCCTTGCTTGAGGTACTCGGTCCGTTGGGATTCTTCGGGAGACGATTGGGTGTCGATGACTGTGCTGATCGGCCTATCGGTTTAGCTGGCTCGTGGCCATTGAGAAAGGATGAAAGACGGCGAGATTCTCGCGTAGAACGGCCGAACCGGGGACATTGTTTTGAGAGTGACCTCAAACAATGCGCTCTAGTAGCTTCCATTCCCCCTCAATGCGCTCCCCCCAGCCGGTGGTAATTGAGCAGTAGTAGAGAGTTACCAGTTCTCCCATTCACCACGGACGGATGGTTGGCCGTATTCCCTCCTCTCTAGCGTGCTGTCGTAGCAACAATAGGCGAGGGGGCAAACCCAGATCGGTCACCCAGAGGAAGATTGGTGGTCAACCAAGGAGTGAGGCCAAAGTTAGCTAGTAACAAGTCGACGGACGAATGCAACCGAGAGCGCACGCGAAAAGGGCCAATTTCCTTAAGTTGGGAGGTAGCCCTGGCTGTGGCTGTTGAAAGAATGCCTCTAGATAGGTATATATACAATAGTTAATGGTCGTTGCAGTTGGAGTTGAAGTTGTTCCTGTGCCTGGAGTAGTAGCAGGAGTGAGGGAGGTGGTGGTGCTGGCGGTAGTCGCCCGACGTAGCGCCGGCTCGCGTAAAATATTCCCAATCGGGACAGAACTGGGCGAATGAGCCGCAGAAGCCAAGAAAGAAAGAAAGAAAGAAAGAAACGCGACACATCCTTTGCCTCCCAACCATCCATTTTGTGCCATCAAGACCTGCCCCCGACTCCTCCATCATACCACCTCTCTGCTGTCTCTCCTGGGCTTGATCTCTTCAAAGAGACCGTGCCTTGTCCTCTTGGTGTTTTCTTTTGCCTTTTTTGCCTCCCATCTTGGCCTCGTCGCCAGCTTGCCCTTCTCCCTTCTTGAGCTCGTCAATCTACTCGCTCTTCTACTCTACCCTCTCCTGGCACACTTGCCTTCTTCCTCCTTGCTTTTTTCCTGGCTTTCTCCTTATTATAATCTCTCACAGTCATGTCTGAAGTTCAATTCAGGCCATCCGGCTCGCGTGGTCGGGGGTCAGCTCGTGGTGGCAGAGGCGGTTACAGCTCGAGAGGCGGACGACCCAGCAAGTCCACCAAAGCAGACTCGGAAAATATGCCTGAACCATCTTATGAAGATGAAGGAGAAATTGGCCAACTGAAGAGAAAGCATGCCAACAACCTTTCTACCATAAAAGAGCTTTTTGCGGACTGGACCGATGAGGATCTTGTTTTTGCCCTAGAAGATGCTGATGGGGATCTCGAGATTGCGATTGAGCGCATCACTGAGGGTTCGTTTGTTCTATTCCATGATATACTGCAGCAAGCTACCACATTGACTCTTTACCTATACTAATACTGACCAATATTCTTCGTTTAGGTAATGTTTCGCAGTGGGGTGAGGTCAAAAAGAAACACACCGATCGATCCCGCGCCAAGGCGAAAGACCCTCTCTCGCAGGCAGACTCTACAACATCACCACCAAACCGTGGAGGCCGTGGCCGTGGAGGTTTTGACATTCGCGGACGTGCTCGAGGTGACCGTGGCCGCGGAGGGCGTGGTGGTAGAGCCGGCGCACACGTAAATGGGACTCGTACTGAAAAGCCTGCGATACCAGTAACAGAAGAGCTGGAACCTGCTGCTGTGCCTACTGAGGCATGGGGAAAACCGGAAGAGCCTGCAGCTGCAGACACTGTGGCTTCCAAAGAACCAGGTATTACCGCTGTCGCGAACGAGCCCCAAGAACAAGCTCCACAAAAGAGTAGCCTGATCCCGGAAGGTTCGAAGAAAGGCTGGGCAAGTTTGTTTTCTCAACCAGCTCCACTACCACCCCAGAAAAAAGCTCCTCCTCCGGCGGCCGCGCCGAAACCTGAAGAACCATCCAACATCAAGAAACCGTCCGAGCAACCTTCAGAAGTACCAGAAGTCGCCCCTCAAGCAACAGCTCCCCCAGCTGCGGAGCCGGTAGCCGCGCCTCCCGTACAACCAGCACATGTTCCAGTGATTCCAAAGGATGAGTTGACTCAGACAAACCTTGAACGAGTTCCGGATGTATCGCACCCACAGGCTAGCACGACGCCAGCGAGCACAGTAGCAACAAGCACCCCCGATCAAACCAGCAGTTCCGGTGTCAGTGCATCGCAAACCAGACCAATCTCAGGCTATGCTGCTACTGCATACAAAGCTACAGCTGGGCCTGGACGTGCGGCAACCTTGCAGCGCCGTGTTATGGAACAGCAGGAGGCAGTCGTTATGCCTGGAAACCATGCCGTTGATCGTGCTGCTGTCCAGTTCGGCAGCATGGGGTTGAACGGGCCAGTCGAGGATCTCGACATTGATGAAGAGAGAGAACAACCAGAGACTCGTCCTCAACCTCCGCAACACTCACCCGTTGCTCCCCGCGCATCCCTCCCCCCTTCCACTCAAGCTCAGGCGCCAGCTCAGCCCCCAACAGACGCTATTGCCCTTCCGCGCCCTGCTCCTGGCCTCCCTCCTGCCCCTTCAGCGACTGCTGCAGATGCTTCATTTAACGACTTTGGGCGATATACCGAAGCACAGAAGCCGTTCGACCCTTTCAGCCAACAAGCTGATCAGTCGCAGCAACAAACGCAAGAACCCTTCTCCAACCAAACTCCCATCCCATCTCAACCCACCGTCACCACGGCTGCAGATTATTCCGCAATTTATGGAGGGGATCAAACACGGAACCCTTACTATTATGGCTCGTACGGCCAGTCTCAGGACGGCGTTGCGACACAGCAAAGGGCTGGAAGCGGATTTAATGTCAGCGGTGCAGATGTACAGCCTCAGGCCGCTGCCACTCAACCACCAAGCCGCTTCACCCACGTGGAAGCTCCCAGCAGTGGTCAAAATACACCTAACCCCACGCTGCCTGGCCAAACTGCTCAGCCGACTCAACACGTCCCTCAGGGGCAGGGTGCCCACGGCGCCTACAACTACGGCTATCCCTATTACTCTAACCCCCATTATGCGAATACATACATGAATCAAATGAACCAACATCAGTATGGAAGAAATCGCCCTATGTACGATGACGCAAGAAGATACGAAGAACACTACCTTCACAACAACCAATTTAGTTATGGTAACCAGTATGCTGCTGCACCCTACGGTGGCAAGGGTGGAATGTACGCGCAACCTCAACATGGATTCTCTTATGATCATGCCTCTACGCCTGCTACAGCTGCTACATTTAATCAAGGTGTTCCTGGACGTGAAGCCGGATATGGCCGTGCTGGCTCCGCCCAGCCCTCAGAGGCCCAAAGCTCGGGCCACACGGCCTTTGGCGGCATCCCAGACGTTTTTGGCCGGACACAATCTGGATTTGTCCAAAGCCAACCCATTGCTCAGCAGCAGCCAGTGAGCGCAGAGGAATCGGCAAAGGGATTCGAAGCGCCCAAGGCCGGCGGACCAAGCCCTTCTTTGGCTCAAGCGAACCGTCCTGGCTCCGCAACCAACAGTGGTCCAGGTCAACCCCAGGCTGGTCAGACTGGCCTACCTCCTGCGCAGGGTCAACCAAACCAGCAGGGATTCGGAGCGTATCCTCTTAACCCACAATACGGTGGACTAGGAAGCCTTGGAGCGCATCACCAGGCTGGAGCCAATGCAACCCATCACCAAGCCAGCGGATATGGCAACTACGGAGCAGGGTTTAGCGGCAACTACTACGGGAATACCGGTCGCGGTGGAGGATGGGGCGGCAACTATGGCCATTAAGGCGCAAAACATACTAAATGAGCTAGGAAACGCTTGGCTGGGTGAAGCACGCCCCTGGGATGCAGTGGTTCGTGAGGGTTCTCTCAGCCCTCCATGTGTGCTCTCTTTCATGCATGGGAGCTTACTCTTTCGTTTTGTCCCGTAATGACGTCTCCTTCCAGTATCTTGATTTTGTTATTGATTTATTGATTTATTGATTGTTTAGCACCAGGGTATATTATTTTTGCGAATGACCATTGTCTCCCAAAAAAATCGTTCTGATACGTCCTCTTTAAGCTTTTATATTTTTTTTATTGGCTGTTCCTCTCCTATCATATTCATTTTTCAATTTTCAATTTTTTTTTGTTCCCTTTTTTCTTTTTGTTTGTTCCTCATTTTCATGTCATATCTCCGTCCTCCAAATCCAAACAAACACAACAAACCTTTCTTGTACCAATTATATTAGTTCTTCGTCTTCGGGAGACTGGACTGGCTTTTTTTTGTTATTTTCAAAAGCTACAGCTTCAGTTGATTAAATGGAATGACATGACAGGCATGCAGACAAAAAACAGAAAGTTTCTATTTCTCTCGATTCTCCCTTAGGCTTTCTTTTTCCTTTTTTCTCTTTCACCTTCTTTTCACCTTCTGTTGGAAACATGAAAGTGAAAAAGAATTTGGAATTTGGGTTTGATACTTCTTTCCTCTCAAATGTTCGCTTCCTTGGCACTGGCCATTTGGTGTTTTATCCCACTGGGAGCTTGCTATGTGACGGCAAAAAGAAGCGATTTGAGTTGCGACGAGTCAACCAGATATACCTGTGCCTCAATTAAATTAGAAGTTAGCAGGAGCCTACGTCTCCCTGCGTCTTGCAAGGCGTCCCTCTCTTGAATTCTTCCAACACATATGTAATAATAAGCTTTGGTGAACTGCTGCAATGAATGTATGAATGTCCTACATGCAAAGTATGCAGGTGCAGCGCGTATCTAGCAGCTATATATAGTAGCACAGAGCCGCCGCCCGGACTGCAGATCAATTTCCGAAAAGAGCTAGCAAAACGTTCCTGCTGGATTTTTAACTACACCTCGCTTAAAATCCACCGCCATGGGCAACGTCATTATACGACTAGCAGTGCGACAACGGCAAACAAACTAATGGAAAGGTGACTCGTTGGCGTGTATAGGGCTGATGAGCTGTCGTAATACTTGACTGACCAGGAGCAATCTCAAGATCTCAGATCTCATTTGCTTAGCTAACACTATTTCATTTAGATTCGGTGTCCAACGGGGTGGGGTCTACATGGAAGTCCAGGTAGATAGATCTTTACCGTTTGCGCTCCTCTCCCTAGGAAGAAGGGCCCTCTTTCTCCCTCACCGGTCCCTTGTTCCCACGTTACAATGTCACGATACCATACCTGCTGCCAACACGCTCCATAAACCAGACAAGAGAGGCGTGCGAAGTTAGGTACGGAAGCAATTCCTGAAGTTTTCTGGCCCCTGCTCAGAGTTAAGGTTTCCAACCAAGAAAGGGGCTAAATAAATATCGTTGCCTGGCGGCGGCCGCCAGGGAATTTCTTTTTGCGCTGGCTCCTTTTCCCCAAGAAGAATAACAAGCGAGTCAGTCTTTGCATGGCTTACCTTACATGCAGAGTTATTACAAGCAAGTGACCACGCGTTAAACGAGGTTACAATAACGTACCTCATACGAGCTGGGTACCAAAAAAGGCAGAAATATGGGAAAGAACGTGATGAATAAGCACCAACAGCGCTTGCAGCAGGGGGTCAGCAGCAGGAGCAGCGAATACAAGCATGCACTTACGAATACTATCCCTCGGACGGTCTCCACTGCTCTTCTATCGCCCGCGGAGTATTAGAGAGAAAATAACATTTTTGTGTTGATACCCGGCAAGTTTCGAATTGCTTCGTTCTTCTTTCGATTATTATGGACTTGACGAAGCAAAGCCCTGGTTCCCTTCTGCTATTGTCTAAATTTAGCATTTGCAACAAGAATGCATTACACGTCCCCAAAGGAAGACTTATCCCAAAAGGAAATATGGATTTCAAGCTATCTGTTGCGAGAGAGAAAAGCTGAGAGGTCTATATGATTTATTTAAGTCTCCATTGATGCCCTGATTTCTCAAGCTACTTGACTGCACAAAAGGATCAATTATTCAATTAATTCCGCATTTCTCTCTTTCTTTTATTCATTTTTAATAGAATCAGGGTCAGGCTTATTCTCTTCTTGCCCTTTCTTTTGCTCTGCTCTCCTTTCTTATCCTAGTTCTCCCCCAGGCCCGCCTGCGATGAAGCAAGCAAACATGAGCCGCTGCGATTTTGACAGAAACTCGGATAATGTTGGCTGGTTATACTGCCCCTCCATTGAGGCTGCTATCCTGTTTACCTCGCTGTTCGCCGTGACCTCGCTCGCTCATATGTTTCAATGGTTTACATTCCGAAAGGTACGCCGCACACCGTACCTCATTTTTTTCTTTGGCCGCCCTTGCACACCTTGTAGGGAAAACACAACAGATAAATATAGACTAAGATTACATTTCCCGCTTTTTACCTAGAGATTTTCTTGGGTGATAGTAATGGCTGCCCTATGGGAAACCGGCGGTTTCGCATTCCGCATAGAGTCCGCGAAGAGGATAGAGGGGTTATGGCACTTCATCCCACAACAACTATTGATCATTCTCGCACCCGTCTGGCTTAATGCCTTTGTCTTTATGGTTATGGGGCGGATGATCTATTTCTTCATCCCGGAGAAGAAGATCTTTGGCATCACTGCGCAGCGGATTACACTCGTGTTTGTGCTGCTGGATGTGTTTTCCATGCTTGTGCAAGCGTCATCTTCCAGCTTGATGTCATCCGATGATCCGAAAATGGTCAAAATTGGCATCAATGTCTGTATGTGATACCTTTTTTCCATCTCCTTTCTCTTCTTTATTGGAAACAAAATTACGCGCCATTTCACATTTACCAGCCCCTCTACCCCTTCTGCAATCAATCAAACACCCTAGTAACCCATCATGCAAACATGTACAGACATGGGCGGCATCGGCCTCCAAGAGCTCTTCATCATCACATTCTTCCTCCTCGCCGGCCGCTTCCAATACCTAATGAACCAAATGGAACGATACCAACCCAACCTCCTCCCCTGGCGCCGCCTGCTCTATAGCCTCTACGCCGGCCTTATCCTAATCACCATCCGCATTATCTACCGCCTAGTTGAGTACTCCAGCGGCGTGGAAAACGGCCTCGCCACCAGCGAAGTAGCCTTTTACTGCCTCGAAGCCGTGCCCATGATTTTCGGCTTCGTGCTGTTCAACGTCGTGCACCCGGGCATGGTGCTCGTGGGGCCTGAGAGCGAGTTCCCGAAGAAGGATAAGAAGAAGATGAAGGAGGAGAAGAAGCAGAGGAAGCAGGATAAGAAGGATAGTAAGAAGGCTGCCGCCGCCGCCGCCGCGAACCGGCCGAAGCGCTCGTGGAGAAAGCGCAGCCATGGTGTCGGTGATGTGGAGTCGGGAAGTGATTTGGAAACGGAGGGGTTGCGCATGCAGGATGGTTTAAGGGATTCTCATCAGGGAAGTGCTTCGACCGGCTCTCCGTATCACCCAGACAGCCATTATCAGCGACTATGAGGAGGAATTGTTTGACGGCTTTTCAGCTGATTTTTATTGTGATTTTATGCAATTAATGGGTGCAAAGCGTGGAGTTTACTTTGTGCTATTTATTCCCCCTGTCATGATTCTGTTGTGTTTGCTCCTTGTTTCTTCTTATCATTTTATGATTATCTTAATTTTGTTTTCACATCCTTTCTCCTCTCCCCTTGGGAATCATTCCTCACGCTCTATACATGCACACAGTCACTCCATTTCCATCCTGTCAATATATAAATATTAATATATACACATACTCTTTGTTTTGGCTATGGTATAGTTGATGGGTCTTTTTTTTTTATCCCCTCTCTCTCCTTCCCTAATTTAACATTTTCTTTCAGAGCTAAGGGGTCATTCTCTACAGATAATAAGTTTCCTCCCTGCCCCCACCTCCATCCATCACCGGTTTAAAGAAGTAATATAGTCGAAAATAAGAATATATATATATATGTATGTATGCATGTATGTATGTGTATGTGATCTATAATAAAACTTCTAGTTCTGTAAAACAACTTTCCCTAACCACTCCCAATCGTGTGGTATGCAAAATAAATATCTGAATCACCAGTCTCTTCGCTCTTCGGTCTGTCTAAAGCAGGGAGGGTGGTGGGGGGAGGGGAGGAGGGGGAATATATATGTATGAACGAGAAAGGGAACGGACATAAATTAAACCATATATAAATTAAAATGGAAAACCCTCCATGCAAACAAATGCAAATGGAAAAACGGGGCTCTGGAATCGGATGATTGGGAATAGCGGAGAGGTTAAAAAAAAAGAAAAGAAAAGAAAAGAAAATCGCCATCTGGAGGATTTCAACCATGCCAAGAAGATTATTTTATGTAGAAGAGTGAGAAAGGGAAATGAATTAAGGCGGCCGGATGTTGTTTTGGGTTCATTGGAATAGAGATCCAGAATTAAAAATGGAGGTATAGAAAAAGAAGAGAAGAGAAAAAGAAGGGGGGAAGGCAGGATAAGAGGAACGGCGCAAGCGAGAACTAAGAGAAAACCAAAAGGGGACCCAGATTAAACAATAATAATAATATGGCTCCCTTCGTTTTTCACTTCTCAATCACCTTCCTTCACCTCTACCTCCTCAACCCCCTCCGTAGCGGCATCATCCGCCACCAACCCCAGGCCCCGTCCCCCATCCTTATGGTACGGCGGGACCGCCCCCTTGGCCGCCTCAGGCACAAACCTCCACACACCACCCGTCTTATCACACTCGAGGCCGGCATTATTATTCCCCTTCGAATCCGCCCAGCCCAGCTTCTCTGCCAACTTGAGGAACTCCTCATCGTCCTCACTGGGCTCGATGCACTTGAAGAACCGTCTTTCCCACTCGCGGCCCTCTTCGCGCTCGAGCTTGCGCAGCTGGCGCTGGGCGACCTCGATCTTTGATTTCGCGACGGAGGTGGCGTCCATATCCCCCCGGGCAATGGCGGCGGCGACGTCCTTCCACGCCCGCCGTGATTCGTACAGGTCTTGTTCTTCCAGCGGGGCGAGGGTGAGTGGGGTAGTCTTTTCTGTCTTGGCGCAGTATTTGTCTATGATTTCTTGCTTTTTGCCCTTGACGGCTTTGATGACGAAGGTGTTGGACCATTGGCCTTCGGCTGTGTAAAGGGGTTTCTTCTCTCCATCGTTCTCGTGGTATACGATGGCGCTGAAGGAGTTCTTTTTGCCGCTCAACCAGCCTTTGCCGGAGTATTCGATCTTGGAGACGTAGCCGGTTGAGCTGACTATCTGAGTGTATCTGTTGAGCTCAACGAAGGGGGTTCCGTAGATTAGGGATTCGATGTGTAGTGAAGGGAGGGTTATGAGATATGTTTCTCGTTTTGGGGATGGGTTGTCTGCGGTGGGTTGCGGGGTAAGGGAGTATATGGCATGACCTATTTGCTTCACGTTTATAGTGCTCGAGAAGGAAGCTTTTTGGGCGTTGTATCCTTGGAGCTGAACGTCGGGGAAAGCAAAAAGAAGTCCCAGTGTTAGAAATGCTCTTATCTCAAGCTTATCAAGTGGTGTGATCATAGCTTACCTGCACACCATGCTTCTCATTCTCAATTTCATAACCCGTTACCGGCGGGTGATGGCTACAAGACGGAGTGAGTTTTCAAGCTGTCCAGAATACCTCCAAACTTGCTGGCACACCATAGATATAAAAAATAAACATCTACATAAATTACGAACCTTACTTGCTCGCTAACAAGCCGTGTCTCTCCCACATCGCCATCATCCTGCCAGCGGCCTAGAAAGAGCTCGCCCAAGAACGGGTTCAGCGGCTTCTTTTCGCTGCCCAACTTCTCGCTGCGGGTGCAATATTGCTGATGGAGGGTGCTAAGGAACCATTTTAACACCAGAAGTGCCCGCTTTTCGGGATCGGGTTCTTTGGCCGGGGCAATAAAGATCTTTGGATGTTCGGCCCAGTACGCGGAGTATTCGACGAGGGAGGTGGAGGAGAGGATGAAAGGGGGCGCGGTCAGGGAGGAGAGGTCGCCGTTAAAAGAAGCGATTGACTAGAACACACGGGTTTGGTAGATTGGAAAAGAGCTATTTCATCAAAGAGGTAGTTGGGGAATGAATAAAGATAAAATATATATATATATATATATATATATATTTTCTCACCTTTAAAAAGGAGGACCAGGACCCTCGACTGCTAGCGGGGACTCCAGACCCCTCATCTTTCGGGCTGGACATGGTTGGGGGAATAAGGATAGGCAGGCGAGGACAAAACCAAGATAGCCAAGCGAGGGTAAGATACAGAATACGACAAGAATAGTATGGCTAGTGAAGAGAGAGAGAGAGAGAGAGAGAGAGAGAGAGAATGTGTATATGTGTGTATATGTATATGTGTGTGTATGTGTGAGAGCTTGCAGTCTGGGAGTGGAAGTGTGACGGCGTTGGTTGGGTCCAGCAGCGTGCCAAGCTTTTCTCCCCCAAAACAAAGGCCTTAGAAGTCACTACTGGGTCACAGCTGAGCAGTCGCCTGCTTGTGTTCCCATTGTTTCCCAGCTCAAAGATACCTGTAGAGTACTTGTTCCGGGCCAATAGTCGACTCTGGTTGCTCTCTCTATCTGCTCTTGAAACATTTATACTCCGTACACTAACTATCATGAAAAATGATTTTCACAGCTTCACAGCTATATCCTCTTCAGCTTTTCAGGACATACTCTTGCCCCTATAACTAATTACCAGCTATACTGGAATATTTTCAGCTGTCTCTCACAATTCTCACTCCATCATATCTGATACCTGAGAGACGATACCTGAGAGACACATACAAAAAAAAAAAAAAAAAAAAAAAAAAAAAAAAAAAAAAAGACCAAAGTAAACACAAGCATCAAAGATTTAACGTTTTTAGCTCCTCTCCTTTATTGCTTTAACGGGGAGGTGGGGGGGGGTCCTTGGGCTACACGAAAATGATGTTTCGCAACATGCACAACGCAACTGAGTCGCCTTCTCAATTTATGCAGGCAATCTGGTCTCAAGGAATCCGCTGCTGTCGGAGGAAAATGGTCAGAAGAAGAGTGGCTGGCCCCTCTTCGTTTCTATGGCAAGCTGTGGAAGTGAAGTCAAAAGGGTTAGCTTCATTCTGATATATACAAAATATACAAAATAAAGAAGAAGAGGGTTATAACACCACGAATCATCATTGGGATAGTTTAGTTCAGCTCTCTCTCTCTCTCTCTTTTTTTTTTTTTTTTTTTTTTTTTTTTTTTTTTTCCCCCCCTGGGATTGGGCGGGGGTCGTTACCAGCCAAATTTCAAGAACACAGCGGAATTCATCAAGAACAACCAACTGAGCTGAAATGAAAATATAGTTTTACTCCGCCTGGATGAACATATGACATGTTTCACACTGACTTCCCGGGCCCAATCGGGGTGGGCCAGCGGGGATGGAACTGGCGGCTAGAACGCAACCTTAATCGTGATAACCAAGGCTACCTAGGTATCCTATCATTCATACTCCCGTCGGATCCGTAACCTTATATAACTCTGTACTTACTCCGTATGTAGCTGGCTAACCTGCGGGTAGAAAGAGCCGCCAATCATAATAATACGAAGAAGAATAATGGCACACACTCCTTCGCGCTTGAGAGAAGGTTGACTAACTAACTAACTATACATAAATATGGCAGCTCTAATTCAGCGTGGACCGATGCCATCCATTCTGTTTCTTCCGTTCTTCCTCCCTCTTTAAAACATACACGAGCTAGGCGCATGAATTCTCCGACGGAAATAATATATATACTTAATCTTATAGGTAACTAACTACCTGTACCCCGTGCCCATGTCATCCATTTAAGTCCGGAGTGTAAAAAAAAAAAAAAAAAAGGGCAACCCTACCTACCTAGCCATGATCCTTTCTCGAGTTCCGGGATTCACCAGGGGTGTGGCCGAGGTGCGGAACCGTGGGGGGTCGGACACATTATTGAAGTCCATTGGTTGGGAGGGCAAGGATATTAGTTATTATTATTATTATTTGCCCCTCGCCCCGAACCTTTTGTTGGATGAACGTTCATTTTTTGTCGTTGCGGATGCTGATGATGAAGGAGGGGAGGGGCCACAATGTAAGCTATCCATGTAACTGAGAGGTTGGGGTTTCGGTTTCGGCTGATCAGACAGAATTTTTTACGTGGTATGCCGTAGAGCTATGGATTACAGCTAAGAGAAAGGTGAGGCAAACTTCTATGCTCTGTTTCTCGAATATTTCCGCATGCGTGCATTTAAATCGTGACTTTTTTTTGTGGGGGGGGAGGAGGGGGGAAGGCGTGGGGAGGGAGGAAGAGTGGATTGATTGATCATCTGCGCGATTTGAGAGAATAAAAAATAATGGCAGTGAGAAGACTGAATAATAATGGAAAATGAAAGCGATTGGATGGTGTACAGTACAGAGTACCTACTCCTCCTTTATATGGGCGAGCGAGGATATAAATATAGCCCAGCAGGATTCTCGTCATTATCAGCAGATGGTCTGTTTGGAATTTTTAAGCGACACGTATCCAGACATGCCTAGGCAATGTGGGAAGCCGGGAGAAACATATCAACAGTTTGCAACCAGCAAAAGCTCTACGGAGTACTCCGTAGATTTTGAATCATACACTTTTCTCCTGTCTTTCGCGTAACGGTGATCAATGCTTGTTTCTTGATGCTACGCCTTCTGAACTTTGTTTGTTCTGTTGGAACAAAGGGCGAGTACCTCGCTCCTCCAGTCAGCCCAAGTTCAAGGCTGATAATGACAATCGGGATTGCATCGACACGGACCTCGTTGAGCAACCGCCACACAACCAACACCCCACTCGGGGTGCATGTTTGTGCGGATGCGCATGTGCTTGCGTGACCGCCCATCGAGAGGCGTCGTATGGCCTACCGCCACACGGCGTTCGCAAAACCCACTTTCAGCCCGCTGCCGGCCGCGATTGGAGATGCCGGGGGCGCGCCAAGGAAAGCCACATCGAAGATCGTTCGGCTAGGCCACACGCGTCCCATATTTCACTATTTTAGTTCAGCTTTTCTCTGCCAGCCTGTGAGGATGGTTGGTGAGGTGGAGATTCCTGGCTGAGAAAAGCTTCGCCGGCGCCCCAGCCAAGGCAGCCCCCCTGAACCTTCCCAGCCCTGCCCAAAAAAAAAAAATCCTTAGCAGACAGAATATGGAGTGGAAGCCTTGGAAAGCCAGACAAACAAGCAAAACAGACAGTATTGTACATGTACATGTATGTACATACATCCATATATACATAACATGAGGGCATCCATCGGTGGATTTTTTCGGCGAATTGATGGATGATATGATGATGATGAGAAAAATACGAATAAGAATAATTGCGGATCTGACTCCACATCTTACAAGTGACAAGTTACAACCCGTCCAGCGATTCTTGGTTGAAAAGCAACTGAGTGCAAAGGGATCTGAGAGGGGGAAGAAGAGAAGGTGAGGACGCCTAAATAAATAGGCCAATAAATCAGCGTTTTGGGAGGATAACTTACTTGTAACGACAGAAATAAAGTAGGAAATTCCCATACTTCTGATCCTTCTAGATGCACACACATACATGCATAGTACGTAAGTTAATTGAGCAGTTGTTGGAGTCTGTTATTCCCAGCCTTGACTGAGCGTTGCTGGAGGGCTGTTGTTGTTGTAGTGTTGCAGCGGTTGCTGTCCGGGACGGGGAAATAATATTGTTTTGATAGGCTATGGGAGCCGGTATTTGTCGGTTACTGTAATTGGCTGTCAGCCAATCCCTATAACCGCCCGTCAACAACAAGGAAATACCATAACCGTACGTACACAAGGTACAGCTTGAACCGAGGCAAGATCCCGACTAGTGGCTTGGTAACCTTTCCGCATGCGTGATCCATGATGCCATCCCGGAGCTAAACCTAGCCTAAGTGCGCCTCATAAGCCTCATAAGCCTCTTAAGCCTCTTAAACCTCCTGATGGCGTTAGGGGCTGTTTTAGAGTTCTGCCTAGCCTAGGGATCGTCATTGGTACCGACAAACACAAAAGGAACATCACACAACAACACCCGACTAACCACAGCCAGCAGTCGGCGCGGCGGTGATGGGCGTTGGGTTGGGGGTTAGGGGCTGGGGAGGAGGAGGAGGATCCTTTTGTCATGCTCCACCTGTGTCAAAATTGTGTATTCCCCATATCCAATCGCTCATCATTGCTGCTTGCTGCTCATCCACAGTGCGTTTTTCCTTTCGTTTTAACGTTTCGAACGCACCGAAACGCAGATGATTAGAGATGAGGGTAACTTGGGAACTTTGTCACTAATAAGTTCATACTTCGTCCCAGAGCCGGCTGTCATCCTTTCCGCAGGCTCCCTTAACCTGTAGCTTATTTTTGCTTGCTCCCCCCTTCTCCTCCTCCTCCTTCCCCTCTATCTCCACCCTAACGGCACCGCTAAACCAATGCGGAGGCCAAGGAGGAAGAGGCGCTACAGGGTTTGGACAGGGCGGAAGCTCAAAAAGTAAAACGGATGTTGGTCGGGTTTGATGTTCGTCATTTATTCGCGATTCATTCTTTGACCTCCCACGCGTGGTTTTTGGAGGTTGCTTCTGTGCTCTAAATTTACCCCCGGGCTGGTACAGCAGTTACATCCACGCGCACATCTCTGCATACATCCCATTCCTTGCCATCTACAAGTTTGGTATAGTACACATGCATGCATGCAATCCCGCGCAGTAAACTGAGCTCTCCGTGCCTTGCTTACATATATATACGCACTCCCGAACGCTTAACGCTTGCCCGTGGTCACACACACAAAGGGTCTCTTCCCAGTATATATAAGCTTCTTCCCACATCCTCCCCCATTTGTATTCTGGTCCTCACTTCCGTCTAATTTGAACTTGATCTACCACCAAATCCACCTTTCCCCACACCCGTCTATTTCGCGTCACACCACCACTCTATTCCGACGTCTGCCTGCCTTCCTTCCGCTCGAGTCTGATCTTTGATCAGCCAGCCTGTGGCCGAAGAAGATGGCGGACAACAGGAAGGACGAAGTCTCCGAGGCCGTGTCCGGAAAACCCCTTGACAAGCAGGAAATGGAGCAGGAAGTCGAGAAATTGGGTGAAAGGTGTGTCCCATTAAAAATATAATAATTTCAATAATAAAAATAATAAAAATTTAAAAAAAAAAAAAAAAAAAAAAAAAAAAAAAAAAAAAAAAAAAAAAAAACTATTCTACACATATCTTACATAGAGCACGAGAATGGATGTGCTGACTACATATTGTATTTTTGCGGCTCCAGCTCTGATCAAAGCTCTGACAATGCCGAGCGGGGCGATCGCGAAAGGATCAATCTAAATGCAAACTTATCCGCAAAGTATGATCAACCTTTCTCTCAAATGAACTCCTGACATTCCCCCGTTACGGCCATCGAGGTGGGCAGGAGCTGACTGTGTCTAAATACTGTCACGTGGTGTAGAATCAAAAATCCTCTTGCAGATATCCCTAACCCAACCTTGTTGAGAGACGTCAAAGAATTCGCCCAGAGGTTCGGCTTGGAAGACGTTTTGCCTATTCTGCAGAGGGGTGCCCTAGTCGCAAAAGATCCAGCCAATTTCGAGAATGTCGAGGGCATCACTGATGATGAGGTTGACGCCATCCGCAACGAAGTCCTTCACAAATGGCGCCAACCAAAGCCTCTCCTCTACACCATCATTTTGTGTTCAATTGGTGCCGCCGTCCAGTAAGTTTGGCGTGTGGTCTTTTCCCATTCATTGTATTGTTAGATTTCTCTAACTTTGAAGTATAGGGGATGGGATCAGACTGGTTCCAACGGCGCCAACCTGTCTTTCCCGGAAGCCTTCAATCTCCCTGAAAGAGATCACCCGGACGCTGAGAAGAACCAATGGATTGTTGGTTTAGTCAATGCGTATGTCTGCACCTATTACCTACCTATTGAGTTCTTCTATACATTAAATTGAGAACTAATTGGACCGTAGTGGGCCTTACATCGGATCGGCTTTCCTGTACGTTCTGGAATTTGCGCCCGGTACCTCCTTTTCTTAAATTCACATGTTCTAACGTTTGAACTTTGCAGTGGTTGCTGGTGCTCTGACCCTATTAACTACTACTTGGGTCGTCGAGGGGCTATCTTTATCTCTGCCGTCTTCTGTGTCCTCACTCCTATCGGTTCTGCTGTGGCTCAAAGCTGGCCACAATTACTGGTCTCACGCTTGCTCATGGGAATTGGAATGGGCGCCAAAGCTTCCACTGTACCCATTTTCTGCGCTGAAAATACACCCGCTTCTATCCGTGGTGGCCTTGTTATGTGCTGGCAACTGTAAGACGGCGCCCGTCCTTTTGATTTCCTACCATTCCCTCCCTCCACTGCATTATTCTCGTTGAACTAACATTTAAATATAGTTGGACTGCCTTTGGTATTTTGCTAGGATTCAGCGCCAACCTTGCAGTAAAAGACACAGGCAATATCTCTTGGAGACTTCAGTTGGGCTCTGCATTCATTCCAGCTGTCCCGCTTGTAATCGGAGTGTTCTGGTGCCCTGAGTCTCCACGTTGGTTTATCAAGAAAGGCAAAGTCGACAGGGCTTACCAATCCCTTCTTGCTCTGCGGAATCACCCAATCCAGGCAGCTCGGGACTTGTACTACATGTATTCGCAGATCCAAATTGAAGAACAGATCGCTGGAAAGAGCAACTACGTCACTCGGTTCTTCCAATTGTTCACCGTCCCCCGTGTCCGTCGGGCAACCCTCGCGTCGTTCGTCGTCATGATTGCGCAGCAAATGTGCGGTATCAACACCATGGCATTCTACTCATCGACTATTTTCAAGGGAGCAAACGCCACTGTTACCGAGTCACTGTTTGCATCTTGGGGTTTCGGTCTGATCAACTTCGTGTTCGCGTTCCCTGCAGTCTGGACGATTGACACCTATGGACGGCGTGCGCTCTTGCTCTTCACCTTCCCACAGATGGCATGGACTATGCTTGCTGGTGGCCTGGCGTTCTATATTCCGGAAGACAGCAAGGCTCATCTGGGTGTTATTGCTTTCTTCATCTACTTGTTCGCTGCATTTTACTCTCCGGGAGAAGGTCCTGTACCCTTCACGTACTCTGCTGAGGTCTTCCCTCTTTCTCACCGAGGTATGCTCCCCCTATTTTAGCTCCGGCAAACACGTTGGGAAAAAAAAAAAACCAATCGTTTACATTTATTTGTTCTGGATAATGCTAATGCTTTAATTTAACAGAGGTTGGTATGGCGTGGGCGGTTGCAACATGTTTATTCTGGGCCGCAGTGTTATCAATCACCTTCCCCCGACAGTTCCGTGCCATGACCCCAACAGGTGCCCTTGGCTTCTATGCGTAAGCAACACCCCATCACTTCTCCCCCCCTTTGCTCTGAAAAAAAAATAAAGCTTCATATGTAATTTGTCGATCCTTCTCTAACGAAAGTTTAACAACGAAATCCAGTGCCCTCAACGTCCTCGCCCTCATTATGATCTTCCTCTGGGTCCCCGAAACAAAACAGCGCACCCTGGAAGAATTGGATTACATCTTCGCAGTCCCCACCCGCAAGCACATGAGCTATCAAACATTCACCGCACTCCCTTACTGGGTTAAGCGGTATATCTTCCGCATGAAGGTCGAGCTGGAACCGCTGTACCACTTTGAGAATATCGTGGAGGACGAGAATTATAAAAAGGAGCTGCGCAGGCAGAGTGAGGCTGCCACTCAGTCTCGGAATGCGAGTGTTTCCAAGTAGAGATGGACATTGAAATTTGAAACAAAAAGCGAAAGAAAAAAGAAAAAAGAAAAAAGAAAAAAGAAAAAAAAGGTCGGGAGGGAAAGTTGGGGTTGGAGAATGGTTGGGATGGGGGATGTGACTGTATCAACCACCATTCCCTTTTATTAGCCCCCTTAGACCTATCTAAACTATCCGTCCTCGCTCTGAACTCATTCGAATGACTCGGTGTGATATGAAGGACGTTTGTTGGTTTTCGTCTTTTTTTTAATAATCAATTTGAACCGTTCTACACCTAGACTCGCTACATCATCAGCCAGCCATCAAGCCAGCCAGCCAGCCCTTTCCAACTCAGGACGTACGTTAATTCTATGGCTGCTTCCTTGTATATGATTTTTCTTCTTCTTTTTCTTCTTCTTCCTTTGGTTCTTCCTCTTCTTCGTTTTTCTCCTTCGCCACTCCTATATATTATATGTATGATGAAGGCGCCCGCCGCCCGCAGCTATTTTACCCAAGCCAGCAGCATTCTTTTGTCACGTATTACCCATCTTAATTAATTGTTGTTTTCCAACCTACCATACCATAACATCCATGCCATACCAGAACTCAATCGGCATGTTAAATTTTTGAGAGAGCGGACCGTTCAATGAATGTTGAGTAGATACGAAAAACAACGACTCACTCACCCTCTCTCTCAGTGGACACAAGGGTTTCGATTTGCTCCCCCTCATTTTGCCCGTAGCCACCAACAACCATTATTAACGTGCGGTAAAAAGATGAATGTGTGCAGGCGGGCGCGCAGGCGCGCGCTTATTCTACACCATTCTATTCTACTATTCCATCTATGCCTGGGCTTGCGCGTGTCTTTCACAATACACCGTACATATAATTTTTATTTGGCCCCCGTCTTATTTCATTTCATTTCTTTGCGTCTTTCTTTCTACCCTCCCCACCCCCCTATCTTAATTAATAATCATCATTCATTGGACTCAAAATCTTGAGTCGGCAGAGCGGAGTGCGGAGCCGAGAGGCGGGTTTTTGCTTATTAATTTTATATCAACCGATGTCCAGCTCCTCCCCGCCCCGCCCCGCCCCGCCCTAACCCCGTGGCGGGTTTTATCCTTTTTTTTTTTTTTTTTTTTTTTTTTTTTTTTTTTTTTTTTTTTTTTTTTTCTTGTTTGCTGGTTCTTTTTTTGCTCATTAATATTGTCAACTATGTTCCTCTCTCCCCTTCCCCCCTTCCCCCCCACCTTTTTTCTTTCTTTTGTAACTAGCTGTATTAATAGTAATAAAGAAGTGAATATTGTTTTTGAGCAGTTATTTATTTATTTATTTATTTATTTATTTATTTATTTATTTATTTTTTTTAATTTGTTCTTTCTTTAACGTATATCTCATCTAAACAATAATTATAAAATTTGAGACTTTGAATAACTAATACATACATTGATAGGAGTTGGAGCAACAATTGTTGCACAGATTCTTTGTATGTGCTTTATCCTCGTCCGAGGTGATTTTTATTTCTTATTATCATTTTCATTTCTATTTTTTTTCCGACCCGGGACCCCATATCGGTTAGGGGGAGGAGAGAGGGAAGTGATCGCTTTCCACAGAGTGAAAATCTATTTCCTGGAGCGCGTGTGAATGTTGTTAATGATTCCTCATACATTAACCAACTACTGAATTCATTCAGCTGAATAATCATGATGACCGCTGCCGGGGCTGGAGAAAGTTAATCTATCATAGATCTACGTGGGCAATACCCCCTTACTCGCCTTGGCTGACTGTCAAGGGGGAGCTACCGACATCCAAGAAACAAAGAAAGGATCACAGGGGGGCTTCTTAGCCGAAGGGCATGTCTACAAGAAATATCCATGTATATATATATATCATAAATCCTTCGTCAGCGGAAGCTATCCTTTCTTTTTAGAACTTTGGTTCCGCGAAACGGACACGAAAGAGGCGGGCCAAAAGTTTGTTGACAGAAGTGAGGGTGGAGGCCTCCTCTCCTCTAGGAGCCGAATTGCACTCTATTTTGAGGCGCTGAGAGACAGAAAACGAACGCCCCTTCAGAACCGCATATGCCACAAGACAAATACAGCCCAGGTCAGTGGATTCATCATCCTCTTGCACACCTGTCTCGTCAAAATTCTGGAGTACTTCATCAATGTATTCACCTCCCGCTGACAAGTGAAGGATATGAGCAATAGCCCGGTGATGTAGAGAAAGTAGCCGGGGGGAGGGGGCACTCATCACCATTGCTTCGCTAAGAAGGGAATTTGCGAGTAAATGAGTAGTCCCTGACGTACTGACGAGATTGGGTTTTTGAAATGTTTCAATCCGGTAATTATGTTCCTCACCGGCAATATAGTCAAAGTATACTTCAAAATTCGCCAAAGAGTTCACGGCAAGTCCAAGTCAGGTTGATCACATTGCGTGGGCTATCGATATGAGCACCCTCGATGAGATAAGCCATGTCGCAATCCAATATGTTAGGGATATCAATCGTAGTCCTTCTGTGATCATCCTGTCCGCCATTTAACCATGGGAAAGTCTATTTTAGACGGATAACCTAGCAGCTGTATATTCTTGTTCCTTTGCGCGAGGGAGTAGGGGCAGTATGTGTGCCACTCCCAGCGACTGGAATTTATCCTCATCTTTGAGCAGATTTCCATAATTATCCCGGACATGCAAACCGTGCCGACTTGTTTACTTCTTCTTTCCGGTCAAGAACCTGGGAGATCACACAACGATCTCGGTCATGAACAGGCAAAGAGCTCGAGGGCATGAAACTGGTTTAGAGGGGCCAGTGATTTCATGTGAGTGAACGTACACTTTCTATTGCTCAAAGCTGTGCGGGAAAGGGCTGTGGCGCAATATTGCAATATGCCCACTTGCTTTCACTATAAAAGTATGAGTGGATGGGAAATGAGATCCCGGCGGATGCCGCACAAACATGGGAGAAAGAACTGGTCGAGGAACATGTCTGCCAATTGAATAAATTTTGGAGGTATCTGATCATCACCCATGTCGATATCTCATCACTCCTGATATCTAACCACCGAGACAATGAGGAAACTCGCAGGAATGTGTCCCTGGACAACTCGGGCCGTGAATATTCATAGATATGACGCGCGAGTAAATGGTGACTATATCCGCCCTTGGAGCCACCATGACTGGCAAGACGATTGGTAATCCTGTCCAATGCGAGAGCGCTCACCCGCAGTCAAAGCTAGGGAGAATAGGAGGACTGGCGACGATGTTGGAACGCTATGCTGCGGTGGATAGAGGGGAACTATGAGGGGTTCCTGTAAAGGAGAAGTGAAAAGCGTAGGCCTGAGTAGTCACATATTGGAGCCATAACATTCTCACTCATAACATTCATCTTCGATGATCAAACTTCCCGGGCTTGGAAGCCGGAGCATCACGTGGCCGCTCTCGACCGCTGACTAACAGCCTCCCCCCAACTCCAACCTTCCACCATCATTGCCCGCCGCCGAACCCAAAGTATTCGCTGTGTTTGCCTGTCTTGAGTTAAATATCACAATTCCCACTCTCTGCTGCATGGCATAGCCATTTCCCATCTGCACGCAAGACGCCCCGTACGGATTATCCCAGTTCGAGAGGGGGAGGCGCGGATCACCATTACATCAACGGTGTGCTTACGGTGTGTTATTATTGTGTGCTGTTGGGTGGGTGTACCAAGTTTGTTATCTCTCAAAGAACATTGTTTGCTGAAATCCCGCCATTAGATTAAATAATAGTACCCCTTTGTTTACGTCGATTCATCATTTTCTAGATTCAACTCCTTGTATTGTCGAGACTACACCTATTTTGCTCGAAAGCCTAGGCAGCTCCCGTGCGAGCTTGTGTCGATTGTTTATATCTCTCTCCACCTCTGCCCACCAACTTTCTATGTCTTAAATGGCTTCCCAACGGAGCTGCTAGTATCTCAACCACGATCCTTCAGCCAGTTCCTCACAGGCTTATATATCTCTTCATTTTCGAACCGTTATCGAAACTGTCTCCGTGTTGGACGGCATATATTCTCCCAGCTCTCAATTCTGTATCTACACCATCATCACAACCTCCCTGTTTTTCTCGAAAACTTCCACACATGTACACATACATGCAGACATACATACATAAATAAATATATCCCATCCATAACTCCAAGGCGAAACCATGCCGTGCTTCAAGGGCCTCGCCGTTAGCATTCACACGCCCAACGGGCCGCTACCAGAGTACTCCGTCCAACGGCAATCCCGCGCCTCTCGAATCGCCTGCTACATCCCCGTCCCGCCCCCGAAAGTCCCAGATCCCGCAACAGGTAAATCCGAACAATCAACCTTCGCCATCTCCATTACCCTACTCACCCCAGGCCAGAACGTACCATACTCCACTCCGAAACCCACACCTGAAAACCCGCACCCAAAAGCAAAAGTCGTGGGCAGTTTCCCCAGGACCACAAATTCCATCGGGCCATATCAGCCATTGACTACTTCTCCCAACGAAACTGTTGCGGCGTATATATACTTTGACGGGCGGCAGAAAGAGGAGGTGGCTACGCTATTACGGCGTGGGGAGGAGACGTGGGTTAACTCGAGATGGGTTAGCATTCCAGAGTCGAAGGGTGGAGGGCTTGCGGAACGGGAGTTTCTATTTCAGGAGGTGGGGTTGGAGAGATGGCTGAATGGGCTGGATTTGGAAGGCAAGGGGAGGGATACCGCGGCGAAGATTGAGAAGAGGAGACAGAAGATGGAGCGGAGGCGTAAAAAGCGGGAGTTGGCCCAGCAACAACTACAATCAAAAGGAGGTCAAGATGGTGAAACGATGATGTTAGATACTGATGAGAGAAAGACTAGATCTGGACAGGGTGTGTTGCGCTACGGGGATGATGCACAATCGCCTCTGGAGAATCTGTCAGATGTTGAGTATTCCGCTGAGTCGGAGGAGGATGATGACCCTATACCAGAAGCGGCAGGCCAGATCAAAGTGGCCCTGTTCAGAGTTTTGGCGTCTGGGGAGGTAAAGCGGGGTGAATATTCGCCCCAGTTCGATGCACAGGATGACGATGACGAAAGCCAAGCGCAAGGGTTAAATGGTAAAGGGGGTGATGATAGGGATGTCGACCATACTACTAGTTTCGCGAAGCCCAAATCGTTAGACCCCAAGACTATCAGCACGCAGACTGTTACAGGGATTGATGGACCAGACAGGCCATATGCGATATTTACGTTTATGTATCGAGGAGAACGTAAGTTTGGAGGTCCCTTGTTTATTTTTATATTTGTCTCTTTGTGTTTTCCCCCCCCTATCTTCATCTGCTTTTTCATGATTCTTAGGTGTGTCTGACATGAAACTTTATTTTTACAGGCCAATTGCAAAGAATGGGCATTCTCGAACCCAAATCGCGGGATCAAGATAATAAAAGCTCGTCTACAAGACGTATTTCGCTACAGTCCGACCTTGCAAACCTTGCACCTCTGAAACCCGGCGGCGCCCCGGGTCTCTCGAAGTTTAGGGACCATAATAATGCTGATCAGGGGCTAGGGAAATCGAGAAAGAAGCCTAAGCGAGGTAGTGAAAGTGATATGGACGACAGCGACTATGACGACGATGACAATGGGCCGTCGTCTATATTGCACAAGGCTGAGGAGGAGGGGGATAAGGATGTCAGTCCTTCGCTGCTTTCTCCGGATGATATTCGGCGACAGGGTGAGCTTGCAGAGGGAGTGAGGCAAATAAAGGTGAGATTTCTCATGCTGTTGATTTCATTTTATACCAATATCGTATCAGTTCATTCCTGTGGGAATACCCAGTTCGTCATTTTAATATATCTGAACGATGTCGTACTTACTATCCAAATCTCTACTATTAGCTAAAACGACAACATTCCGCCGAACCCCTTGCAAGCAGCGGAAACGCGACCTCGAGGACTTCCAAATCAAACACACCAGCATCAATATCCACCCCACCAGCCACAACCACTACAACAGCAGCGACAACAACGTCAACTACAACTAGCACTACCGCCGCAACAGCCGCGACCACCCCTCCGCATCAGGGGATTGGCGGTGGCTCTTCGGCTCTAGAACCGTCGGAATCCCGAATGAATAGTCACGGCCACGGTAGCTCTGTGCTTGAAACCGAACCTGAGTTCATCGGCAGCCCTATGAAGAAGCAGCGGGCTAGCGTGTTGGGGGCGGATGATGATGTATTTAACACTAAGCGGTTGGCTGGGTCTGGGTTAACTACTAATATCCAGGAGGTTATGGGGTCCGGTTCAACGTCGGGTTCGATTTCTGGTGGAGGTAGCAGCAGTGGTGATGCTTTCTCCAGTGTCTCTGGAGTTAGCACTGGTCTAGGCTCGGGTATGATACCCAGAAGCAATCTGAATATTGAGCAGAAGCCTCCACAACTTGGGCATGAGGAGCTGGAGGAGGACCTATAGGGAAATTGGAGGTTGGATATTTTTGTTTTGGACTTGGTGGGAGTTTTCTTTTTTCTTTTTTTCTTCATTTTTCTACGTTATATTCATTTTCGTTTTACTCGATTCGTTATTTTGCGTGCAACGTCTCTTTCCTTTTCTCCGTTTTGCTTGTTTTCCCCCCCTTTTGCGGAATGCAGAATTGGCTTAGAAATCTCGGAAAATTTGAATAAGTGGGTGGGTGATTAGCATGATATTGCTTTAATGAGTACAGACTACGTACTCAGGAGCTGGACGGAGAGAAAATGTTTTAATTACATGGTGCTAGGAACATCCCCCTAGCCAGGTATTTAGTTAATATGAGAGTCAAAGAAGAGGGCCTCACCCATTCCTATATTATTTATTATTTTTTGAGTCGGAATTGGATGGAACTGTTGCGTTCAAGGAATTTGCTGACACGGACAGTAGTAGTAAGAAATCCCTGGAAAGCCTTGGCTGGTCAGCCATTTTGCTGATGGATGATCGTCGCTTGTGAGTATCCAGTCCAGAGTCCCTTGAAAGCTCCAATAAAAGAAAAACCACTGAACCACTGATTTTAACAGCAGAGGTTCCAAATCAGAAAAATTCCTTGGAATTTCTTTGGTGATGAAAGGTTAGAACTCCTCCCGAAACCAATGGCTTGGCAATGACCTTGAGAATACTCCGTACAGAGTATAAATATTGTTGAGATATTGCTTACTATTGACTGGACAGGCTTACCCTGCTCTTAGCTGATTCTCTTCTGAATAAGATCAACCTTAAAAAAACCTTAAACGTCCTTGTCATGTTGCTTATTGTATGATTAATACTGAGCTATCGGAGTCCGTCGACACGCTTGTCCCCCCCCGGCCCACACGGCCTCTCTCGCCAGAAGCTTGGAATTATTATTATTATCATCGCCATCCGCTAGCAAGCATTGTTGCCACAAGAAGACGCAACGGCAATTATTAGGATGAGCGAGCCGGTTAGAATGTGCGCTACGCATGCCAGTTTTGTTTCATAAAACGGCCTACGGCTCTCGACGGCATCATTCTCACTCTTCATAATTTACGCAGCCGCCGGAGACCATGAGTGCTGCCGATCTGGAAAATGATGGCCCTGCTCCCCGGATTGTACCGATCAAGGATCAACTCGGTGTCAATATTTTATGAGCCGCACATGTGTATAATATTAAGATTATGAGGGCGCCCGCCTCTCGGTCTCATGCACTTCCGCCCGGGTGGGAGCTCGTGTGTGTCCTCACTACTGGTTTGTTTCTATCCGGAAGAAGAGAAGAGGCAGAAGAAAAGAGACGAGACATATGAGCCATTGCTCTGGTTGATTTGGCTATTCGTATCGAACATGAGAAGCCCTCCTAAAGAGGTGATTGCCTCCTGGCCCAAGCCCAACTATGTGAATCCCGAGTATCAGGGCCCACTAATGCCCATAGTTGGCATTTTATTCGTGTGTCTCTCTTTCATTGTCCTTTCGCTGCGACTATGGGTTCGAGTTCACATGAAAAATTCCGCTGGATGGGACGATTGGCTCATGCTTGCTACGATGGTATGTCTGCATAACTTTTGTTTTCTTTAGTTTGCCTATTCACTTCCTCTCGGGTCTGGTTATTTTTACTTTATTTACTGTTTTTCTCCTTTGTTTGGGGGAGTTGAATTAACTGCTTACTCGGTTCCCGGAGTAGCCTTTCATTGTGGCCATCACGGTCTCGACAATATTAGGTACACGTTTCGGATGGGGTAAGAATCAACAATTTTTAAATATTCATTCATTCATTCATTGTTTCTTTCTTTTTGTTGTAGAAGGAAGAGCCAGCCTAACAATCTGAAACAGGCGTCCATATATGGGATAACAAACCGGAGTGGTCAGAACCCTCTCGGATGGTAGTTTACCCCGTTAACTTCCTCCTCCGAGCGCTCGGGGAACGGGGGCAATACGTTCTCATCCCGCTATCTAAATGTCTAGACTAACGCGCTCCTTTACGGGGAAAACAGACTAGTTGGTTTAGCCAACTGTTCTTCATCATCATCATGACGTTGGTAAAGCTTTCAATTCTTTCGTCATATATCCGAATTTCGGCGAAGGATAAGAATTTATTCAACCGGCTATCATGGGCTGTGCTGGCTCTCGTGGTCGCTTGGGGCATCAGTATGTCTCTATGATATTCAGAAATCTCTGCACATGCTCAGGAGCTGACGAAAGATATGAAGCCTTCTTCGTTGCGGTGTTCACAGTTTGCAGGTAAAGATATTGGCTTTATGCTCGTATGTACCCATGACTGCGTTATTTCTGACAGTTTCGCAGGCCGTTGCGACGCTACTGGGAAGACTTTACCGATGAGACATGTGTTGACGAATCTTCCCGTATACTTGGTGCCACGGTTTCGAACATTATTACCGACCTCATCGTGTTGATTCTTCCTATGCCTACCTTTTGGAAATTGAAGCTACCCATTCGCGAAAGAGTCGTGTTGATGGCCATGATGAGTTTGGGTCTGATGTACGGCTTATATTTTGTATTCCCCTGCCCTTGTGAGCTTGGCATTTGAAAATCCCAATTGTATTTTGTTAGCTAACGGATGGCAATTCTTTATTCTAGCGCTGTTGCTGCTTCCGTTGTCCGATGTTGGTACATGTATGTGACAACAGATCTCACCTATGATGTCACCTGTAGGTCTCCCTTCCTCTTTTACCATCCGCACGAATCAATATGTTCTCCTGTCACGGAATATGTGCTAACGCGGATCTATCAAACTCGCTGCCCAGGGCATGGATATACGATTTGGGTATGGAATGCCATAGAAGTTAATCTGGCTGTTATATGCGCTTCCATCCCGACATTGCGACCTTTTGCCAGGAAGTATTTCCCGAGACTGGGGATTAAAACGACTTCCCCCTCTCGATCAGGACCTCAATCAGGCTCACATGAACATAGTGGGATTTATAAAGGGCACACAATAAAGCAAACAGGAGAAGCTAGTACCTCGACGGAGCACTTGAACCGCGAACCCGAGGTGTATCCAATGACGCCCGTGAGATCCTACCAAAGACGGTGAAGTAAAAAAAGCGCCGACTAGAGAGTATTTAAAATGTAAGGGAATAAAAATCTATGTATGGGTAGCTGGATAATATATATTTGGGATGGTCAGGTACTCTTGTGATATATAGCATGGGAATTGGAAATTGATTGGTGTTAAAGGGATAAATAAAAAAATAAATTATGTTGAACCCCTTTTCTGTCCTTTGTGGTAAATAAGTTAAATCGTTGGCGCAACCAGAAACAGGGTCTGCCAAATATCTTTCGACTCCAGCCACCATCGAATCTCCCTAAGCAAGGCGTATCTCAGAAATACGTGGAAATCATCACTTTATAGCTCGCAATAAACCACGGCTAATGTGAAAATATGACGCTCTCCCGCTCTACCGAACCTCTTGTCTGGATTGATTGTGAGGTTCGATCCCCAGATCGCTCCTCCGTCCCATGCATGGATTGACCGATGGATATATAATATAGCCATCTCCACCCAGTTATCAAAAGAACAAAAATAATATGATCCTCAAGAAAAAAGAAAAAGAATAAGAAAACTAACCCCTCACCTTTTCCCCTGATAAAAAGATGACAGGCCTCGACCCTCGCACGGATAAAATCCTCCAGATATGCTGCTTCATTACCGACGCGGACCTCAACCTCCTCGATCACACTGGATTCGAAGCCGTTATCCACCACCCCAAATCCGTCCTTGACAACATGAATGACTGGTGCATCGACACGCATGGCCGGTCAGGGCTGACGGCTGCTGTGGCCGCGTCGAAGACCACCCCGACTGCCGCCGCGGAGGGCCTCCTTGCCTATATCAAGAAACACGTGCCGCAGAAACGCACGGGATTGCTTGCGGGTAATAGTGTCCATGCGGACAAGGCGTTTTTGGCCTGCGAGCCATATGCAATGGTCCTCGAATGGCTGCATTATCGGTTGCTCGATGTGAGTAGTGTTAAAGAGGCGGTGCGGCGGTGGGGGGATGAGGAGGTGTTGAGGGATGCCCCGAAGAAAGAGTTATTGCATTTAGCCAGGCAAGACATCCTGGAGAGTATTGAGGAGATGAGATATTATCGCCAGGTATTATTTGGGAAGAGTTGAGTGGGATTTCTATCTGCACTCAACGCTGGCTGGAGGCTGGTGGTGGGTGACATAAAGATTACCACCTGGGGACACGGGGATTTTTCATGATAAATCATTCCGAATTTATGATGAGAAATTCTATTTAAGCTCGATATAGATGTTACAATTCTCCTTACAATTGAACGCCTCCGTCTCTACTTCTCTGCAGGCGGGGCGCAGAGGGGGGGATTTAAGAGTTCAGTTACAGATAAATAGGCGGCCTATAAATAATATTGCACCTATATCATCATGTCCAGGGCGTTAATTAGAAATACAAAATCAATTTCCATATCCTCAAATCGCGATTTAATTCGTGTGAAATAATTCTAATGACATGCCAGAGACATCATCACAGCCGCTTCGCTTCCATCTAATAGCTTCGGTGCGCTGGTTGGGGCAATATTTATTTTGGCCAACAAAAAAGTTGCCAGTGTCGCAACTGCTGCCCCGCCAAAACTGGATTGTTGGAAAACAACATCGCCAACTCCCAACAATCCAAAGCCCTGTTCGATCCAAAGAGTGGTAAGTTTGTTAACAAAGGGCCAGAGATATATTTGCCCATTACTTATTCTTTTTTCTCATTCTATAAATCCTTTAGCTGAAGCAGCCGCCCAGGCTACTAGCTATCCGGGCTCCGGTTCCTCGAAACGAACGCGGCCGACCATTGCGCAGCGAAATTACTCAATATGAGCGTCAAAACTGTGTCAATTACTCCCTTCCAGGACCAGAAGGCTGGGACGTTAGTATACCCTCACAAATATCAAATAACCAACCATGTTCATCCACTAATACAAGTACTAGATCCGGTCTTCGCAAGAAGGTCACCGTCTTCCAGCAGCCAAACTACTCCGAGTCCTTTATCACAAGCATTCTACTCTCCATCCCAGAAGGCGTTGAAGGTTCCTTTTTAGTCATTGGTGGTGATGGGAGGTACTACAACCCAGAAGTCGTGCAATTGATTGCCAAAATCGGAGCTGCGTATGGCGTCAAAAAGTTACTGGTGGGCCACAATGGGATCTTGAGTACACCAGCTGCCAGTCATGTTATCAGAAAGAGAAAGGCCACAGGAGGTATCTTGCTTACTGCAAGCCATAATCCAGGCGGTATGTGTTTTTTATACCACTAGTTTCCTAGATATCCCCGCTACTAGGACCATTGTACCCCGTAAGCAGACAGACCTCATATATCTAACGTGCTGTTCATTAATAGGACCAAATGCGGATTTCGGTATTAAATACAATCTTTCGAACGGTGCCCCCGCCCCCGAATCAGTGACAAACAAGATCTATGAAACTTCCAAGCACCTGACATCATACAAAATCGCTGCAATACCGGACATCGATCTTGCGCATATCGGGGTCCAGAAATGCGGACCCCTGGAGGTGGAAGTTATCCATTCCACAACTGACTATGTTGATATGCTTAAGGAGATATTTGACTTTGATCTTATCAAATCCCTATTTAAGATACATCCAGATTTCAAAGTCCTCTTCGATGCATTGCACGGCGTCACTGGACCATATGGAAAGGCCATTTTCCTCGACGAATTAGGACTGCCAGCCACTAGTGTGCAAAATTGCGTTCCCTCTCCAGACTTTGGTGGCGGACATCCTGATCCAAATCTGACATACGCACACTCTCTGGTCGAAGCCGTCGACAAAAATGGTATTCAATTTGGTGCGGCGAGTGACGGAGACGGAGACCGCAACATGATATACGGAGCCAAAACTTTCGTCTCGCCAGGAGACAGCTTGGCCATTATTGCCCACCATGCAAAACTGATTCCATACTTCAGGGACCAAGGTGTCTATGGCCTAGCCCGCTCAATGCCAACTTCCGGCGCCGTCGACCTAGTCGCCAAAGCGCAGGGCCTGCAATGCTACGAAGTGCCCACGGGCTGGAAGTTCTTCTGCGCCCTCTTCGACACCAAGAAAATGTCCATCTGCGGCGAAGAGAGTTTTGGCACAGGCAGCAACCACATCCGCGAAAAGGACGGCCTCTGGGCTGTCATCGCCTGGCTCAACATCATCGCCGGCGTCGCCAAAGCCAACCCGGATAAACCCGTCAGCATCGCCGCGATCCAATACGATTTCTGGAAAGAATACGGCCGCACCTTCTTCACCCGCTATGACTACGAAAATGTCGATTCCGCCGGTGCTAGCAAGGTCATTGCACATCTCACGGACCTCATTACAACCCAGAAAGAAACTTTCGTTGGCTCTAGCGTTTCAGGCCGCAAGGTCCTCGAGGCAGATGACTTCTCCTACACCGACCTGGACGGCAGCGTGAGTAAGAATCAGGGCATCTACGTCAAGTTTGATGATGGGAGTCGGATCGTGGTCCGGCTCTCGGGGACTGGTAGCAGTGGCGCAACGATTCGGTTGTATGTTGAGCGTCATGAGGCGGATGAGAAGGAGTTCGGGAAGGATGCGCAGGAGTATTTGAAGGAGAATATTGGGTTGGCGGTGCAGTTGTTGAAACTGAAGGAGTTTATTGGAAGGGAGGAACCGGATGTTAAGACTTAAGGAAACTGAAAAAGCCGCCTCAGCCTGGCAGTGTAGGTGAGGGAGAGGCGCCGGGAATGGATTTAATGACTGGAAACGAGGTGGGAGGATTGAGTCAGGCAAGCGTGAACTTTTCACCCCCAAAATCAATTTATGAGGACATGGTTACAGAATAAGAGATGAGCATTTTCAAATTTCCATAAAAGCATACATACCTATATATTTAAGAAATTATTTTTCATTCCATATAGGTTAAAAGAAAAGTAGTTAATTAAGCAAGTTTCTTAGTCAGGGCAGGCTCGTGAACCCTTTTTGTCAGCATGTTGAGCTAGTAAGGCCCTATCAAGATAGATATAAGACATCACGCCCATGTCTTATATCTATCTTGAGGGCGTGATGTCTTATATCTATCTTGATAGGGCCTTACTAGCTCAACAGGCTGACAAAGGGGGTTCGATGCACTGTTTATAAACATATGAGCAACAGCAGGGATATGGTGACAAGAAATGGAGGGCGGCAGTTGAGTTGAGTACTTGTCAATTTGCATGAGTGGGGGGAAGAAAAGCAAAATATTTATTCATCACTCCCTAGGAGCAAATTAATTAAGAAATCATAGTATCATAAGCCGTCATATCACACCATGGCATGGCCCGCAATGATTAAATCCATAGAAGAAGAGACAAAAAAAAAAAAGGGGGGGGGGGGGGGGGGGCGGGGTGTCAACAATCAATAAAAGTCAAGCTACCCCCATCCCATCCCATCTACCCCTTCACCTTCCCAGCCCACCACTCTCCCCACCCTAGCACCTTCCCATCCCTCCTCGCCTCCTCCGCCGCAAACACAGTCGCATGACTCTTCAGCGCCTCCTCAAACGTACAACCCACAATCTCCCTCTGCGCTCTCGCAACCTCCCACCCCAAACTATCCACAGCCTCCACAGCCTTCACATACGCTCTCGCAAGCCCATAATCACCACCGCCATGCGCCTCCGTTTCTTCGGGGGGAACCTCAGGAATTTGCACGACGGTCGTCTCGCCGCTGCCGAAATTGTAGATGCTTATTGTTTTGCTGTCGTAGGTTAGCTCGCCTAGGGTGCCGTAGACACGTCCGCGGCGCTCGCATTGGGACTCTGTCGCGGCGACCATGTGGAGGGTGGCGGTCTTGGCACCGCGGCCGCGTAGGCGTGCGTGTATGTCCATGCCGTCAGTGGTGGTTGTGGTGGTGGTCTCTGGCAGGGGATCATCGTCCCAGGACAAGGTGACGACCTGGTCCTCGAGGACGTTGTTGTCGGCTTCATATACACAGCGGCCAAACCAGGGGCGTGCGGCGATGGTAGCTGCTGGCGTGGTAGTTTTGTCGTAGTCCTCTGCGAGAGCTCTCAGGAGCAGCGATTCCGCTGCAGCCATACCGGATGTCCTGAAGGTGTCTTCAATATCTGGGCAGACGATTTTGATGGGCCACCCTGTTAGTCCTTTGGAGAGGAAGCGGTCCTTGTAGATCTTGAGGGCGCTATAAATACAGTCTTTCTCTGCGGGGCAGGAGAGGCAGTTCGTCGCGTTGCCGGCGGCGATGGGCTTGCGCGATTGGCGGAATTGGGTGAGGGAGCCTATGGAGGTGATTGATTGTGGGGAGTGGTGTGGATGGTCGAAAGTGGTTCCCGGTGCCGGGTAGCAAAGGAGCCAGAGGATAAAGTCGATGTCGTGCGAGCATTTTGTGAGCAAGCTGCCGTCGCCGTTTGCGGTCTCGCGGCGCCAGTTACCACGTACGAAGCTGTGGGAGAAATGATACCAACCCACCGGCTCCGTGTGTTCCAGAGAAGTGATCTCGCCGATAATCCTATCCTCCAGCAGCAGCTTACGCAGAATCGTGTTGTGCGGGCTATACCGTAAGACATGGCCGATCGAGAAGATTTTCGACTCGAGACAATTGTTTTCCTTGAGCGCGCGAGAGATAGCGAGGCAGTCCTGCAGAGATGTAGCTAAGGGCTTCTCGCAGAGTATGTGCAGGTTCAGAGGCGCAATGGCAAGGAGGATCTCCACATGCGTCTCGTCTAGGGTGCAGATGAACACCCCATCCACCCCCGTAGCCTGCCCCCCTTCCCCGTTGCGCCGCGCTTTCTCCCACTGCAGCCATTCCTTCCAGTCTGCAAACTCCTGACCTTCGGTTGGTGATCCACTGCCCCAGATATAGATCCTCCCAAACTCCTGGCGCTTAAAGGCATCCGGCTCCGCTATGGCATGGATGACACCGTTGGTTGAGTTTGTGACGGCGCGAGCGTACGCGTTTCCCCGAGATCCGGCACCGATTACCAGGAATTTGGGTGATTTCACCGTGCGGGTCCTGGAGGATTCATTAGACGTACCCATGGCAGGAGGTTTGATGGATGGAGAATTCCAAGCAAAAGTAACCAGGACAGGTTTGCAAGGGTTTCAAGGCCATGTAAGAATGAGGTTTCTCAAGTGTAGTGAATGGCAAGGAGTTAGTTAATTCGGAGGAGAGGAAGTTAATCATCCCAAAGACAACACAATCAAGTGCGTTCCTTATATGTAACGCAACTGCCTGGCAGGCATGTCTTTCTCCACAGAACACCCACAAACAAGCAATGCATCACTTTGCGGGGTAGGTAGAATCCAACCTTGTAATCAGCCAGCTCTGATTGATGGATGAAGCGATCGAGGGGGCATGGACTGGGGCTAAAAAGTGCGCAGGCAGATCCATTACTCCGTACAGAATCCAGCGTCACCGCACCAGCTGGTACTAAGCGGAAAATCGTATAGGTGGATGTAACACTGAGTCCACAAAAACTACGAGGTTCAGAGCTGAACCTATGTAAGGTGGGAAGGTTGGACGGAGCGGAGAAGGAGTGGAATCGCCGTGCTGTGATTGGCGTATATCTCCAGCCAATGATATTTATCCATTCCACGTGACCGGTGTTAACTTAGTTACTGTAGGATAGTTTAAGGTTGTATTGATAGATCTATCTACAGGAACATAATATAGTGGTGGGTCACGTGATCTAGTGGGATCACTAACCGCAACGGCCGTAAGGGCCAACACCCTCTCTTGAGATAACAAGAATCACATACAAAAAAAAAAACACTCAAATCATCAAGATAGTCTGTCAAAATCAAATACAAATGTAAAATTAAACATTTTCAACTTTTGTGCTTGTAAGACCTAGTAAAATCATGAATTATATAAATGTTATATTATCTAGAGATTTAGTGAGTTTATTCACTATTATCTGAGTGATGAAAATGTATTCTAAATCAATGACTCTCTGATTCAACTGTCAACATGAAAAATGAAAATGCATGTCAATGTGCTTACTTTGAGCTGTAATAACTGTCATCTTTGTAAGATCTATAATACTCTTATTATCAGTGAGAATCTGTATCAGAGATATAATAATGAAGCTAAGCTCAATTATAAGGTTTCAGATTCATGTTATCTCACAGACTGTCTTACTAAGAGTTATATATTTAATCTCATTGAAACTTAGAGATATACAAGATTACTTCACTGAATACTATGAAATCAGACTATCTGTGAGCTTAAAAACATAGCTGAATGTTAATTTTCTATCATTATTTAAGAGACTGACTCAATTGAAATCTGAGTAGCTGAAGAGTAGATAGAAATCATCAGGAAAATCAGAGATAATGAAAGAATTAATAGAAATGAAAAAAATAGAAGAAATAGTAGAAATGAAAGAAACAGTAGAAATAAATCTCTTATATAAGTCATATCTGTAGAAAATACTCAGATCTATGATCTCTTTTAAATAATGTATAATATGTAATAGAGTCTTTCAATATTGAAATGTTGAATCAACATTTCATTGAGTAAGTAGTAAGACAGTGTGAGTGATATCAGAATATGTTTTAACTGTAAGATATTATAAGCAACTTATATTATATTAATATCACTGAATTGTAAAATCAGTCTCTTTCTTAGATATAGAGAAATCATTAATACAGAATTCATTCTTCATTAATATTCTGATAACAGCTGTATTATCAAGATAGAAATCTTTAACAAGATATTTAATATATTGATAATATATTAAATTAATTTTCTTATTTAAACAATTGATCTTTATACTTAAATACTTGATTAACTGATGTAGATTCTTAACTTTTAATTTCTCACTAAGTATACTTACTAGTCAATCAGTATTCTTAGAAGCTTCAGATATAATATTGAGATTATCAATATAAATTATTATATAGAGATGATATCTGAATATATAATATCAGAGTACTGAATTATGAGTACTGACTGTAAATTCAAGATTACTTAACAGAGCTGTTAAGTAATCATATCAGATCTTCACTGTGAGATTCAGGTTATATAGACTACTTTCAATTACATAGATAAGTGTTTTCAGTGAATCTGTCTCAAATCTGATAAATTATCTTATATAGACCTTCTTAGTGAGATGCTCATGCAGATATATTATCACTATATTCACTTAACAGAGTGTTTAACTGTGTAGTACTGCTATTATAAAAAGAATACAATTAATAGTATCAGTAATAATAGAAGTGTAGATCTCTTCTTTAGAACTCTTCTTAAGTCAGTTATTATAAATCACTCAACATAATTTTCTAAGAATATTATCAGAATCAGTATTCAGATTCACAGGTCTATCTTTCTCAAAAAACACTCAATAATCTGAAGTAATTAATTCACTTCTCAGAATATTAAATCTAGAGATTAAACTTCATATATTATATCTCTTCAGATTGATAATCTCACATTATATAAACTTCTTTCAATAATCTTCTACTCTCTCTGACTGAGATGTGACATTCTTGTAGAACTTCAGAAGATTACCTGTAATAAGACTTAAAGTGTAAGTAGTCAGCAATTTTATAAGCTGCAATTATGTGAAATTTGAATCATTAATATCAGAAGTATCTTCATCATTATCAATCAGATAAATATCAGGTTCTGATACACTGATATTATTAGTAAGTGTCACAGATGTAATAATCAGTTCTGATTTTTCAGTGATT